GACGCTTAGTGTGATAAAAAATAAAATAAAAAAACTGAAAAATAATAGTAATAAACACAGTTAGCTATAAATGGTGGGAATTTCAGAAGATTTAAGTATTATTTTTGTATTTGTTGACCTTAAATTAGTAGAAAACGAGTACCATGAAGCTATAGGTATTATTTTTCAAAAATCCAAAAATGATTTTTTGAAATTTTTTTTGATTTTTGAATTTAAATTATTTTTTCCTTAATTAGTTTTTTGTTGTTTTCTGGTGTTATATTTCAATTCCTTGTCCTTTAGTTAGTAGAAAACAAGTACCATGAAGCTTCTGTTTTTTTTCTAAAAAAAATGGAATTTAAAATTTTTTTTTGATTTTTCAATTTAAAAATTTTTTTATTTCTTAGTTTCTTTGCAGTTTTTAATGTCAGATTTGTATTCGTTGACCTTAAATTAGTAGAAAACGAGTACCATGACGCTCGTATTCCTTTTTCAAAAATCCAAAAATGATTTTTTGAAATTTTTTTTGATTTTGAAATTCAAAAATTTTTTTTTTTTTACTTCCTATGTACTTTGTGATGTTAAATTTATAATAGTTGACCTTTAATTAGTAGAAATAATAAGTTTAAAAAACACTGTTTAAAAAAAATATTCAAAAAACGAAAAAATTTTTTAAAAAAATTTTAAAATTTCATAAAAATTGGTTCATGGTACTCGTTTTTGACTAATTTCTGATCGGGGATTTCAAATCTAACATCAAAAACATCCATGACTATCGCTATTCGTAACTATATGAATCGAGTGTAATATAAGCAGTAATACAAATTGTTAATTTTAATAATTATTTCTTTTTATTTTATAATTGCATAATTTGTTAATTAATTATTTTTATTTTAATCTTTTTTTAGTGCCATAAAGTTAAATAGCATTAGAAAATAAATTTAAATAACTACAATAAATTTAGAGTAACCCAAAGATTAAAATTGCTTTAAAAAAAAAAAAAAAAAAAACAGAAGCTGTAACAATATTAGAAGTTTTAGATATTATATTTGTAATTTTCGACCATTTATTAGTAGAAAACGAGTACCATGAAGCTGATATTCTTTTTTAAAAATTTCAAAATTTTGAAATTAAAATTTTTTTTTTTTTGATTTTTAATTATCAAAATTTTATATTTATCAATATTTTGTTACAATTTTTATCTGTCAAAGAGCAATGGTAACAGAATAATATATATTCAAAAAAAAAAAAATCAAAATTTTGAAAAATTTTCAAAAAAAATTTTTGAAATTTAAAAAAAAGCTTCATGGTACTCGTTTTCTACTAATTTCAGGTCAAGGATTTCAAATCTAACATCCAAAACAGCCACAACTCTTACTATTCATAACTATGAATGTTTTTGTAATGAAAAAAATTAATTTTTCAAATAAAATATCATCATTGCAGAAAATATTTTGTTTCTGCTTCATATATACATATATATATATATATATATATATATATATATATATATATATATATATATATATATATATATATATATATATATATATATATATGAAGTTTGGTGGGTTGGTAATAAAATAAAATGTGTGGGCTTATAAAAAGAGTGAGACGCGAAAACGATCATGGGATATGCGATGTGTGATGGGATATACACCGTCACGTTCCTCTTCGCGGTCATGGGTTTTATATGATTGTGGAACATGACAGGTGAAACCGAAAGGCACGTTTCAAGTTTTTATACTGTTTTTTGAGACTACTCGTGTAAAAGATTGTAAAATCTACGAATTTATTGCACCCTTGAATTTCTCTCACAAACAAGTCCCGCTAAAAAAAAAAAAAAAAAATAAAAAAAAAACAACAATCCGGGACCCGCCTGAAACTTTTATCAATTTATAGATCTCTAAATTATACCAAACGATGCTGTAACATTATTCATTCTAATGTATACACATTATTATAGGTGTGTATATTATATACTTTGTGTTTAATTTTATTTATTTTTATATATACATTTTTTTTGTCAATATCGAGAACAGTTTCAATTTTTTTTTTTTTTTAATGAACATGAAATCTTAACGAGTTGCATGTGAATTTTTTTTTTTTTTTTTTTTGCTTTTCGATCGTTGATTACTTCATTAGTTGCATGTGATCGATTTTTCATTTCTTTTTTTGTGAATATTTGAGGATTTTTTATTTTGTATGCACGAAGTGTTTTAATGTTTATTTAATTAAACTTGAAATATTTTTAATGAAATGGAAAAAAAAGTTAAAAACGGTTTTTATTTTTTACCTTTTTGGTGTCAGATTTGTATTCGTTGATCTTTAGTTAGTAGAAAACGAGTACCATAACGCTTATTATTAAAAAAAAAAAAAATTTTTTTGAAATTTTTTTGATTTTTGAATTTAAAATATTTTTTGTATTTTAGTTCGTTTGTAATTTTTGACATCAGATTTCGAATTGTTGACCTTTAGTCAGTAGAAAACGAGTACCATCAATCTAGTGTTTTTTTTTTCTTAAAAAAAGGATTTTCGAAATTTTTTTGATTTTTGAATTTGAATTTTTCTTTGTTTTTTAGTTCCTATGTAATTTCCGATGTGAGATTTCGAATCGTTGACCTATAGTTATTAGAAAACGAGTACCATAACGCTCATTATTTAAAAAAAAATTTTTTTTGAGACGTTTTTGATTTTTGAATTTAAAATATTTTTTGTTTTTAAGTTCTTTTGTAATTTTTGACATCAGATTTCGAATTGTTGTCCTTTTGTTAGTAGAAAACGAGTACCATCAATCTAGTGTTTTTTTTTTTTCTAAAAAAAAAGGATTTTTGAAAATTTTTTTTGATTTTTGAATTTTTTTTTTGTTTTTTAATTCCTAGGTAAATTCCGATGTCAGATTTCGAATCTTTCACCTTTAGTTAGTAGAAAACGAGTACTATGACGCTCGTTATTATTTTTTCGAAAATCAAAAAATGTTTTTTTGAATTTTTTTATTTTTGAATTTAAAAATTTTTATTTACTTTTTAATGTTTCTTTGTTTTCTGATATCAAATTCCTAATCATTGACTCTTAATTAGTAGAAAATATTAGTTTAAAAAAAAAGTTTAAACTCAAAAAAAAAATATTTTTGAGAAAATTAAAAAATTTTCAAAATAAAAAATTTTTTAAAAATTTATCTTCAACTTCATGGTACTCGTTTTCTACTAACATAAGGTTACTAAATTCGAATTCAACGTTATAAATACAAATTTTTTACAACACTTGTTAATAATTGATATTTTCAACACATTAAAAGCGATATTTCCCGTTTTTATTAATTAATTTATATAGCGGAACGTGGGAAGCGAATAATATATATATAAAATACAAAAAACCGGTAAAAGTAAATTTGACAAATTTGAGCTACTGCATGAAACGCGTTTTAGAGAGAAAAAAAAAATTAATGAGACAAGTTTTTGAAGGAAAACACCACGGGTGGTAAATTTATGGGATTTTCATGAATAAAATTGATCAGAAAAAGTTTTATTGTGTATAGGCTTCCGTTTTCTGGTTAAAGGGGGAGGGGGAACTACCGGATTCCGAGTTTCTTTCTCTCTCTCTCTCTCTATCTCTCTCTCTTCAGTCAATGTATCTCTATGAGAAAATAAAATTATCGATTGGTCCATTGCCTTTAGGCTGCGACGCCTCTCTATCAAGAGAAACACGCCTTCCTTTCTGCTCAATAATAACTCTCGAGACACTCCCTCAGTAATTAAAAAACGATATTTTTTTTCCTTTTTTAAAAAAAAAAGATTCTGCTTATTTTTGAAATTTATTTACTCGACGTTTATTTTAAAAAAGAACTAAAAATATGTTTCCAAAATTATAGAACACAAAATTTCAATTAGAGACCAATTTAAAAAAAAAATTAGTAATAATTAAACTTTATTTATATGTGTATTTTTGTGAGTTGTGAATTTTTTGTATTTTTGACAGTAAATTCGAATTCAGTGATTCCAAATTAGTAGAAAATGAGTACAATGACAAATATGTAATTATTTTCAAAAATTTTCGAAAATTTTTTTTTCAATTTTTGATTTTTTTTTGGTACAAAAAAAATTTGGTTTTTTTCAAAATTGTTTTGTTCTTTCTCGTCTGTACTCTTCCAATTTCTTAATTGACAAAGAGTAATGGTAAAGAAGACAATATATATCCCAAAAAAAAATTCAAAAATCAAAAAAATTTTCAAAAAAAAATTTTGAAATTTAAAAAAACGGCTTCATGGTACTCGTTTTCTACTAATTTCAGGTCAAGAATTTCAAATTTACCATCCAAAACACCAATTACTGTTACTATTCGTAACTATGGATCATTTTTTAGTAAAAAATGTATTTTTTTCTAATTAAATAATGAAAAAAGAAATTAGCATCGAATAAAATTATTTTTAAAAATAAAAATAAAACTTTTTTTAACTGTAAAAAAAGGAATGTTGATAGTAGAAATATGATAAAAATAGGTTAGAAAGATTAAACGTATATAATTTTGAAAAAGGATGCTGTGTGCGATTTTTTTTTTTTTTATTACCTATACTCTGGTAACAACCGTTTATCACGGCTTGTTAATCGATTAAAGGTGTCGGTGGTATATATGGTGATTATATGCGTCAGCAAGTCAGCGGCAAACGTCGATGATCGTTGGTACCAATTAATTGCCTGAACGAAGACAGGTATCAACTTGCGGTTGTGCGGAAGTGATCGATATGCTTTTTATGCACACAAAAATATATTTTCACTTTTAATTTTTTTTTTTTTCAATTTTTTTTCCGAAAAAATACCGTTTTTTTGAAAAAAAAAATATTTCATTTTTCAAAAAATGCTGCTTTTTCAAAAAAATACTGCATTTTTGAAAAAATACTGTATTTTTTAAAAAAATAATTTTTTTCGAAAAAAATACTACATTTAAAAAAAAATAATTTTTTTTTTCGAAAAAATAATAATAATTTAAAGATTAAAAGGAAAAAATTTTTTTTTTTGTTCCAGATTGACAGAGCTAGTCATGTCAGTGGTGGAACGAGACGGAAAACAAGAATTCCAAATGAAATTGAGAGGATCGGATCGAAGGTCCCGATCGAGATTCCGGATCGATGGATCGTCGTCTTCATTTTGAGATAAGAGTGAACGTCAAGGAGCTGAAAAAACCAAAGCCGGGACAACACTAATAATATATATTTATATATATATATATAAACAAAAATATATATATAAAAAAGGAAACAAAAATAAAAAAAAAGAAAGAAACGAAAAAAATAATCAATTTGCCGAGGATCGATTTTTTAATCGTCGATCCGCGCGCTTCACAGCAACGGCCTTTTCGCTGGCCTGGCCAGCTACTATGCGAATTGAAGCTCTCAGCGCACTCGTCGCGGTAAGTTTTTAAGAAAAAAAAAAAAAATCTTTTTATATTAGTAAAATAGTTAATTATTATAATTATTTCTTTTAATTTTAATTCATTTTTAATTCTACGATTAGATTTGAAATCCTTGACCTTTAGTTAGTAGAAAACGAATACCATGACGCTGGTGTTTTTTTTTTCTAAAAAAAATTTATTTTTGAAAATTTTTTGAATTTTGAATATTAAATTTTTTTTTATTTTTTGATTCTTTTGTAGTTATTGATGTCAGATTTGTAATCCTTGTCCTTTAATTAGTTGAAAACGAATACCATGACGCTGGTATGTTTTTTTCTAAAAAAAATTCATTTTTGAAAATTTTTTGATTTTTGAGTATCAAATTTTTTTTTAGTTTTTCGTTCCTTTGTAGTTACTAATGTTAGATTTGTATTCCTTGACCTCTAATTAGTAGAAAACGAATACCATGACGCTAGTTTTCTTTTAAAATTAATTTTTGAGTATTTTTTTGGTTTTTTGAATTTAAAAAATTTTGTTTACTTTTTACTTCCATTATGGTTATTGATATAAGATTTATAATTTTTGACCTCTAATTAGTAGAAAACGAGTACCATGAAGCTTTTTTTTTTTTTTTTTTTTTGAAAATTCCAAAATTTCGAAAATTTTTTCGATTTTTGAATTTCTTTTTTTAGCATATTATTCTTTTATACCTTTTCTTTCTGTCACATAAAAATTTGTAAATTAATGTAAAATAATATAGACAATAAATAATAAAAAAAATTTAAATAATAAAAAAAATCCAAAAAAAATTTTGGAAAAAATTTTGATTTTTTGAAAAAAGAAAACAATAGCGTCATGGTATTCGTTTTCTACTAATTCAAGGTCAACAATTGCAAATATAATATCTAAAGCATCTAAAATTGCCACCGTTTGTAATTATCGTAAAATATTGACAATAATTTATTACTACTAACGCTAATTAATGAATGTAATAATAAAATAGAGTTCATTTAAATAATTTATTTCAACTAAATCAATTTCTAAACTTATTTTACTGATTTTAATGAACTTTAATAATAAATAATAATGTTTTATTTAGATAGTGAAGTTGAAAATATTTGCAATATCTTTTTTTTCACATAAGATTGAATTATTTTTCTCAAGTTTTTTATTTTTATTTATTTATTTTTTTTTTTTGTACCGAGATATCAGAAACCTGCTGGGTAGTTTGCCATTATTAAATTATCTCTGTGTATACATACATATATATATATATATATGATCACGGTTCCCTGACCAATAATTATATCGTCTATCAATATATAGGAGACTCATGATCTTGTACTTAATACTTGGTGGAGAGTTTTATATGTATATATATATACGTGTGTACATAAGGTGCCCCGTAGGTTCTCGCGTTTCGCCACACTTAACATTATGTAGATTAAACTGGTATGTGATCGCAGATAATGATCAACCTCCCTACCCCCTTTTTATATACAGTCACAACAACTTACAGCTCTTCCACCATTTAATTTTTAGAGTATTATTCTGATTAACAACACTTGACGAGATTCGTCTGCCTCGATAAACATCTATTTCTTTTTTTCAATTAAAAAAAAAAAAAATTTCTTTTTCTTTTATTTAAAATTTGTTAAATTAAAAAAAAATGTTTTATTTTGAAAATCTTATGTTAAATTCGTCATCAGTGACTCCAAAAAAACCCCAAGTAACTATTTCCAAACGAATTGGCAGAATTTTTCTCAAAAAAAATGTCCGTTACTTTGAATGGTGACAGTGGTGGATGTTTTGGATATTAAATTTGAAATCCTTGACCTGAAATTAGTAGAAAACGAGTACGATGAAGCTGGTATTATTTTTTTCAAAAATTTCAAATTGAATTTTCAAAATTTTTTTCATTTTTGATTATCAAAATTTTATTTTTTGTTTCTTGTTTGTATTAAGTTACAATTTTCATGTGACAAAGGGTAAATGAATAATATATGTCAAAAAAAAAACGAAATTCAAAAATCGAAAAAAATTTTCAAAAATAAATTTTCAAAAAAAAAATATATTTCGATTTTTCAAAAAAAATCTTCATGGTACTCGTTTTCTACTAATAAGAGGTCAACAAATTGAAATCTAACATCAAAAATTGAAAAAAATTTGAAATTTTCAAAAAAAAAAAAAAAATATTTCGATTTTTCAAAAGAAAAGCTTCATGGTACTCGTTTTCTACTAATAAGAGGTGAACAAATTGAAATCTAATATCAAAAATCGAAAAATTTTGAAATTTTCCAAAAAAAGCTTTATGGTACTCGTTTTCTACTAATTTTAGGTCAGGGATATTAAATCTAACTATCAAAATAATCTACACTTTCACTAGTCGTAACTATCAATTGTTTGTAATATAAATAGTAATATAGTCAATTTTTTTTTGTATTTTGTAATTAAATTTTCATTTTTTTGAAAAATTTAAATTATTAAAATAAAAATTGGTAGGCAAACAATTTTTTAGTCACGGCCCTGATGTCAAATTCATCAAGGCTGTTGGAGAGCGCGCGGCATACTCTTTGCGGATCGCAAAAGATGACGATTATAATTCTTCTCAGAAATTTTTGCGACAAATAATTTCTATATCAGACAAATTCCATCTTGGCGAATAATTCTTTCCCCTTTCCCTTTTATTTCTGTGTGTGTGTGTGTGTGAAACTTGACCAGCGATTTATGAAATAAAATAACAATTAACAAAATGTCAAGATTAATTTTAATTAAAATTTTAATTTTTTTTTTATTTTATTTTCTCTTAATTTTACTATTAATATTTAAAAAAAAAAAAAAATTTTAAAACATTTTTTTTTTAAATAATTGAAAATTTTTATCAAAAATAATAATTAATAATAATAATAATAATAATAACAAAACCAATAAAAATTTCACGCCTCAATTTATAATAAAAATAAATTTAACCGAGGGAATTTAAAAAAAAAAAAAAAATTCATTCCACTTGTCAGTGTTTTTTCTTGACATTATATCATTTTAGATGACTGTAATTTAAAACAATTTTGAAAATTATCGAAGCACATCTTGATATTTATTATTATTGTGAATAGAGGGTGGGGCCAATTCTCTCCTTCTTGCGCCGCCAATCTCTCACTGTATATATATATATATATATATATATATATGCATTCAAAAGATGATTTATAACTAATGTCGTGGGAGTATATTTTATATTTTGCCTCTGGACTTAATTCCCTTTAAAAAATATTTTCTCAAGAAGTTAATATTAATTTTTTTCTTTTTTTTTTTATTGAAAATTAAATTTCATACTTTTTTTTTATTTTTGAAAATAATTTCAAAAAAAAAAGTTTTTTTTCTAATAATTAAAAAAAATATATAAATTTTTAATAATAATAATAATAATAATGATAATAATAATAATAATAATAATAATTATAATAAAAATTTTCTCAATGAAATAAAAAAAAAAAAAAAAAAAAAAAAAGAATTAAAATTTTTCAAAAAAATCTTATATAGTCTGATTTAAACTCATATTGGAATATATTACACATTATATTCATTTTTATTGGCCAATTTGTCAATAAAGGATAATTTATAATGCTAGATGAATTATTATTCTCCCAAAGTGAGAAGGATGGGAAAAAAAAAAAAAAAATTTTCTGCCTTGTTTTTTTTCACATTTCGAACACAGCAAATTCAACCAGATTAACTTCACTCTTTCTTGCGGCAATCGTCTTTTTTTTAAGTCAAACAAAAAAGAAACACAAAAAATTATATTCGAGCATTTTAAATCGCGCCTATAAAAAATATTTTCTGATTCATAGTTTATGAATTTTTTTATTTTTTTTAAAAAAAAGCTTCCGATCGAATTTCTTTTTTTTCTTTGGTTCATTTGATCAGAAAAATGTCATGTGACAGCTTTAAACACTCGTTTGCTGTATTTCAATGATAAATAATAATAATAATAATAATAATAATAATAATAATAATAATGATAAAAATGTTGTATTGTGTTAAAAATATCAATTATTAACAACTGTTCGAAAAAATTTGGATTTATAACGTTAAATTCGAATACAGCAACCCCATATTAGTAGAAAACGACTACCATGAAGCTAGTGTTTCTATTTTTTTAAAAATCAAAAAATTTTTTTCAAAAATTTTTTTAAATTTTTTGATTGTTAAAATTTTTGTTACTTCTTGTTTATATTGTTACAATTTTTATGTGACAAAAAGTAATGGTAAAAAAGAACAATATATAAAAACAAAATTTTCAAAAATCGAAAAAAATTTTTGAAAAAATTTTGAAATTTTCAAAAAAAAAACTTCATGGTACTCATTTTCTACTAATTCAAGGTCAACAATTGCAAATCTGACATCAAAAACTACAAAGAAACAAAAATGTAAAAAAAAATTTTTTTAATTTAGAAATCAAAAACAAATTCTAAAAAATCATGTTTGGATATTATAAATAATAATAGAGAAATAATAAGTTTTATAAAATAATAATAATAATAATAATAATAATAATAATTTTATAAAATAATAATAATAATAATAATTGTTTGGCAAAATAAAGACTTAATAAGATAATAATAATAACAATAATGATAATAAAAATGTATTGTGTTGAAAATATCAATTATTAACAACTGTTGTAAAAAAAATTATATTTATAACGTTAAATTCGAATACAGTAACCCCATATTAGTAGAAAACGACTACCATGAAGCTAGTGTTTCTATTTTTTAAAAAAACAAAAATTTTTTTCAAAATTTTTTTTTGAATTTTTGATTGTTAAAAAATTTTTTGTTACTTTTTGTTTATATTGTTACAATTTTTATGTGACAAAGAGTAATGGTAAAAAAGAACAATATAAAAAAATACAAAATTTTCAAAAATCGAAAAAAATTTTTGAAAAAATTTTGAAATTTTCAAAAAAAAGCTTCATGGTACTCATTTTCTACTAATTTAAGGTCAACGATTGCAAATCTGACATCAAAAACTACAAAGAGACAAAAATGTAAAAAAAAAAATTTTCTAATTTAGAAATCAAAAACAAATTCTAAAAAATCATGTTTGGATATTAAAAATAATAATTTTTATAAAAACAATTATAATAATAATTATTATTATAAATAATAAAATTATAAAATAATAATAATAACAATATTTTTATAAAATAATAATAATAATAATAATAATTGTTTGGCAAAATAAAGACTTAATAAGATTTATATTTATATTTTCTTATAATTTTCTTATAATATACATTATATATGTATAAATAACTGCTTGGGGGAAATAAACAGTTCTTTTTGAAAATCTCATTTCTGATAAGAGGACCGGTTATTTAGTTAGAAAATTCCATAAATGGTGTATTACAATCAGATAGAACATCCCTCGACATATTATATCTTAAGTAAATAACAGATTCTCTCTCTCTCTCTCTCAAAAATATATTTATGATTCATTTTCCTTTCGACATTGTTCTTTTTATTATAGACATTTTATTGTCAATTTGAAAAGATTTTTATCATTTTTCTCTTTGTTTCGCTTTGTCGAATACATAACTTCTTTTTTTTTCTTATATTCTTCAAGAGATGAAATTTCATTTTTCCTTTTGAAACATTTAATTGAAATTGAACAAAAATACATTTATTTTGTAAAAAAAAAATTTTTTTTTATAAAATCGTATATAAAAATGCAATTTTTGACCTTTAGTTAGTAGAAAACGAGTACCATGACGCTAGTGTTTTTTTTTTTTTAATTAATTTTTGAGTTTTTTTGGTTTTTTGAATTTAAAATTTTTTGTAGTTTTTAGTTCCTTTGCGGTTATTGATGTCATATTTGTAATCTTTGACTTTTAATTAGTCGAAAACGAGTACCATGAAGCTTTTTTTTTGAAAATTCCAAAATTTCGAAAATTTTTTGAATTTTTTTTTTTTTTTAGTATATTATTTTTTTACACTCTCTTTCACATAAAAATTATAACTTAATTGTAGAATAATATAGAAAATAATAAAAATTTTAATAATTAAAAAAATAAAAAAAAAAAAAATTTCGAAAAAAATTTTGATTTTTTAAAAAACAGGAAACACCAGCGTCATGGTACTCGTTTTCTACTAATTCAAGGTCAACGATTACAAATATAACATCTAAAATTGCCACCGTTTGTAACTGATATAAAATATTGAAAATAATTTTTTTTTTATTAACTATTGCTAATTAATGAATTAAATTACCTATTTTATAAATTTAAAAAAAAAAACAAAAATTTCGTTATTATTTGAAAAATAATTTTCCATGGTAGATTAAGGGATTAGATGGTTTTGAGAACTGTTGGAGAAAGAGCGAGAGAGAGAAAGAGAGAGAAATTCTCAAAAGACTCTTTACCTGTGTCTGGCTAGATTTAAAAAAAAAAAAAGAAGAAAAAAAAACTTCATATCGAAACTACGAGGGATTTAGTGAAAGAAGCTCGTGACACGAGCTCTTTCGCCTCGAGAACTAATTTGCATAAAGATTACCGGCCGAATTAATGTTTTCGCCTCCGCTTATGTTCACACACGAAACCGACAATGTGTGTGGTATCCCCTTTTAATATCTTAACTGACTCTATTCATTGATACTTTCATCCAGGGACGTTTCTACAATTTTTTTTTTATTCTATTTTTTTACTTATTTCAGAAAAATAATAATTTTCAAAAATAATTTTTATTACTATTATATTATAATTATTATTATTATTATTATTATTATTATTATTATTATTATTATTATTAGGTATTATTATTATTATTTTTTTAATTATTTTTATTATTATTAATATTAGGTATTATTATTATTATTATTTTTATTGTTATTATTATAAATATTATAATTGTCATAATAAAAAAAAAAAATTTCATTTTTATTTTTTTTTTGTGCAAAATTAATTTTTTTTTTTTTTCGTTCATTATTTACTTTTTGTTTCAGGTGGTTTGGCTGACCGCAATCCTGTGCCCGCGGCTCATTGCCGCCAATAATTTGACGCTCAACTTTTCTTCTCGCCGATCAAAAGAAATTCATTCTAGAGGTCACATCTCTCGTTGGTAAATAAATTGGTTGCAATTCATTTATTATTTAAGAAAAAAAAAGAAAAAAAATTAGGCTTGTATTTATTTTAAAAAAAATTTTTTTTTTTTAGAACCACATAAAATCAGAATCTAAACGAATATAAAGGAGAATTTTGTAACTTTATTGTAAAATTAGAAATATATATAATATTCATCGTGAAAATAAATTTTTTTCTCTTTTTTTTATTTTATTTTTTTAATATTTTAAAGGTATATATTTGAATAAGCGCCCGGAGTTTATTTTACCATGATGGTGAAAAAAAAAATGTCTAAAGAAACTAATAAGACACTTGAGCAAAAAAAAAAAATAAAATAATATTGGAAAATAAAACCACCGAGTTATTTGCAAAAGGTTCTTTTCTCTTTGCTCCGCAATCATAATGTTAAAACAAATTTAAAAAAAAAAAAAATCTTCATGAAAGTGACACAGCATTCACATTCTTTAACTACCGAATTTGTATATTATAATGTAAACATTCCATTTGAGAGACTTGAAAAAAAAAATTCCAATCCTATCTTTCTAATTAAACATAGAATTAGTTAAAATTTACATTTTTTTTTTTGAATCATTGTTTCGATTTTAGAGTGTTTAAATATTGTACGAATACAAAAAAAAACTTTCACTAATAAAAAAAGATGTATTTAATGTAAAAAAAAAGATTTACCGACTGATGGTAAAGAATTTTTTTTAAATTGCTAATACATAAATTACCGACATAGAAATCTACCTTACCAACTGGTGATAAAGCATTTTTTTTTGAAAAATGAAAATATGAAATTACCGACATAGGAATCTAACTTACCGACTGATGGTAAAGAATTTTTTTTTTTTGAAAAATAAAAATATAAAATTACCGACATAGGAATCAATTTAACCAACTGATTTCTATGTCGGCAATTTTTTATATTGTCATTTTTTCGCAAACCTGTTTTACCATCAGTCGGTAATGTAGATAAGTGTTCTATAGAATTCTAAAGATTCTTATCGGAATTTTTGTATATGTAATTTATTAGTTTTACAATAAAGTTACAAAATTTTTTGCTTTATATTCGATTAGATTAAGATTCTATGTGGTTTCATTCAATTTAATACGATTTTACATACGATTCAATACGCTTTTAAAGTGTTCTAAGTGGTTGTATGTGGATGGTTAAAAAATTAACAAAATGGTAAAAAATTATGAAAAATAAAAATATAAAAAATTACCAACATAAGAATCTACCTTACCGATTGATGGTAAATATTTTTTTTTTGAAAATGTAAATATAAAAAATTACCGACATAGAAATCTACCTTACCGGCTGATAGTAAAACAGTTTATTATAAAATAAAAATATAATCATTACGGACATAGAAATCTATCTTACCGGCTAATGGAAAAGAATTTTTATATAAAAAATTACTGACTGACTGATGGTAAAGAAAATTTTTTGAAAATATAATATTACCGACATAGAAATTTATCTTACCGACTGATGGTAAAACAGGTTTTTCAAAAATGAAAATATAAAAGTTACCGTCGCAGAAATCTATCTTACCGACTGATGTTAAACAGTTTTAATAAAGTTGGTAAAATTTCAAAGCAAAATTCTTTACTATCAGTAAGGTAAATTTCTGTGTCAGTAATTTTTTATGTGTTCATTTTTCAAAAAAAATTACCATCAGTCGATGAGGTAGATTTCTATTTTGGTAATGTTTTATTTTGTCTTTTTTTTCTATAAACCTATTTTACCAACAGTTGGGAAGGTAGATTTCTATGTCGGTAATTTTTTTTATATTTTCAAAAAATGGTAAAAACTGTTTAGTCATCAGTCGGTGTGGTAGATTTCTATGTTGGTAATGTTTTATATTGTTCTTTTTCTACAAACCTGTTTTACCAACAGTTGGCAAGGTAGATTTCTATGTCGGTAATTTTTTTTATATTTTCATAAAAATGGTAAAAACTGTTTAGTCATCAGTCGGTGTAGTAGATTTCTATGTCGGTAATATTTTATATTGTTCTTTTTCTACAAACTTGTTTTACCAACAGTTGGCAAGGTAGATTTCTATGTCGGTAATTTTTTTTATATTTTCATAAAAATGGTAAAAACTGTTTAGTAATCAGTCGGTGTGGTAGATTTCTATGTTGGTAATATTTTATATTGTTCTTTTTCTACAAACCTGTTTTACCAACAGTTGGCAAGGTAGATTTCTATGTCGGTAATTTTTTTCATATTTTCATAAAAAATGGTTTAAAAAAATTTATATTTTCAAAAAATGGTAAAAATTGTTTTACCATCAGTCGGTAATGTAGATATCTGTGCCGGTATTTTTATATTTTGAGGAAAAAAAAGGATTTTATTGAATCGTATGGAAATGAATAGAAACGCATAGAATTGAATAGAGTAAAATTTTTTTTTTTTTTTTTTAATTTAATAATTCAATTTTTAATTTAATTTTTCTATTTTTTCTCCTTTCTCTCCTCTTTTTTTCCCATTTTTCCTTTTTTTCCCTCTCTTTCTCTCTTTTTCTCTTTACATGTCTGGTTCAGGACAGAGCCTCAGGAGGAGGTAATGATGATGACGACGACAATAAAACGTATGACATATCGAGAGATGCAAAATATAATAAGATTGGAGGGCGGTGAGGATGGTGTTGCTGTTGATTGTTGTCCAACAATTGAGGAAATGTCCGAACCAGTTGGTGGTCGCAATCGTCAAGATATGTACGTTGAATTGTATCGTGATGGTGAAAATGCACAACGTTTCTTTGAATACTCATGTCGACCCGATGTACTCGATAAACCATGTCGATTTATTGATCGAAAATTAAATGAACAATCAAGATGCGTTCAACAATTCTCCTATTCTTATGCAATTATTCAAAGTTCTGAAATTAAGGTAAAAAAAAAAAAAAAAAAAAAAATAACTGCCCCTGGGTAATGATTTTTCCCCTCGTACATCAATGTAAGACTGGTTGCCATTTAAGACCCCTATTGGAGAGCAACAAATATTACATCAGTGTTAGCCATAGAGAATTTATTTTTTTATTCGACCAACACTGATGTAATGTTTGTTGCTCTCTAACAGGGGGCTTGAACAGCAATCCGTCTTACATTTTTGTATAAAGGAAAATCATTGCCCAGGGGCAATTCTCTTTTTTTTCTCTCTTATTAAATTAAAAAAATATAAAATTACGTTGTTTTTTTTTTTCAATGAAAATTGTCCCAAGACGCCTGTTTATAGGCGATTCGATGGTAAATATCGGATTGCCTATAAACAGGCGCCTTGGGATGATTTTCTATTTAAAAAAAAAAAAAAAAAAGAAGGAATTTATTTTACCTGTTTTTTTTTTTTTTTTATTTTTTTGCAGGATGGAGAACACACGAGGCATCATCATCGGCAACATCATTTTCCAGCGTTTCCCGGAAGTGCAGCGGCAAGTGGCTCATCTTGGACATTGGATTATATTAAAGTAAGAAGTGGTTGCAGCTGTGAAATTACGCCCAAACCGAAGAAGAAAAAATTTGCGGCAATGAAAGCCAAACGAACAAGAAGCAAATCGCGACCGTCTCGTGACGATTTAAATGATTAATTAAATTAATTACTATTTAATTAATTTTTAATTAATTAATTACTATTTAATTAATGTTTAATTAATTAATTACTTTTTAATTAATTTAAAAAAAATTAATTAATTAAATTAATTCAAAGAAAAAAAAAAATTGCTTCTCTCTGCCAAAAAGAAACAAACACACGAAAAAAAAAGACTATTATTTCGCGATAGTGCGCTAGTTTTATATCGCTGTTAATTTTTTTTTATAAATAATTTTTTTTTTTTTAATTATTTTTTATTATTTATATCCAAATTATACATTTATTAGACGTGCGGCCAGTTCATTTTTTAATAAAAATAATTCTAATATTCTCCCACTCCCACCCCCTGAAGAAATTATTTCTAGCCAAAAAAAAAAAGGGGGAATTTTTAATTTTCTCAAGAATTTTATTAGAGAAAATTAAAAAATAAACGCCCCTTGGAAATAATTTCACTTTTTGACACGAGTGTATATTGGATTATCGCTCTAAAGGCGGTTTTTTTTAGCCCCTTTTTAAGGACTATAATCTTTACATCCGTGTTTACCAAAAAAAAAAAAAAAAAAATGCCTATAAAAAGGCGCTGAAAATTTTTTTTCTCTTTTTTGAATTTTAGAAAAAGAAGAGGAAATTTTTTTTTTCTCTTTCTACAATTAAAAAAAAAGGAAAATGTTTCTCTTTTTAGAATTAAAAAAGGAAAAAAAATTTTTTTTCTCTTTTTAGAATTTCAAGAAAAGGCAAAATTTTTCTCTCCTTTTAAAAATTCCAAAAACAAAAAAGGAAAAAATTTTCTTTTTTAGAATTAAAAAAAAAAAAAAGAAAAAAAAAAGTAGAGAGGCCTTTGAAACTCGTTACCACGTGAAACTGGACGTCGATTTTAAAGAAAAGAAAAAAAAATAAAAAAAAAAAACATGACAAAAAAAATAACCCCGCGTAGTGTATTAAAAAATAAAAAAAAAAAATTGTATTGTTCTAGGTCTCTATTTAACGATTCGTGTTATCGTTATTCGTGTTCTAATTTATGTAAAATATATATAGAAAAAGAAAAAAAATACGCTCCGCTACAAATTAATTGCAGAATAGTCGAAAGTCATCGAAAAACGAAAACAAAAAAAAAAAGAAATTATATTAAAGAGTAGAAAAAAAAGCGAATCTATGTTTAATATATTATATAAATATATATATATAGTCAATGGCAGGGAATGATAAAAATTCTCGTTTAGAAAAAAGAAGCTTTTTCTGCCTTTTTAGAATTTTGTTTTTTTCAATTTTTTATTTATTTTATTTTTTTTTTTTTTATTCGCTTTCTGTGTATATTATTACAGGTAAATTTTACGACTTTTGCAATTCTGTACTGCCATGTAAACTTTGTACATAAAAACGACATTAACTAAAAAGTAAATTTTTTTTCTTGTTTGGTTTTTTTTTCAAAAAAAAAAAAAAAGAAATTCACATTCCACTTCCTTAAATTAAATCCAAAAAAAAAAAAAGAGGGACGTTTTTTCCTACTATAAGAAATTTAATCCTCAATTTCAAATAATAGAAAAAGTAAATTTTTTCTTTTTTTTTTTGTAAATTAAACGAAAAATATAATTTTTTTTTTTTTTTGTACAAGAAAAATAATTTTTTTTTTTCTAAAACAAAAATAGATTTTTTTTCTAAAACAAAAATTATAACCTTTTTTTTCTCTCTCTCTCTCTCTCTCTCGTTTATACCTAAATATAATTAAAATTAATTTTCATTTTGGGCTCAAAATAATTAATTTTTTTTTTAACAGCGAAAGAAAAAAATTTTTCAAATAAAATATTTTTCTTTTATCGCTTTAGAAAAAAAAAAAAATAAAAAAATAACAGCGCCTAATAAATAAAATTTGTACATAATTTTATGACTAATATCATTTCACTAATATCATTTTCAAATAATTATATATTCTATATAAATTTATAAAATAGAAAATATAATATATATATATAATAATAGATTTTTTTTAAATAGAAAAAGAATAAATAAAAAAAAATCACTGGGTTAAAAATTAAAACAAAAAAAAAAAAAAAACTTTTTTTTGACACAAAAACAAAAAAAAAAAAAAATACTTTTTTAATTTTGAAAAAATAGAAAAGAAGAAAATAATTTGTTTATATTGTGAAAAGTTTTTTTTTTTTTTTTTTTTTTGATAAAAATTTTCACAATTTCACTTTATTTTCTTTTATTTCTTTTTTTTTTACTTTTTTTCTTTTCTTTTTTCCTTTTTTCCTTCTTTTAATTTAATGAAATTCAACAAATTTTAATAAAAAGAAAGAAAAAAATTAATTTTCAAATACCTTTTTTTTTTTTTTGTTTTCTTTTATAATGTGTAGAATATTAATTCGGGAATTTGTCCACTTTCAACGCAAGTGCCATTATTACCGCACGCCTCAAAATTAAATTGAAATTTCACTTTTTTCTGACCTGAATCACAATCGACGGTTACTTTTCGTAGACCCTTTATACCATAATGTGAATCTGGACCCTGTGGAGAAAAAAAGCAAAATTTAAAACATTTTTTTTTTTTTTTCTTTTTAATTTTTCCACAATTTTTTCATTAGAAAAATTTTATTTCACTTAATTTTATCAAATTCAAAGTTGCAAAAAAAAAAAAAATACAAAATTTCAAAGAAGCAAATAGAATTTTTAAATAATTGAAAATGTTAATAATATAAATAATAATAATAATAATAATAATAATAATAATAATAATAATAATAATAATAATAATAATAATAATATGTTAATAATTGTAAATCCTGTTAAATTAAAAACAATATTCAACTATTAAAAATCAAAAAAAGTTATTTACTTAATTATTTAGGTAATTAATAATATTTAAATAAATTTAATTTAATTTAATAAAAATTAATTTCCAAAAAAAAAAGTAAAGAAAATTTGTTTTAAAATTAGAAAAAAAAAAGAGAAAAGAAAATGAAATGAAATATTCTGTTGAAAAATGAGATCTTGGTAATTTTTTTTTTCTTTTTTTTTTGTACTTACATCAAATTTGGCAGAAGCTGTGTAAACTGTATTTGGCAAAATTTCAATTGGTTCTTTAAACATAAGACGATAAGTATAATTTGAGCCGTCACAACTAAAACTCGTTGAATTTGATGAAATCACTTTACCCGATGCCGTGTGAATTAATTCAATAACCACATCGTATTCGGCTGGACCATGAAAACTTCCATAAACACCATAGCCGACTAAAAATATTTTTCTATCCACGTGAAATCTGAAAAATGCAAAAAAAAAAAAAAAATGAAAAAATAGAGAAAAAATTTTAAAATATCATTTAAAAAAAAATGAAAAAAAAACAGAGAAAAAATTAAAACATCATAAAAAAATTTGAAAAATAGAGAAAAAAAATTATAAACATGATAAAAAATGTACAAAGAAAAAAAAAAAAAAATGAAACATGAAAAAATTGTATAAAAAAAAATATGAAACATGTAAAAGCTACAAAAAAAAAAAAATATAAAACATTTAAAAAATGTACAAAAAAAAAGAAAAAAATAAAAAACATTAAAAAAAAGAAACAAAAAATAAAATAAAATAAAAATTTCAATACTAATCAAACCTGATTCTATCGCTTATTCCTTTATAACCCCATTTGACTTCAGTTTGTTGAAATCGACAAACAGTTTGTTCTTTGCCCATCATACGACAACGGGGCATTGCTTCGAATCCAACACGAGGTTTTGGATTCAAAATAAAATACAAAAACAACGAAACGACCTGAAAAAAAAAAAATTAAAGAACAAAAAATTATTAAAAAAAAAATTAATCAAAATATTTACAAAATTTGTTATAATATTATTTTAATTTACAATATTTAACAGGGTGTCTAAAAACTGATAGGAAAAAAAATATTCCCTATCATTTCCCCCAAAACAGTAAAAAAATTTTTATTTTGATCAAATAAAATTTATTTTGATACATAATTAAATCATTTAATTGTCTATTGAATAAATCCACAATTAACAGAATTTTTATTTAACAAAATTCTTAATTAACAAAGTTTTTATTAGAGAAAATTTTCATTCCAACTAATTCTTATTTAACAGAATTTTCATTTAAGAAAAATTCTAATTAGTTCTTTTTTTTTTTTGTCAATTTTTCAAGACATAAATTTCGTTAAATTGAAATTACATTAATTTAAAATTTTTAAAAAAGTATTAGAAAAAATGGTTTATAAGAATTCTGCTAAATAGAAATTCTTTGAAATCGAATTTTAGTTAAATGAAAATTCAAAATTTTGCATAATATAAAATCCACTTTATATACAATTTTGCTAAAAAGAAATTGAAAATAATTTAATATTCTATGCCGTAAAAAATTTTATACGTTAAATGTGTGGGTATTAGCATTAAATAATAAATTTCAATTTAAAATCAACTAAAATTTAATTATTTTCAAAATTTTTAGTCCAAAATCGCTTAAATTCAATTATTATCCAAAATTTCAATTAAAAATTAACTAAATTCAATTATTTTACAAAATGTCATTTGAAATTCAATTATTTTAAAAACTTTCTATTCAAAATCAAATAAAATTCAATTATTTTCAAAATTTTTCAGTACAAAATCGAACAAAATTCAATTATTTTCCAAAATTTCAATTGAAATTCAATTATTTACAAAAATTTTAATCCAAAATTAACAAAAATTCAATTATTTTCGAAAAATTTCAATTCACAATAAATTACAATTTACTTATTTTCCAAATTTTAATTGAAATTCAATTATTTAAAAAAAAGTTTAATCCAAAATTAACAAAAATTCAATTATTTAAAAAAATTTCAATTCAAAATTAACTAAAATTCAATTATTATCAAAAATTTCAATTCAAAATCAACTACAATTCAATTATTTTCCAAAATTTCAATTATTTTTAAAAATTTTAATACACAATAAACTACAATTTAATTATTTTCCAAATTTCAAATAAAAATTAATTATTTTCAAATTTTTCTATTTAAAATTAATCAAAAATTTCTTTTATTTTCAAAATTTTTAATTCAAAAATTCAATTAAAATTTAATTGTATTCCAAAATTTCAATTAAAAAACAATTATTTTCAATATTTTCAATCCAAAATTAACAAAAATTCAATTATTTTACAAAATTTCAATTTAAAATCTTCTAAAATTTTCCATCTCAAATTTTTTTAAATTTAAATAATTCCAATTATAACTCTTCTGAAATTTTCAAAAATTTTTAATCCAAAATTAACAAAAATTCAATTATTTTCAAAAATTTCAATTCACAATAAATTACAATTTAATTATTTTCCAATTTCAATTGAAAGTCAATTATTTTAAAAAAAGTTTAATCCAAAATTAACAAAAATTCAATTATTTCAAAAAATTTCAATTCAAAATCAAATTCAATTTTTTTCAAAATTTCATTCCAAAATTAACTAAAATTCAATTATTATCCAAAATTTCAATTAAAATTCAATTATTTTCAAAATTTCATTCCAAAATCAACTAAAATTCAATTATTATCCAAAATTTCAATTAAAAATCAATTATAATTCAATTATTTTACAAAATTTCAATTTAAAATCTTCTAAAATTTTCCATCTCAAATTTTTTTAAATTTAAATAATTCCAATAATAACTCTTCTAAAATTTAATTATTTTCAATATTTTCTATTCAAAATCAACTAAAATTCAATTATTTTCCAAAATTTTCAATCCAAAATCAACGAAAATTCAATTATTTTCAAAAATGTCATTTGAAATTTAATTATTTTCAAAACTTTCTATTTAAAATCAAAAAAAAATTCAATTATTTTCAAATTTTTCAGTCCAAAATCGACCAAAATTCAATTATTTTCCAAAGTATCAATTGAAATTCAATTATTTTCAAAATTTTCAATCCAAAATTAACAAAAATTCAATTATTTTCAAAAATTTCAATTCACAATAAACTACAATTCAATTATTTTCCAAATTTCAATTCAAATTCAATTATTTAAAAAATTTTCAATTCAAAATAAACTGATATTCAATTATTTTCAAAATTTTCAATCCTAAATCAACTAAAATTCAATTCTTTTACAAAATTTTTGAATTCAAAATAAACTGAAAATCAACTATTTTGAAAAATTTAAATTTGAAATTCAATTATTTTTCAAAATTTAAATTAAAATTCAATTATTATTCAAAATTTCAATTAAAAATCAATTATAATTCAATTATTTTACAAAATTTCAATTTAAAATCTTCTAAAATTTTCCATCTCAAATTTTTTTAAATTTAAATAATTCCAATTATAACTCTTCTAAAATTTAATTATTTTCCAAAATTTTCAATCCGAAATCAACGAAAATTCAATTATTTTCAAAAATGTAATTTGAAATTTAATTATTTTCAAAACTTTCTATTTAAAATAAAAAAAAAATTCAATTATTTTCAAATTTTTCAGTCCAAAATCGACCAAAATTCAATTATTTTCAAAAATTTCAATTCACAATAAATTACAATTTAATTATTTTCCAATTTCAATTGAAAGTCAATTATTTTAAAAAAAGTTTAATCCAAAATTTACAAAAATTCAATTATTTAAAAAAATTTCAATTCAAAATCAAATAAAATTCTATTATTTTCAAAATTTTCAGAACAAAATCAATTAAAATTCAATTATTATCCAAAATTTCAAATAAAATTCAATTATTTTCAAAATTTCATTCCAAAATTAACTAAAATTCAATTATTATCCAAAATTTCAATTAAAATTAAATTATTTTCAAAAATTTCAATATGAAACCTTTCTAAAATTTAATTATTTCTAAAATTTCCCATCTCAAATTTTTTGAATTTTAATAATTCCAATTATAACTTTTCTGAAATTCAATTATTTTTAATTTATTTTTTGAAAAATTCAACTATCTGAAATCATTATTGGCTTAAAAAGTTTTCAAATTATTGTTTAATTAATTTCAATAATCAAAATTGTAAATCTTTGGAAATTCAATTACTTTTAAAAAATGTTATCCAAAAATTATTTCATAAATTATTTTTAATTCTGTTAAATTTAATTATTGTCTGAAAATTAACAGAATTTGTTTTAAATTTAATTATTTCTTCAAAATTCAATTTTAATTCTTTCAAAATTATTATTATTTAAAAAAAAATTTATTTAAAAAAAAATTTATTTAAAAATCTGTAAAATTTGATTAAGTATTGCCTGAAATTTTTTTTGACCATCAAAAATTAAAAACTATGAAAAAATTTTTAATTCGAATAAATTGCTTAAATCAGGCAGATTTTCTAGTACATTAAATTTCAAATTAATACAATTTCAATTTAACGGAACTTATGTCAGGAATAATTGCATAAAGAACAATTTTTTTAACAGAATAAATAGTAGTAAATAATTATTTACTTAATGAATATATATCACATGCTTAATAATTTGAGTGTGAATGCCAATTTTTTAAATTGCATTTGCTTTTGAGAAAAAAGTAAAATTTTTTTTTTTGAAACTAATAGTAACTTTAGTTTATTTATCAAAAATTCCGGAAAATTAAAGAAATTTCCTGATTTTTTCCCTGATCGTTAGACACCCTGATATTTTAATAATAAAAATTAAAAAAAAAAAATTTTATTTCAATTATTGAATTAGAATTTTATTTTATTTTTTTTTTTTATTTTTTAACTATTGAATTAGAAAGAAAAGGAAAAATAATTTGAATAAATCATGAAATACCTCCTTGTCAGTTAAAAGACCAGATTGAGCTGGACCACTTGCAAATTCCTCCATTGACATTAAAGGAAAACGAACAAGTGAAAGAGCTCGTCCCAATACTGATCGTTGATTATCCGGAGTTACTGGAAGTTGTTGCCTCACACATTCTGCTTCTGACCATCTGACAATAAAAAAAAAAAAAATTCTTTTCACCAAAATTTTCTAATATTAAAATCGTTTAATTTTGAATTTTATAATTTTTATTTATTTTCTTTTATTTCTACGAATTATTAATTCGTACAAAATTAATTAATTACGAATTATTAATTCGTACAAAAATTAATTAATTACTAATTGTATTTGACAGAATATTATTAAAATAATGTATCTGAAATAAATAAAATATTTAACCCCTTAACTACGATGACGACAATTTTGTAACGTCAAATTGTCGTTATCAGCAATTAAGGAATTAATTCAACAATTGATTTAAGTTTAATTCAATATTAATTTAATATGTTTAAAAAATGTCCCTTAAAATTATTGGAAAATAATAATTAATTTTGAAATATTGTCATTAAAAAAATTAAAATTCACCTGACAACTGCTTGAAAAATTTTCGACTCTCTCACACGTAGTGTATCTCTTTCTAAAACAACAATAAGCGTTTCAATATCAATATCAATAAAATTATCAGCATTTAATGCATCATTCGTTGATTTATCAATTGTATCAAGACAAACAGCCGCCAATTGTGGTTCATCAAATAATCTTGCTTGTGCCAATAATAAAAATGCATTATCAGTTGTTAAATTATTACGTAAAAAATCAACACAATGTTTTTCAAGTGGTGATACGGCATATTTTTTTGCCGTATATAATGTTGTCATTACATTTTCAGGATCAATTTGTATTTCATCAGTATAAAGAAATAATAATACAGCAAGAAATGTTGCCGGTTCAACGTCAGGTACTTCAATTTCAACTGATGCCGTTGCTAATGTTCCATTAAACATTGCATCAAAAACAGCGCTACCCGATGATAATACTAATTTATGAGCTGGTATTGATTGTTGTTGTGCGCCACGTCCAACGAGAAAATGAACATCAGATAGAATTTCATTATTAAAAAGAAATGCAAAACGTTCGCGCATTGTTGCTTTTGTCCCTTGCCAATTGTAAGTTGCCGGTGGACGTTGTGTTATTCCATTTTCAAGAACATGATTTTGTACTCTTGCCTCTGATTGAGCGTTTGATGTGTTCCTTGGTGGTCGTCTATTAAAAAATAAAATAAATTTTATTTTCTTTAATTATTAATTATTATTAATTTATTTGTTTACTGGCAAAATTAAACGCGCGCCAAATTGAATATTTAATTGTTTGTTATAAAAATACGATTTTTATTGACTTATTTTAATAAAATGCGACATTTTTTTTTTTTTTTTTTTTTTACATTTGAAAAGAAAATTTAAATAAAATACATTTTTTTTTTAGTATAAAATTTATATCTTCTTCAAATCTTCTTCAATTCAATTAATTAACAAATTTTCAACTAAAATGATTCTTCACTAAATTAATTTATTTTTAATAATTTTCATGAAATATATCACAAATTTTTAATTATATCAAAATTATTTTTCAAATTAAAATTTTTATGAAATTTAACAATTGTTTATAATTTAGAAAAAAAAAAATATCACAATAAAATTGAATTATTTTTTGAAAAATTTCAATTCAAAATAAACTAAAATTCAATTATTATCCGAAATTTTAATTCAAAATCAATTAAAAATCCAATAATTATCCAAAATTTAAAATTTAATTATGTACCAAGTTTTCAATTTAAAATAAAATAAAATTCAATTATTTTCTAAAATTTTCTATTCAAAATTAATTATCCAAATTTTCAATCAAAAATGAACTTCAATAAAATTATTATCCAAAATTTCAATTAAAATTCAATTATTTCCCAAAAAAATTTCAATTTAAAATCAAATAAAATTTCATTATTCTCAATTCAATTATTTTACAAAATTTTCAAATTAAAATTACAAAAATTTAATTATTTTCAATTATATTTTCAATTTAAATATCTATTAAAAATTCAATTATTTTAAATTGAAAATACCTACTTTGTAAAATTAATCCAAAAATAACAATAATAAAAATTACTGTCTTGAAACAGAAAAAAATACGTTAATTCGATATAATTAAGTGAAAAAGAAATTGAAGTTAAAGTTTTTAGAAATAATTGAGTTTTGAAAGAGCAATAATTAAAATTTTTTGAACTAATTGAATTTTACGAAATTTTTAATTAAAAATATTCCTAAATTTTTTTCAGTGATTTTTGATTTTTTAAATTAATTGAATTTCAAGTGATTTTTAATTTATAATTTTTGATGATTTCATTAAAAAATTTATTAGAAATTGCGGACAAAAATACAATAAATTGAAAACTTTTTAAGCGAAAAACGGTTTATGATAGTTGAATTTGCCGAAGAATAAATTAAAAATAATTGAATTTCAGGAGAGTTATAATTGGAATTATTAAATTTCAAAAAATTTGAGATGGGAAATTTTAGAAATAATTAAATTTTAGAAGCTTTTAAATTAAAATTTTCGAAAATAATTGCATTTTAGTTGATTTTTGATTTAAAATTTTTTTAATTATTGAATTTCAAATGACATTTTGGAAAATAATTGAATTTTTGGCTATTTTTTATTGAAATTTTTTTAAAAAATAATTTTTTCACAAATTATAATTAAAATATTGAAAAAAAATTGAATCATTGAGCTTTTATTGAATTTTTCAGAAAATAATGGTATTTTAAAAAAAAATAAAATATTTTTTAGAAATAATAAAATTTATAAAAAATTTGAACCAAAATCTTTGAAAATAATTAAAATTTTTGTCCGTTTTTTTAAACAAATACGTATCAAAATTTTTGAAAATTCTAATTTTCACTAAATTGTACTTAAATTTTTAAATATAATTGAATTTTAATTTAAATTTTGAAAAATAATTGAATTTCAAATTTAAATTTTTCAAAATAGTTGATTTTCAGTTTATTTTGAATTCAAAAATTTTGTAAAAGAATTGAATTTTAGTTGATTTAGGATTGAAAATTTTGAAAATAATTGAATATCAGTTTATTTTGAATTGAAAATTTTTTAAATAATTGAATTTGAATTGAAATTTGGAAAATAATTGAATTGTAGTTTATTGTGAATTGAAATTTTGGAAAATAATTAAATTCTAGTTATTTAGAATTGAAACTTTTGAATATAATTGAATTTCAATTGACAGTGTATTGAAATTTCAATTCCAAATCAACTAAAATTCAATTATTTTCCAAGTATTCAATTCAAAATAATTTAAAATACAATTATTTTCTTAAATTTCAAGTGGAATTTAATAATTTTCAAAAAATTTAAATTTGAAATTCAATTATTTTTTAAAATTTTAATTAAAATTCAATTATTTTTCAAATTTTCAATTTAAAATTTAGTAAAATTCAATTATTTTTCTAATTTTCAATTTAAAATTAACGAAAATTAAATTATTATCCAAAATTTCAATTAAAATTCAATTATTTCCCAAAAAATTTTCAATTCAAAATGAACTGAAATTCAATTATTTTCAAAAGCTTAAATCAAATAAAATTTCATTATTCTCAAAAATTTGAATTCAAAATTAATTGAATTTTCAATAATTTGAATTTAAAAGCATCTAAAATTTAATTATTTCTAAAATTTTCCATCGAAAATTTTTTTTTTGAAATTTAATAATTTCAATTATAACTCTAAGGAAATTCAATTATTTTTAACTATTTTAACAATTTTCATTGAAAATTCAACTATCTGAAACCATTTTTCAATTAAAAATGATTTTCAAATTATTGTATTTTGTCCGCATTTTCTAATAAATTTTTAGTGAAATCATCTAAAATTTTAATTAAAAATCACTTAAAGTTTCAATTAATTTCAAAAATCTCAATTTTAAATCTTTGAAAATTCAATTAAATTTTTAAAAATGTTTTCCAAAAATTGTTTGATAAATTATTTTTAGTTCTGTAAAATTTAATAATTGTTTTTGAAAATTAACAATAGCTTTTGAAATTTAATTATTTCTAAAAATTTCAACTTTAACCCTTCGAAAAGGATTATTATTAAAAAAAAAATAATTTTTATTTAAAAATCTGTAAAATATTTTTGTTAAAATAAAAAACAAATCCACTGTTTTTTGGAATATAAATCGACTAAAACGACTTTTTGTGTCTTTAAATTGATTCGAGGCCTGTGTTTTTATAATTAATATTTAGTAGATATTCGTTGGCCCCTGGTATCTTAAAAATTAATTTTGAAAAATAAATTTTTTTCAAATTACTATCTTGTACGAAATTTCCTTGCGCATCTTTTTTCTCATCATAAATTTTTTCTATTTGTATACAATTTTTGAATCAATATACAAGTTTTAAAAAAATTTCGTTGGTAAACGTTGTGTACTTGAGCTTCGTGAATTGAATTTTCGAATTTGGAATTTTAAAGAAACTTATTCCGAAATTTGGAAACACAATTATACAACTTTGGCAAAAATGAGAAAAAGAATTGTCCAAATTTGACACGGCATAAGATTACTATTCAAAAAAAAAAAAAAAACACGTGAAATCAGAAAAGGCCAACTTCAAGTTAGGACAGAAGGACAGATCAAGCATTTTATTATTATATAATTATTAATATAAATAATAATATTAACATTTTTTTTTTTTTTTTGATAATAAAAATTTTTTAAAAACTAATAAATAAATTTAAAAAAAAAAAAGAAAAATGACTCACTCCTCTGCATTTGACGATGATGCTTCACCATGTCGCGATGCAATCAACGGTCCCTGTTCCTCGTCAATCGAAAATGTAAGAGCGCGTCTTGCTCGGGATATCATAATATTACCCGGTGGTTGCATATTATGTGGGGAATCAGTTGAAACATTATCATTTTCCGTTTCTAATCGTAAATGATGTAATCTTGCCACCGCTGTAAAAATATCTTCTCCTGGAGCGTCCGACATTTTTTTTTTTTTTTGTAAAATTTTTCTTTTTTTTGAATCTTTAATTTTCAATATCCATTTTTTTTATACTTTGAAAAAATAAATCCTATATTGTCAAAAAAGAAAAAAATTAATTATTATTATTTTATTGAATTAGAATTTTTTTTTAAATTTATTACGTTTTTATTTTATTTTATTTAAATTAGAAGTTTTTTTTTTTTTTTATTTATTACGATTTTATTTTATTTAACGAAATTTTCTTAATTTGAGAAATAGAAAAAAATTATTTCGAAAAGATTTTTATAGTATTGTAATTAAATTAATTTAAATAAATAATAAATAAAATAATACAGTAATTAACAAATAAACGAGTAAAAAATAGTTAAATTAATTTGAAAAATAGTTAAATTTTTTTATTTATTTAGAATAATAAATAAAATAAATAATATATAATATAATAAAAATACTAAAAATTATAATAATTGTAGTAATATCTAGTAATTATAATAATAATAATAATAATAGTAAAAATAATAATAGAAATCAAAATAAAAATAAGAAAAAATAATTATAATAATAATAACAATAATAATAATAATAATAATAGCAATAGTAATAATAATAATAATAATAATAATAGTTAGCAGTATTAACGTTTTTTTTTAAATAAATAAAACATACACCTTTTTATTTTGTTTAAAAAATTGCATATAATTAAAAAAAACGAACATAACCTACAAAATTTTCTCCTATTCAAAAAATAAAAAGAAAAATAAAAATTCCTCTTCAAATTTACAACAATATTAAATAAATTTCAAAAAGAATAATTGAATTTTTTTATAATTCAAAAATTATTAAATAAATAATAAATAAATAAGCCTAAATAAATTACGAAAAAAAAATACAACATAACCTCTCAAGGACGAAAGAAAAATTATATATATATATATATATATATATATATATATATATATAAATATATATATATTAAGTCCATTTTGTAATTTTTATATTATTTATTTATATTATTATTAATATTTTCAAAATTGTGGAATTATACTTATAGAAAAGTAATGAAAATTTTTTAATATTGATAAAAGAAATTTTTCCTATAATTAAATTATATATATATAGCAATATATAGAAATTGAAAAAGAATAAAATTTTAAGACTGCAATCATCAGCTGTTATTTCACGTCAAGATAAACATGCGAGAAATAAATCGTGGCGAAACATTTTTTTTTTTTTTTTCAATAGAAATATATTAAATAAATAAATATATATATATTAAAATAACTTACACGTTTTCAAATAATTTATAAACAATCACTGATAATCCATTTGAGAATAAAAGCACGGTGAAATAATGAAATATTGATAAACTTTGAAAATTGAAAATCAATTGCATTCCAAATTTGCAGACTATATATATATACATAACATAAGCTTAACTACGATTGGTCGATGCGAACTAATCCCGGGAAATTCAAATACATAAATTTCAATTGTAGTTTTCTAAAAAATTATTATTATTATTATTTGTATAATAATTATTAATTATAATAATAATAATAATTATTATTATTATTATTTTATTGTTACTATTATTTTTAATTTATTCATTTAAATTTACGAATTTAATTAGTAATTTTCAAAAAAATTATTATTATTACTATTTTTTGCTACGATTATTTTTATTAATTTTTAATTTATTTATTTAATAATAAACTGGACAAAATTTGGACAATTTTTAAAACGGGACAATTTTCTTCTTTTTTTTTGAAATTTTTATTAATATAATTATAATCAGTTTATTATATATATATAAAAAAAAAGAAAAAAAAAAAAACCAATTTTTTGCCATTATTAAGCGAATATTTCTTATAAACTTCCGTCTTGTTAAAAAGAGGAATGATTTTTAGAAATTTCCTTGAACTCTTTGTTCTTCATGACTGATCACAGATTTTTAATTTTTCCGGTCTTTTCCTCTCCCTACGATATAAATTTTTTTTTTCTTACCTTTTTTTTTTAATTCAGCGCTCGTTTGATGTTTTTTTTTTTTATATTAAAATCATCTCTTTAAAAAAAACCGCGCAAAAATTTAGTTAAAAAAAAAAAACTTTTTTGAATTTTTATGAAATTAAAAAAAAATTCAAATACAGAAAGTTTGTTTCAAACCCCTTAACAATAGCAATTTCTCTACAAGAATGTACCAACCTTTTTTTTTTTTTTGCATTTTTAACTCCCCGGAACTGTATTTAAAAAAAAAAAAAAACGTACTTTTTCCTATTTTTTTTTTTAAATAAAAATTTTTTCTTTTTTGATAGAGGGGACAGGAAGTGAACACCTTGTCCCTGACATAGGCGCGAGTCGATTATTTTTCAGGGTTATTTGCGGTAAATATTTCTGAATAAATTCAATAGACAACAGATTCATTGGTATCAGTATTGTATTTGTTTTCGGGAAGAGTAAATCGAAAAAAAAATTTAGTGTCATTTTGTGCTGATAAAGGAGAGAATATTTAAGAAGAAACAAAAAGAACCGACAGAGGATTATTGCAGATTTTTTTGTATCCAAGTTTCCTGACAAGACTCGTCAGACTTCGCGATTGTCGTCTTCTCATAAGTTGGCTCTACTCTCTCTCTCTCTCTCTCCCACGCTTCTTCGCGTCAAAATTTCATGGTTCCCGCCTCTAATTGAGAGAAAAAAAAAAAAAAAAAAAAAACATCTTTCTCCATTGCAAAGGCACAACACAATTAGCGGTAAATCCCGAGAATTTATGAGTTCTAAACTCGATTTAAAAGAAAAAAAAAAAAAAAATTGTCGCTTTACTTTCTTTCCTTCTCTCTCTCTCTTTCTCTATAAGATTCGAATCATTCTAACCTCAAAATTCCTCGTGGGACGACGACGACGACGGACGCGATCGCGCGCGGTTACAAGAGAAAACAAGTCTCATTTATACAGTTTTTTTTTTATTTTTGACATCTAAAAATATACAGTTTTTCCATGACGATATAAACGAAGTGACCGAGTATCGTTTTGTCTATTTTTGATTTGCCAACACCAAAACAGTTGCATCTTTGCAAATAATCTTGTTTTTGCCTGCGGTAATTCGAGAGTTCCTCTAATCGCGCAATATTCTAGCAGACGCTTCTGTCAATATAGAATTCTAAAAGAAAAAAAAAAAAAATCTTTTTTCGTCTATTTACCGGAAATTAATAAATTGTGTGTGTGTGTGTGTTTGATTTTAAAATTATTAATTTTCCAAAATACAAAAGTTTTATGACAATTTTTTATTCTCTATATCTAATGCAAAAAAATGCAAATAAAAGTATAATCAAATTTTGAGGTTATAATTGTGATATGTGTTTTTTTAAAAAAAAAAGTGAAGATGAATAGAAAAAAGTGCATTGAATTTTGAAACAACTGAGGACAATTATTGTACGTATTTTTTGATGTTTGTTTGTTTGTTTGTTTGTTGTTGTTGTGTTTTTATTTTCGATTTTTTTTTCATTTTTCTCTCTCTTTCTCTCTTTCTAATTTTACTACAAGTGCGTGTGATATTTCGCAATCATTTTTGTCCTGTTTAGTGACCTTTTATGGCAGTTTGAATCTTAAAATACATATATATATATATATATATATATTTCTCTCGGATGCTGGAGTGTATTAAAAAATAATTTTTTTTTATGTAGTACAATTTTAACAGAAGTAAAAATGAAAAAACGTGATTATTTATATATATATATATAAAAAAAACAGAAATTGATTTGTCACGTGCTATTTACATTAAATTTTCAAATTTCTTTTTTGTTTTAATAAACAGAATTTTGTTTTCTTGTTAAATATTTTTCCGAGCACGATTTGAAGATTAATTGATAATTATTTTAAGTTTTGTATTTTTAAAACAAACAAAAAAAAAAAAAAAAAAAAAAAAAAAAAAAATTAGGTTAATTAAAATATTTAAAAATTTATTGTATTAATAAGCGAAAAATATTAATATTAAAAAAAAAAGGTTTTATTAATGAGAAAAATTTATTTTTTTTTTTTTTTAGAAAAAAAAGTGAAATGAAACGAAATTTTTAATGAAAATTAATTATTAATAACTATAATTATTAATTTATTAATATTTTTTAATTATCAGTTTATTATTAATTTTCATATTCTTAATCTACAGTTTGTATTTTTTTTGTTTGCGCTTTTATGAATTGACATTTTTTTTTGTTATTTATTTTTCCAATTGTTTTTCTTTTGCAACACGTTTACAATTTTTTTTTTTTTTTTTTTTTTTTTTTGCTCACACAGGACAAAATTACATGTAATAACTAATAAAATAAAGTGTCAATAATTTCGTGTCATTTTATTTCTTTTGTGAAAAAATTAAAAAAAAAAAAGTAAAATTATAAATTTTAACTTTTTTTCATTAATTTTGCGATTTTTTTTTTGTGCAACAGTTTTAAAATTTATTAATTATTTATAAACGGTGGTAAATAATTATTTATTTTCATATTTATATATTTATTATTTATTTCTTCTACTATTTCGTATTTTATTATTTATTTTTGAATTTTTTTTACTATTTTACTGTTTTAATTATTTATAGTACAATTAATTATTAATATTAATTAATTTTTTTTTTCATAATTTATAGTAAAATTAATTTATTATTTAAAATTTTTTATATATTAAAATTATTTTATAATTTTATGGTATTATTTTGTAGTATAATTATTTATTATTTATTTATTATTCGTTATTTTAATATTTTATTAGTATTAAATAAACAAAATAAATAATATTTATTTTTACTATTGTTATTAGGTTTTTTTTTTTTTTTTTATTCAATTTTGAGTTAACAGTTATTAATTAAAAAAATATTTTTAAACTATAATAAATTATTTATAATAAATATTTATTAAATATTTACATTTTACAATATTAAAAAATTTTTTAAATTAAAATGCTTTTTAAAATTTTTGTAATTTCAGAGTGTCTAACGGATTAGGGAAGTCAGGGAAAAATCAGGAAATTTCTTTAATTTTCTGGAATTTTTTTATAAATAAATTAAAGTAACTATTATAGTTTCAAAAATTTTTTTTACTTTTTTCCATAAAATAAATACAAATTATTATTTTTATATTATGCAAAATTTTCAATTTACATTTAACTAAAATTCGATTTAATTTCTATTTAGCAGAACTCTTATAAAGCATTTTATCTAATACTTTTTTTGAAATTTTAAATTAATATAATTTCAATTTAACCAAATTTATATCTATAAAAATTGACAAAAAAAAAAAGAACTAAATATAATTTATTTTATTTATTAATTCAAATTAAAAATTTTTTCATAGTTTTTAATTTTTGATGGTCAAAAAAATTTCAGGCAATACTTAATCAAGTTTTACAGATTTTTAAATAAAATTTTTTTGAAATAATATAAAAATTTTGAAAGAATTAAATGTGAAATTTTAAGAAATAATTAAATTTCAAAAAATTTTGTTAATTTTCAGACAATTATTAAATATTTTACAGAACTAAAAATAATTTATCAAGCAATTTTTGGAAAACATTTTTTAAATTTAATTGAATTTTCAAAGATTTATAATTTTGATTTTTGAAATTAATTGACTTCAATTGATTTTTAATTTATGATTTTTGATAATTTTACACTTAAATATTGCAGACAAAAATACAATAATTTGAAAACTTTTTAATCGAAAAATGGTTTCAGATAGTTGAATTATTTTCCAAAGAATAAATTAAAAATAATTGAATTTCCTGAGAGTTATATTTGGAATTATTAAATTTCAAAAAATTTGAAATCGCAAATTTTAGGAATAATTAAATTTTAAAAGCTTTTAATTTGAAATTTTTGAAAATAATTGAATTTTAATTAAAATTTTGAAAAATAATTGAATTTTAAATTGAAAAATTTTTGAAAATTATTGAATTCCACTTGAAATTTAAGAAAATAATTGTATTCTAAATTATTTTGAATTGAATGCTTGGAAAATAATTGAATTTTAGTTCACTTTAAATAGAAAATTTTTTAAATAATTGAATTTTAATTAAAAAGTGGAAAATAATTGAATTTTATTTGAATTTGAAATGAATTTTTTGAAAATAATTGAATTTTAGTTGATTTTGGACTGAAAAAATTGAAAATAATTGAATTTTATTTGATTTTGAATAAGAAATTTTGAAAATAATTGAATTTCAATTGTCATTTTAAAAAAAAAATTGAATTTTTATTAATTTTGGATTGAAAATTATGAAAATAATTTATTTTTATTTGAAATTTTGGATAATGATTGAATTTTAGTCGATTTTTGACTGAAAAATTTGAATCTAATTGAATTTTATGTGATTTTGAATAGAAAATTTTGAAAATAATTGAATTTTATTTGATTTTGAATAGAAAATTTTGTAAAATAATTGAATTTAGTTTATTTTTAATTGAAATTTTCAAAAATAATTGAATTTTATTTGATTTTGAATAGAAAATTTTAAAAATAATTGAATTTCAATTGTCAGTTTCGAAAATAATTGAATTTTTGTTAATTTTGGATTGAAAATTTTGAAAATAATTGATTTTTAATTGAAATTTTGGATAATTATTGAATTTTCGTCGATTTTGGACTGAAAAATTTGAAACTAATTGAATTTTTTTGTGATTTTGAAAAGAAAATTTTGAAAATAATTGAATTTAGTGTTTTCTTAATTGAAATTTTAGATTATAATTGAATTTTATGTGATTTTGAATAGAAAATTTTGAAAATAACTGAATTTTGGTTTATTTTGGTTTCAAAATTTTGAAAATAATTGAATTTTAGTTGATTTTCAATAGAAATTTTTTTAAAGAATTGAATATCAATTGAAATTTGGAAAATAATTTAATTGTAGTTTATTGTGAATTGAAAATTTTGTAAATAATTGAATTTTTGTTAATTTTGGATTGAAAATTTTGAAAATAATTGATTTTTAATTGAAATTTTGGAGAATATTTGAATTTTAATCGATTTTGTTCTGAAAATTTTGAAAATAATAGAATTTTATTTGATTTTGAATTGAAAATTTTGTTGAAAAATTGAATTTTTGTTAATTTTGGATTGAAAATTTTGTAAAATAATTTAATTTTAATTGATATTTTGGAAAATAATTGAATTTTGGTCGATTTTAGACTGAAAAATTTTGAAAATAGTTGAATTTTATTTGATTTTAAATTGAAAATTTTTTTAGAAAATAATTAAATTTCAAATGACTTTTTGGAAAATAATTTAATTTTCCTTGATTTTGGATCGAAAATTTGGAAAATAATTGAATTTTAGTTGATTTTGAATTGAAATTTTTGTAAAATAATTGAATTTTAGTTAATTTCAAATAGAATTTTTTTTTTAAATAATTGAATTTTATTTGAAAACTTTGAAAAATAATTGAATTTTATTTGAATTTGAAATGAATTTTTTGAAAATAATTGAATTTCAGTTGATTTTGAAATTAATTTTTTTGAAAATAATTGAATTTTAGTTGATTTGGAATTATTACATTTATTACTGTATATAAATTTCTTTTTATTCTCAAAGTAAAAATTGATGGTAATAAAAAATTTCCCTACTAAATTGGGAAAAAAAGGGGAAATAATTTTTTTTCCTTTTTTTTTTAACTAAATTTTCTGTTTTTTTTTCCATTTTATTTTTATTTATTTATTTTTTTTTTATTAATTTTTTACATGTTTTTTTTAAATATATTTTTCTATTTATTTATTTATTTTCTAATAAAATTGTTTCGTTTTTATTTTCCAGGTATGTGGATTATTATAATGGCTCAACATTTTGTGACTGTTTGTGTTGTTTGCGTATTATGCGCTGCACACAATTATCCATGTTCAGCGCACATGGATTTTTCTTCTTCTCAATCGTCAAAATTATTTAATGACGAAACAAATAATAATAATAATAATAATAATAATTATTATCATTTATCAAATGACGAAAAATTATTAAATCCATCATCATCATCATCATCATCATTACTTGATAATGAAAATTCACGTGATTCGGATAATGATGATGATTTTTATTATTTGGAATCAATAAATGTGCCAAATGAAAAAAAAATTGTTGATACAACAAATAATAAGAAATTAATGGAGAAACGAATCTCGAGGCAAGAATCTTTTAGATCACGACGACATTTGGATATTGATGGTAAATTATTTACAAAAAAAGTTTTTGAAACTTATGGAAATGGTGAAAATATGACAATGAAGGGATTTGAGGAATTATTAAATAAATTAGGATTAGTTAAACTTATTATGGAATTGAATGATGAACGAGGCGAGACAAATTCTGCGGGTGAGTGAGAAAAAAAAATTAATTATATTTTCCATTAAAAATTAATTGCGAAAAAAAAATTTTTTTTATTAAAATAGAAAAAAATAGTTATTATCATTGTTACAAAAAATAGTAATAATTAAAAAAAAAAAAAATTTTTTAATTTAAATAAATAAATTTTCTTTCATATAAACAAAATATATCGTTAAAAAAAAATAAAATTTAAATTGCAAATAAATTAATTAGAAAAAAAAATAATAAATTACAATTTGAATATACCCGTGTGGAAAAGTGATGTGGGCCCCCAGCGGGGGCCCTTATGGATCGCCCTCATGCCATGAGGGGCGCATATGGATGATCCATAGGGGCCCCTCATGGAAACGACATGCTCATCGATGAGGGCGCCCGCATGGGCGATCCATGAGGGTGCCCCTACGGGCGCCCTTATGGGCCCTCACGTTTGCCCTCATCTTGCCCTCAAGTTTGCCATAATGTTTTTTAATCAATAATATTAATAATAAAAGTTAATTGATAATAAATAAGCTTAAGTTATGAATAAATAACATATTTATTTAATAATTATTCAATTTTAAATTAAATTCTTACTCAAATTGAATTTATTAATTAACGTTCTAATTAATTAACTGTCGGATATAATTAAAAGTAATAATAAATTAATTAATTAAAAAATTAAAAAATATGTAATTTATGCATACTATTAACCGATATTTTCATTTTTCAATTAATTCATACATAGAATTAATGATTAAACGCAAACCTGAGAAATAAATAAATCTAACGCATGGGGGGAATCGAACCTACGACCTACGGACTATGAACCTAACGCTTTACCAACTACGCTACGCACGCTACTTCAAAACGAATGCTAACTTCTTGATGCTATTTAAACTTGAAAAATACCTAACAAAGAAAAGTGCTTAACATCATTTAGTTAAAGTTAAGATATTAAATTATATTTTCCAATCAAATGCAATTTATAAAATATAATTAATTATATGCTTTATGATTATTATCATGAATCATCTCAGGCGAATTTTCAAAAAAGTGTAAATATATTTTTATTAAAAACGCGTTTTTCGTTGTTTTGAATCATTGGAAACATTCATTTTTTGTTGATAAAAAAATATTTGATTTTTGGACTTAGAAAATTTTGCTAATCGATCATGAGGGCGATCCATGCGGGCCCCTACGGTGGCCCTCATCTATTTTGCCATAAGTGTGAGTGTTATTTTCAAAAAAGTGTAAATATATTTTTATTAAAAACGCGTTTTTCGTGGTTCTGAATCATTATAAACATTAATTTTTTGGTGATAAAAAAATATTTGAATTTTGGACTTAGAAAATTTTGCTAATCGATCATGAGGGCGATCCATGCGGGGCCCCTACGGTGCCCCTCATGGATTCGCCATAAGTGTGAGTGTTATTTTCAAAAAAAGTGAAAATATATTTTAATTAAAAACGCGTTTTTCATTGTTGTGAATCATTATAAACATTAATTTTTTGGTGATAAAAAAATATTTGATTTTTGGACTTAGAAAATTTTGCTAATCGATCATGAGGGCGATCCATGCGGGGCCCCTACGGTGCCCCTCATGGATTCGCCATATGGATCAGCCCTCATGGGCCCCCGCCGGGGGCCCCGAACTCTTGAGGGCAAGATCGTGGCTTTTTCCACACGGGTAATAGAAAAATTAATAAATAAATAAAATTCTACATCTAAATGAAAAATATTATTTTTTAAGAAATATCATTTTTTAAATAATATTATTTTAAAAAGGAATATATTTAATTTAAATTAAATGGAATTTAATTTAAAAATTTCTAAATGTGGGAACGTTGCCAAAAATTCATTTTTTTTTTTTTTTTTTTAGCCTCACGTCAATCAAAAACAATTAACCTTTTTTTCTTTTTATGATCAAATTGCCAATTAAATAAAACGAAAATTATGCCTTGTGAAATGATTTTGATTAATGTTAACGAGGGAAACGCGGCGAAAGTCATGGACGAAAGTTCAAGGCGTTTCTAAAAAGTTCAGGGACCGTTTTGAGAACTCCAAGTGAAAAAAAAAAAAAAACCGTATTTCCCTGTTTAAGCGGGAAATAAGTTTTTTTTCTCTCGTCTCTATTTCATTTAAAAAAAAAAGGCAAAAAAGAAAGAAAGAATTTAAAAAAAAAGTTACTAAAAAAAATTCATAAGAAATTGAAAAAAAAAAAAAAATTTTTTTCTAAAAATTTGCCCGTTAATTACAAATAAATAAATAAATTCCAAATTATTATTGTATATCACAAAAAAAAGACAACTTTAAAACTCGTGAAATAAATAAAATAAACAAAATAATTAAAATAAAAAATACAAAAAATATTTTTTTAAAAAAAATTTTCTATAATTTTACTGGGAAAATGAGATTTATTTTTCGGAGGTTTCTTTTTTTTCTCTCTTTTTAATGAAAAAAAAAAAAAAAAAAAAAAAAAAAAATGAGGAAATTAAAACAGAAAAAAAAAATTAAATACTAAAAGATAAACGATTTTTCCAAATTAAAAAGAGAAAATGAAACTAAAAATAAATGAAATAACAACAGGAAATAGTTTTTGATGCTTAAAAAAAAAAAAAAAAATTCGATAAAAACTTGTAATCAATTATTAGATTGATTTAATATATATATATATATAAAAAAAAAAAAACAAGAAATAATAATTAGAAGCAAGAGAGGGAAATAGTTATCGAAAAGAATGCGAAAATCACAGGAGATTAAGTTTTATTAGATAAAAAAAAAATAGTAATAACAATGATAATAATCTAAGAATAATAATTAACGATAATAATTTAATTATCAACTCAAATAAATAAAAAAAAAAATAAATAAATAATAATAATAATTTTTTTTTTTCTTCTATTTTCAAAATCTGAAAAAAATTAACATCTATACTAATAATAATAATTATTATTATTTATTTACATGTAAATACAAAACAAAAAATTTGCCTTTATTTTATTAATTTAGCCTCTTATTAATTTTATATTAATTATGATATTTATTATTATTATTATTATTATTATTAATATTATATTATAATACAATAATTATAGTGATAATAATAATTTTAATGATATTAATTACAGTGATAAAAATAAATAATAATAATAATTTTAATTGATAAAAATCATTATAAAGTGATAATAATATTTTAATGATAATAATTATAATAATAATAATAATAATAGTAGTAATAATAATAATAATAATAATATTAGCCATATATTTATAATCTTGATAAAAAAAAAAAAAAAAAAAAAAAAAGTGATACTTCAGACGAGACATTTGATTGTCTGATTAAATTGACCCATGAAATTAGTCATTGACTTTACTCGACAATTGTTTGAAATTATTATGGGATTTTAATTTCTAGTTTCATGTTTTTTAATCACAAGTTTTTTTTTTTGTTTTTTTTTTCTCAGAAATAGATTTAAGCATTATTTGCAATAATTACCCACTGTTATAATTGTTTTATTTATTTTTTTTTCTTTTATTACTATTCACTTAAAAATATTACTTACAGTAATTTTCTGTAATTTCATTTTTTTTTTTTTTTTAAATTTAATTTTTTTATTTTCTTAGAAAATATTATTTAATTGGATTTAAAAAAAAAAATTATTCTTTAAATTAAATAATTTAACATTTAAAAAATAAATTATATTAACAAAATAACAATAAAATAATAATAAAATAATAATAAAATAATAATAAAATAATAATAAAATAAAAATAAAATAATAATAAAATAACAATAAAATAATAATAAAATAACAATAAAATAATAATAAAATAATAATAAAATAATAATAAAATAATAATAAAATAAAAGTAAAAAAAAAATGAAAAATTAATTATTAATTTGAATGTAAATTGTTGCCTTTTAAATAAAAATTAAAAAAAAAAGATGTAATTTAATCTTGGGATTTTCCAATTTTTTAATTTTTCCTTTTTTATTATTATTATTATTAATATTATTATTATTATTATTATCATTATTTTCAAATACATGCAAAAAATATATATATAAGAAAAAAAAATGATGTAAGTATTTATATGTCAATGAAATTCGATGCTATCAGAACGCTCTCTACACATAAATCTCTTTTTTTTTTTTTTTTTTTTGTTCGTGTAATTCCAATTGCTGAGATAACAGAAAACTTTTTAAGATTTCACTGACATAAGATTTATGTTACAAGGCTTTTATTATCATTTTGAGTGGCTCTATAATAAATACTCATTTCTATTAAATATATAGTACAATTTCAGCAAACAACGTTACAATAATTATTCTCACTCTCACTTTTCTATCTCTATAATTGTGTGTGTGTGATTTTTTTTTTTTTTTTTTTTTTTATATTTTATCGATTTTTTTACAACTTTTATATTTAGAAAATAGAAGAAAAAAAAAACGATTTTTTACATTTGTAATTTTCCGAGATTTTTTATTTTTACCAGTGACGAAAAAAGAAATATTTAGTTTGCATTTTGAAAATTTTAATTTTTTTTTAGTACAGTGCATATTTTTTGTGAATTTGGATTTTTGAAAATAATAATAATAATAATAATTTTTTTTGGGTTTTCGAAATATTAATATTTTTTCTTTTAAGTGATGTGAATAAATTTTAAATTAATTTTTTTGTTATTTTTAGCAAATTTTTAAGTTTTTGTAAATTATAAATTATAATTAATAAATAATAAATAAATTTATATTTATTAGGCTAAAAAATTAATAATAAATAAATATTTTTAATACTAAACAATTAATAATAAATTTAAATATATGTACCAAAAAAATTAATAATAAATAAATATATTTAATACAAAATAATGAATAATAAATAAATAAATTTAATACTAAATAGTAAATACTAAAGAATAAATCATAAGAGAAATATGAAAAAAAAAAAAAAATAGAAATGATTATAAAGTGAATTTTTATTTTTTTTTTTTGAGAATAAAATTAATTTATTGATTCTTTTTTTTTTTTTTTTTTTGAATTTTTTTTAACAGGAAGTGTCACGGAATTGAAAAAAATAACTGAACCGAGTTCCGATTCAGACAAAAGGGTAAGTTCTAAATTTATCTCTAATCAATAATTTACCTTGGAAAGTAAAATTGGAATTCTTGAACAGTTTTCTTTAAGTTTTTTTTTTTTTTTTTTCCATTTTTAACCTTTCGTAATGTGCAATTTTTTTTTCTTTTTTTATTTTAATTTTCTTTGTCAATTTAAAAAAAAAAAAATGTACTAGGAAAATAAATTTGAAAACCTAAATTACTAAAAAATGATGTTAAAAAAAATTTAATTTGAAAATGTAATTTTCTTTATACTTTATTTATTTATTATTTTATATTATTTTATTGTTTATTATTATTATTATTATTATTTTATTGTTTATTATTATTATTATTATTATTATATATTATTTTATATAATAACTTTATAAAACGAAAAAAATGCCTTAAAAAATTAATTAGAAATTTTTCTCTATAATAATAGTTTTAATTTTTTTTTTTTTTCTAATTATTATTTTAGTATTTCGACGATTTATTTACTTTTTTCTTTTTTTTCCTTACAGTGTGTGAGCAGTAAAGAATTATTAAGTTCCTTATCGCAGGATGTATCGTACAATTCTGCGACAAATAATAATACAGTATTACCTGGTTGGCTATTTGAAAGAGTTTGTCCAGTTTTACTTTATCATTTAGCTGGCGAAACAAATTCAGAGCGTAACGGTTGTATTCAAATACCGGAATTTTATAAACCCTCAGCCGTTGAAAGCTATGAATCTGAAGAAATGGCGCGAAATATGTTTCAAGGTTTGTAAAAAGAGAAAGAAAAAAAAAAAAAAAAAATTTTCCCCCTTTTTTCTTCACTCTTCGATAAATTGAAAATAAAATAATGAAAAATCAATTTTTAAATTAAATATTCTTCGCATTTTTTATAATGAATTAAAAATTTTAATAAATAAAAAAGAAAAAATTGTTTCGTTTATAAATAAATAATTAAATTAGAAAAAATTAATTAATAATTACTTTTTTGGTAAATGAGGAACAAAAAAAAAAAAAAAAAAAAAATTATTTTTATTTTTCAGTTTGGATATATTCGGCGATAAGTATATTGATAATTAGTCTTTGCGGTCTTCTTGGAGTTGCTGTGATTCCTGTTATGGGAAAAAGTTATTATAATCAATTATTACAATTTTTGGTGGCCCTCGCTGTGGGAACTTTATGCGGCGATGCACTTATTCATTTACTACCTCACGTAAGTGAAATACTAATAAAATCATTTTTTATATTTTTTTTAAAAAAAAAAAAGGAGAAAATGAAAATAGAATTTTTAATTAAATAATGGAAATTTTTATTAGAGAAGAAGTTTTTTTCTACTTAAAAAAAGAATAATTTAAAAAAAAAAAAAATAGAATTTTTAATTAAATAATGAAAATTTTTATTAGAGAGTTTTTTTTTTTTACTTTAAAAAATTTAATAAAGAAAATAGGATTTTTAATTGAATAATGAAAATTTATATATTTTTTTTTTTTTTAGGCAATGATGTCGGATGCCGCTCACAGTCACGGCAATAGTCACGGTCACGAGGAATTGATCATCGATCATGAAGCCGATCATAATGCAAATATGTGGAAAGGACTTGTGGCAATGTTAGGATTAGTTTTATTTTTCTTCACTGAAAAATCGCTGACAATGCTTGCCGAATGGAGGAAATATCGTCAAAGGCGTAACAAAGTAAATGCTTCAAATCGAATAATAAAAGAAAAATAAAATAATTAAATTAATAAATATTTATTTATTTATTTATTTATATATGGGACTTTAATATAAAGTGCCTTTAAAATATGTTAAATAAATAAATTTTTAAAAAAAATAAAATTTACAGCTTCCGCCGAGAGTTCGTGTCATGAGAGAAACAGAAGGTCCCAATAGTAATACAGTTGGAGAAAAACTTTGCAAACACAAATACTCATCGTATCCTTATTGTTATGGAGAAATCACGACTGAAACTCAAGGTAATTTTTTTTATTATTATTCAAGTTTTCTTTTTTTTTTCTTCTTTTCTTTCTCTCTTTTGTCATTTTCTCTTTTAATTTGCCACGCGAGTTTCTAAATTATTTTCTCAATATATATATATATATATATATATATATATATATATTTGTTTATTATGCAATAGCACAAGGTTTTGTTTACAACATCCGCAAATTTTCATTTCCGATTGTTTGAGATTCAAATAATAAAAAAAAAAAATAAATAAATAAAAAAAAGAGCTGACAAAAGAACAGGAAATAATGTTTTAAACAATAATAAAAATCGTAAACAAATATAACTGAAAATCAATTATTTACAAATTTTGTTAAAAATTATTTTACTATTATTATTATTGAAATGAAATATTTTTTCATTAAAATTAAATTAATTTCTCGATTTTTACTTTAAAAATAATTTTCTAATAATAATAATTATTTATTTAATATTATAGTATTATATTATAATTATTTATTATTATATAATAATCACAATTATTATAATTATATAATAATAAAATGCTTGGTCTGTCCTTCTGTCCTAACTTGAAGTTGGCCTTTTCTGATTTCACGTGTTTTTTTTTTTTTTTGAATAGTAATCTTATGCCGTGTCAAATTTGGACAATTCTTTTTCTCATTTTTGCCAAAGTTGTATATAATTGTGTTTCCAAATTTCGGAATAAGTTTCTTTAAAATTTTAAATTCGAAAATTCAATTCACGAAGCTCAAGTACACAACGTTTACCAACGAAATTTTTTTAAAACTTGTATATTCATTCAAAAATTGTATACAAATAGAAAAAATTTATGAGGAGAAAAAAGATGCGCCAGGAAATTTCGTACAAGATAGTAATTTGAAAAAAATTTATTTTTCAAAATTAATTTTTAATGTACCAGGGGCCAACGAATGCCTATTAAATATTAATTATAAAAACACAGGCCTCGAATCAACTTAAAGACACAAAAAAAATCGTTTTAGTCGATTTATATTCGAAAAAAAAGTGGATTTGTTTTTTATTTTAACAAAAATATTTTACAGATTTTTAAATAAAAAAATTTTTTTTTTTAATAATAATCCTTTTCGAAGGGTTAAAGTTGAAATTTTTAGAAATAATTAAATTTCAAAAGATATATTGTTAATTTTCAAAGAATTATTAAATTTTACAGAACTAAAAATAATTTATCAAACAATTTTTGGAAAACATTTTTTAAATTTAATTGAATTTTCAAAGATTTAAAATTGAGATTTTTGAAATTAATTGAAACTTTAAGTGATTTTTAATTAAAATTTTACATGATTTCACTAAAAATTTATTAGAAAATGCGGACAAAATACAATAATTTGAAAATCATTTTTAATTGAAAAATCGTTTCAGATAGTTGAATTTTCAAAGAATATTATTAAAATAGTTAAAAATAATTTAATTTCTTTAGAGTTATAATTGAAATTAATAAATTAAAAATTGAAAATTCAATTAATTTTGAATTCAATTTTTTGAGAATAATGAAATTTTATTTGATTTTAAATTGAAAATTTTTGGGAAATAATTGAATTTTAATTAAAATTTTAGATAATAATTTAATTGAAGTTCATTTTTGATTGAAAATTTGGATAATTAATTTTGAATAGAAATTTTGGAAAATAATTAAATTACAATTAATATTAAACTGAAACTTTGGAAAGTAATTGAATTTTACTTGATTTTGGATTGAAAATAATTGAATTTTAGTTGATTTTAAATTGCAAATTTTGGAAAATAATTGAATTTCAATTCAAATTTTTGGAAAATAATTGAATTTTAGTTGATTTTCAATTGAAATTTTGGAAAATAATTGAATTTTAGTTGATTTTGGAAAATAATTGATTTTGAATTGAAAACTTTGGAAAATAATTGAACTTCAATTAAAATTTTTTAAAATAATTGAATTTCAGTTCATTTTGAATTAAAAATTTTGGAAAATAATTGAATTTTAATTAAAATTTTGGATAATAATTTAATTTAAATTCTTTTTTGATTGAAAATTGTGGAAAATTAATTTTGAATAGAAATTTTAGAAAATAATTGAATTTTAATTAAAATTTTAAAAAATAATTGAATTTTAAATTTAAATTTTTTGAAAATTATTAAATTCCACTTGAAATTTAAGAAAATAATTGTATTTTTAATTATTTTGAATTGAATGCTTGGAAAATAATTGAATTTTAGTTGATTTTGAATTGAAATTTCAATACACTGTCAATTGAAATTCAATTATATACAAAAGTTTCAATTCTAAATCACTAGAATTTAATTATTTTCCAAAATTTCAATTCACAATAAACTACAATTCAATTATTTTCCAAATTTCAATTGAAATTCAATTATTTAAAAAAGTCTCTATTCAAAATCAACTGAAATTCAATTATTTTTCAAAATTTTCAATCCTAAATCAACTAAAATTCAATTCTTTTACAAAATTTTCAATTCAAAATAAACTGAAAATCAACTATTTTCAAAAATTTGAAATTCATTTATTTTTCAAAATTTAAATTAAAATTCAATTATATTTAAAAATTTAAGTACAATTCAGTGAAAATTATAATTTTCAAAAATTTTAATACGAATTTGTAAAAAATGGACAAAAATTTTAATTATTTTCAAAGATTTTGGTTCAAATTTTTTATAAATTTTATTATTTCTAAAAAATATTTTATTTTCTTTTAAAAATCCCATTATTTTCTGAAAAATTCAATAAAAGCTCAAAGATTCAATTTTTTTTTCAATATTTTAATTATAATTTGTGACAAAATTATTTCTTAAAAAAATTTCAATAAAAAATAGGCAAAAATTCAATTATTTTCTAAAATGTCATTTGAAATTCAATTATTTAAAAAAATTTTAATCAAAAATCAATTAAAATTCAATTATTTACAAAAATTTCAATTTAAAAACTGCTAAAATTTAATTATTTCTAAAATTTCCCATCTCAAATTTTTTGAAATTTAATAATTCCAATTATAACTCTCCTGAAATTCAATTATTTTTAATTTATTCTTCGGCAAATTCAACTATCATAAAACCGTTTTTCGCTTAAAAAGTTTTCAATTTTTTGTATTTTTGTCCGCAATTTCTAATAAATTTTTTAATGAAATCATCAAAAATTATAAATTAAAAATCACTTGAAGTTCAATTAATTTAAAAAATCAAAATCACTGAAAAAAATTTAGAAATATTTTAATTAAAAATTTCGTAAAATTCAATTAGTTCAAAAAATTTTTAATTATTGCTCATTCAAAACTCAATTATTTCTAAAAACTTTAACTTCAATTTCTTTTTCAATTAATTATATCGAATTAATGTATTTTTTTCTGTTTCAAGACAGTAATTTTTATTATTGTTATTTTTGGATTAATTTTACAAAAGTAGGTATTTTCAATTTAAAATAATTGAATTTTTAATAGATATTTAAATTGATAATATAATTGAAAATAATTAATTTTTTGTGATTTTTATATGAAAATTTTGAAAAATAATTGAATTGAGAATAATGAAATTTTATTTGATTTTAAATTGAAAATTTTTTTGGAAATAATTGAATTTTAATTGAAATTTTGGATAATAATTTAATTGAAGTTCATTTTTGATTGAAAATTTGGATAATTAATTTTGAATAGAAATTTTAGAAAATAATTGAATTTTATTTAAATTGAAAACTTGGTAAATAATTAAATTTTAAATTGAAAATTTTGGATAATTATTGGATTTTTAATTGATTTTGAATTAAAATTACGGGTAATAATTGAATTTTAGTTTATTTTGAATTGAAATTTAAAAAAAAAAAATCAATTTTAATGTGTAATATTTTTTTTTAAATTATAAATAATTGTTAAATTTCATAAAAATTTGAATTGAAAAATAATTTTGATATAATTGAATAATATTCCATTAAATTTTTTTTGATAATATTAATCTTTAATTTCTTTATAACAAACAATTAAATACTCAATTTGTCGCGCTTGCGCGCGTTTAATTTTGCTAGTAATAATAAAAAAATTTTAGAAATAGGAATTCAATTAAAAATAAAGTCTCCTTTTTTAAATTCCAATTTCTATCCTTCGGCAAAAATGGAGAAAAAATTAATTATTAATTAAATTATAGAAGGGAAAAAATTATTTTTTAAAATTTGTCTTTTTTTTTTTTTTTTTTGTAAATATAGTTCCCCCTTTTATATGTATGAAAATTGAAAGCGATTAAAATTGTATTTATTTTTTTGTTTTTCTATTATTTTGTCAGATAATCATCATCATCGACACAATAATCATCACGATCGTCCAGCGGCGATTGAAGAGGAAAAACCATTGACGTCAAATTGCAATTCAGTGTTGCCATCGATTGTTAAAAATGATCTCGAAAAAATTGTCAACGACGATTGGAAATTGGATGAGACAATGAAAAAAATTGATGGAACTAATGAAGTTTTAAATGAGGCTGAAAGTTACACTGTCATTATTCGTGAACATGAAAATAAACATCATGGACATACACATTCTCACGGTGAGTTTTTTTTTTTTTTTTTTTTTTTTTATTTATTACTTTTAATTACTTTTTCTCGTTTTTCTTCTCTTTTGTTTTTTTACAAAATATTTATTTCAATTTTTATTGTAAATTATTGAATTCTAATTTTAATTTAAGAAATTTTTTTAAAATATTGAATATTTAAGTACATAATTAAAAAAAAAAAAAAAAAGAAGAGTATTTTTACGATTTTACTTTTATTATTCAAATGTAATGTAATTTAATTGAAATTAATTTTGAATTTTTGTATAAAATAAAAAAAAAAAAAAAAAAAAAAAGGTCACGTACATTCGGCGCCAGAATCAATGTCAAGCGTTGCATGGATGGTTGTAATGGGCGATGGACTTCATAATTTTACCGATGGAATGGCAATTGGAGCTGCATTCTCGGCAAGTATTGCCGGTGGATTTTCCACGGCAATTGCCGTATTTTGCCATGAATTGCCACACGAATTAGGTAAATAATTTTTTAAATTAAAAAAAAAAAAAATATTTTCTTCTATTTTATGAAAAAAAAGTTTATCAAAAATAATATTTTAAATCTAAATTTTTTTGTTTATTGACTAATAATAATAATAATAATTATTATTATTATTCTAAACTAATACCTAATTAATTTTTCTGGGGTCTTTTTTTAATTTTTCTTTTTTTGTTTTTTAAATTTAATTTTCTTTTCTTTTTTTTTTTTTTGAAAGGTGACTTTGCGGTTCTTTTGAAAGCAGGAATGAGCGCAAAACAAGCGGTATTTTACAATTTATTATCATCGGTGCTGTGTCTTTTTGGAATGGTTTTTGGCGTTCTTTTGGGGGCAACGCCGGCAGCGAGCAGTTGGGTTTTCGCTGCAGCCGCTGGAATGTTTATTTACATTGCCCTAGTCGATATGGTTCGTTTCTTTTTTTTATATATATATATATTTTTATTACAAAAACAAAAAAAAAAAAAAAAAAAAAACATTTTCCAATTTACAGGCCTCGGATTATACGACTTTTTAGACTATTTCCGACTTTTTTTTTGACTTATTTTAATAAAATGCGACTATTTCCGACTTTTTTTTCTTACATTTTTTTAAAAAACTTTTTAAATAAAATATTTTTTTTTTTTTTTTTTTTGGTATAAAATGCAGATCTTCATTAGATCTTGTTTATTGCAATTATTTAATGAATTTTTAAACTAAAATCCGTCACTAAATTAATTATTATTAATAATTTTAATGAAATTAATCATTTAAATTCAATTATTTGAAATTAATTTATTAAATTAAAATTTTAATGAAATTTAACAATTTTTTTATAATTAAAAAAAAAAAAAATATCAAATAAAATAACAAAAAAAAAATTTTAATTTAAAATCATAAATCAAAATCAAATAAAATTGAATTATATTCAAAAAATTTTCAAATTTAAAATCAACTAAAATTCAATTATTTAAAAAAAATTACAATTCAAAATCAATTAAAATTCATTTATTTTCAAAAAATTAAATTCAAAATCAACTAAAATTCAATTATTTTGCAAAATTTTGAATGAAATACAATTATTTTCAAAAATTTCAGTTCAATTTTCAAAATCAACTAAAATTCAATTACTTACAAAATTTTCAATTCAAAATCAACTGAAATTTAATTATTTGCAAAATTTTAAATTATTTTTTAATTATTTTCATAATATTCTTCAAAAATTTCAATTATATAAATGCAAATTTTCAAATTGAAAACTTTTGGAATTTAAAATTAACTAAAATTCAATTAATATCCAAAATTTTAATTGAAATTCAATTATTTCTATAAATTTCAATACAAAATCCACTGAAATTCATTTATTTTAAAAATTTTTAATTCTGAACTAATTAAATTTCAATTATTTTAAAAAATTTCAAATTCAAAATAAACTGAATTTCAATTATTTTCAAAATTTTTATTTGCAATTCAAATATTTTTTTAATTTTCAATTCAAAATAAACTTAAATAACAATTTATTCAAAAATTACAATTAAAATTCATTTTTTTTTTGAAATTTTTCAATTAAAATTCAATTATTTAAAAAAATTTTAATTTAAAATCAACTAAAATTCAATTATTACCAAAAGAAACTAAAATTTTATTATTTTCAAATATTTTGATTAAAATTCAATTATTTTCCAAAATTTCAATTCAAAATCAACTAAAATTCAATTATTTTGCAAAATTTTGAATGAAAAACAATTATTTTCCAAAATTTCAATTCAAAGAAAAATAAAATTCAATTCAAAATCAACTAAATTAAATTATTTTCAAAATGTCTATTCAAAATTAATTGTAATTTATTTATTTTCAAAACTTTCAATTCCAAATTAATTTAAATTCAAAATTAACAAAAATTCAATTATTTTCCAAAATGTCAATTTAAATTCAATTATTTTCTAAAATTTCTATTCAATTTTGAAAATCAACTAAAATTCAATTCTTTTCAAAATTTTCAATACAAAATAAACCAAAATTCCTTTATTTTCCAAAATTTCAATTCAAAATTAACTAAAATTCAATTATTTTAAAAATTTTCCATTCAAACTCAACCAAAATTCACTTATTTTTAAAATTTTCAATTCAATATCAAATAAAATTCAATTATTTTCTAAAATTTTCTTTCTAACATTTTTTTGAAATTTAACAATTTCAATTATAAATCTCATGAAACTCAATTACATTTTAAAAAATGTTGTCTAAAATTATTTGATATATTATTTTTACTTTTGTAAAATTAAATTATTGTCTAAAAATTAACAAAATCTTTTAGAATTCAATTATTTTCAAATTTTTCAAGAAAAAATGTCAATTAAAAATCAAAGAAATTGAATTAAAATACAATTATTTTCCAAAATTTTTAATGAAATTCAATTATTTTAAAAATTTTCAATTTAAAATCAACTAATTTTAATTATTTTCAAAATTTTCAATCTAAAATTTCAATAAAAATTCAATTATTTTCTTAAAATTCAATTATTTTCAAAATTTTCAAATCAAAATCAACCAAAATTCAATTATTTTCTAAATTTTGAATTCAAAATCAACAAAAATTCAATTATTTTGCAAAATTTTGAATGAAATACAATTATTTTTCAAAATTTCAATTCAAAGAAAAATAAAATTCAATTCAAAATCAACTAAATTAAATTATTTTCAAAATGTCTATTCAAAATTAATTGTAATTTATTTATTTTCAAAACTTTCAATTTCAAATTAATTTAAATTCAAAATTAACAAAAATTCAATTATTTTCTAAAATTTCTATTCAATTTTTGAAAATCAACTAAAATTCAATTATTTTGCCAAATTTCGATTGAAATGCATTTATTTTTTTAATTTTCAATTCAAAATCAACTAAAATTTAATTATTTACAAAATTTTCAATTAAAAATAAACTAAAATTCAATTATTTTCAAAATTTTCAATTCAAAATAAACTAAAATTCAATTGTTTTTAAAATAAATTAAAATTCAAATATATTCATAAATTTCAATTCTAAATCAATTAAAATTCATTTATTTTCAAATCTTTCAATTCAAAATCAACTAAAATTCAATTATTTTGCCAAATTTCGATTGAAATTCATTTATTTTTTTAATTTTCAATTCAAAATCAACTAAAATTTAATTATTTACAAAATTTTCAATTAAAAATAAACTAAAATTCAATTATTTTTAAAAATTTTCAATTCAAAATCAAAGAAAATTTAATTATTTTCCAAAATTTCAATTTAAAAGTCAATTAAATTTCAATTATTATTCAAAATTAAAATTAAAATTCAATTTTTTTCAATTATTTATTTTCCATTGAAAATTTTTTGTAATTTAATAATTCAATTATAACTCTCTAAGGAAATTCAATTATTTTTTTTAACTATTTTTATAATATTCTTTTGAAAAATCAACTATCTGAAACCATTTTTCCAATTAAAAATGGTTTTTAAATTATTGTATTTTTGTCCGCAATTTCTAATAAATTTTTTTGGTGAAATAATCAAAAAAAAATTTAATTAAAAATCACTTTGAAGTTGAATTAATTTCAATAATCTCAATTGACAATTGTAAATCTTTCAAAATTCAATTACATTTAAAAAAATGTTATTCAAAAAATTATAGTTGATAAATTATTTTTAGTTCTGTAAAATTTAATTATTTGTTTGAAAATTAACAAAATCTTTTGAAATTCAATTATTTCTAAAAATTTCAACTTTAATCCTTCCAAAAGTATTATTATTATTTAAAAAAAAAAAAAAACAAAAAAAATTTATTTAAAAATCTGTTCAATAATTTTTATTAAAATAAAAATAATCGACTTTTATTTTGGAATATAATTCAATTTTTTCTTATGCTTTTAAGTTGATCCGAGGCCATGAATTTACATTCAAAAAAAGGGAAAATAATATTTATTTCTTGTTGAAAATTACTATTTTGGAAAAAGTAAAATTTTTCTTTTTTTTTTTGTTATTTCAAAAACAATAACTAACATTTATTTATTTATTTATTTAATTAAAAAATTAATATTTTGCAACATTAAAATTGTGTTAGTTTTTTTAATAACGGGCATGTCCCGTTATGTTCCAAATAAATAAATAAATAATAAATAACATTTATTTATTTCTTGTTGAAAATTACTATTTTCGCAAATTGAAATTGTTTTAAATTTCTTATTTTATTTTTTGAAATTTGGTTTTAACAATCAAAGAAAAAAAAGTTGACGATAATTATTTTTGTAATTTAGTGTTAATTTTTTGTTTTTTTTTTTTTTTTTGTCATTTTTCTCTCAATGCAGATTCCAGAATTGTCGTCGAGTCACTCGGAGGAAGGTGGATCACATTGGCATTGCATTCTCCAGGCATTGGGACTATTAACTGGACTTGGAATTATGCTTGTCATTGCTTTATACGAACACGATCTTAAAACAATTTTTGATGACGAGTCATAAATTTTTCTTTCTTTCTTTCTTTCTTTCTTTTTTTTAGGCAAAAAAACGAGAAACTGTTTCTTTTTCTTTTCAATAAAAAAAAAAAAAAAAACAAACAAACAAAAAACTGATTCATTTCTTTTTCTTTTCGATAAAAGAAAAAAAAAAGAAACGAAAAAATAGTTTTTTTTTCTTTTCGTTATAAAAGAAAGAAAAAGAAACAAAAATCTAATTTTTTCATTTTTTCACAGCAAAACTGATTTTTTTCTCTTCGATAGAAAAAAAAAAGAAAGAAACGAAAAAATGATTTTTTCTTGGTATTTTTGACATACACAAAATATTTCAGTGAGTATATAGAAAAATTTAAAAATCGATTCCTTCGCATGTCTCGATAAAAGAGAAATCTTTTTTTTATTTTAACAATACAATAATAATATTCAATTATTTTAACAATTTTTCTAATGGACCAAAAAAAAAAAATTATTTTTCACTTTTAAAACGATAAAAATCGTCTTTTTCTTTTCTCTATTTTTTTTTTTTTTTTAAATAAAATTTTCTTTTTTTCCCCCTTTTTTTCATTTTCAATTGAACGAAGGAAAAAAAAACAAGAAAAACGATTAAAAAATGCTGTTTTTTTTCCATTAATTTTTATTTAAAAAACAAAAATTGCGAAATAAGATTTTTTTTTTTTTTTTAAAGAAAATAAAACAAAGATTTCTCTCTCTTTTTTTCTAACTTTTTGTTTTTTCAGTTAAAAAACAAAAAAAGCACAAAAAGTTAATCGGGAATCAATCCATTTTTTTTTTATATCATAAAAAAGAAAAAAAAATGTAAATAGACAAATTTAATTAGACTAATTATTATTAATTAAGAAGAAAAAAAAATATAGGACTTAAATTTTTTCACATCTCAATATAAAAAATAATAAATAAATATAAATAATTTCAAAAAAAATCATTTCCTGTTTTTTTTTTTCTCACTCTCTCTCTCTCTCTCGATATTATTACACTGAAAAACCGGAAGTGATTTTTGATATGAATCTTAAAAAAATAAAAGGAACGAGTTTTTTTTCTATTTAAAAAAGAGAAAACTCAATTTACTTAAAAAGAAGGAAAACCTTTTTTTTTTCTCTCTTATAAAGAATTGAAAAATTTGTTTTTCTCCATTTTTTAAACAAAAAAATAAACTGTACATATAAATATATATCTTTTTTATCTACAAAAAAAAAACAAAAAAAATCATATCTATGACAAAATTTTATTGGTATTTTTTTCTCAAAAAAAAAAAAAAAAAAAAAAAAAATTGTCTCTTTTTCAAGATTTTTCACATGTTTTACGCACACAAACATATTACACGTAATTTTTCTTTCTTTTTCTCTTTAATAAGATATAAAATTCAAAAATTTGCCGAAGAAAACAAATTTTTTTTTTTGTTTTAAAGAGCAAAGACTGTTTTTTAATAAATAATTTAATCATTTTTTTTGGGAAAATAAAAAAAAATGAATAAACACTTTTTAAATGGAATTTATAATTTAAAAAAGTTAAATTTAAACGTTTTTTTCGAAAAAGAATTTTTTATTTTTTATTTGAATTTAGCTAAATAAATAAATATATTAATTAATTAATTAAACGTTAATTAGTAAAAATTTTCTAACTACGTTAATTAATAACGGAAAAATTTTTGAATTAATTGAATTAAAATAAATTTTTCTATTAATTAACGGTAATTAAAATAATTTTCATTTTTTTTAACTAATTAATTAATTTATTTATTTATTAATTAACTAATTAATTTACGTAATGAAAACGAAAATTAGTTTAAAAAAAAAATTTCATTAGCGCTAATTAATTAAATTAAATTAAATAATTTTCTAATTCCAAATAAATTTAAAATATTAATGATTTAAAATTTGATAAAAATTAATTCTCTTAAATTATAAAGAAAATATAGTTAAAAAAAAAAAAAATAAGAAAATTAGAAAAAAAAAATTTAAGGGATTTAATTTTGAAAAATTTAAACTTAACTTTTTAAACAAAAAAAAAATCGTGAAAGTAACAAATTTTCTTCTAGAAATAAGAAAAAAAAAACACACGTAGCTCTCTAAATAAAAAAAAAAAATAGAAAAATAAATTTAAAAAATTTGGAGAAATTTTCCCTTTTTTTTTTTCTTTTTTATTTTCTTTTGAATTTTTTTTTTTTTCATTTTGCGGCCTAATTTGAAACTTTGCTTTAGAATTTAGTGTAAATATTATAAATATATAGATTAATAATTGAAAAAAAAGGTGGTTGTATAGAAATAGAAAACGTTTTTTTATTTTCTTTTAATTTTTCTTTTTCAAATTCATTCCGCCAATTGCATTTTTTCATTTTTCTCATTGCCAATTTTTTTTTTTTTTTTTTTTTTACGAAAATATTGAAATAGAATTTAAAAAGAGTATTTCCCCCCCCCCCACACACAATTTCTTCATTGTAAATAAATAAAAAAAAATGTTTATTTCGTTTTCTCATATTTTTTTTACACTTGAAAAAAAAATTGTATAAAACCTGAAACAATTTGTATTATTCTTATAATAATAATAATAATAATAATAATAATTCTAATAATATTTTTTGTACTTAAATATATAATGAAAAAAAAAGAAGAAGAATAGATTTTGAATGACTTAAAAAAAAATTTATAAACTAATTTTTTCACTAAAAAAATAAAATTGAAGAGAGAAAACTAGATTTTTAGAATTATTTTTGGAATTTTATTTTTTTTTGGGTAAAATTAAAAAAAAAGAGTTAATAAATTTAGAGTTTCTTTTTTATAAATATATATATATATATGCGATGAGAAATTTCTCTTCAATTTTGTTTTTCTTTTCCTCGTCAATACCAAAAAAAAAAAAAAAAAAAAAAAATATATATATATAAATATTTACTGTAGTAAATTTTCGATTTTGAAATGAATTAAGAATTAAGAAACAAGGAATTTTTCTACAAATGCCAATTTGTCAAGTTGCCTTTATTTTTTTTATCAAACTTTAGATTGAGAATTAAAAAAAAAAAAAAAATACAAACTGTGTTTAACTAATATTTTGTTTTACATAATACAATCATGTGTCGAAAAAAAAATTGATAAATTAAAATTACGGATATTAATGTTAACAATTAAAGGAAGGAAAAAAAAAAGAAGAAAAAATTATCTATTTCATAAATATGAAATTACAAATTTTCCTTGTGAATATTTATTTATTTATTTTTTTTTTGTTTTCTATTCAGAGAAAAAAAAATTATTAAATTTATTGAATATTTTATTATTTTTTAAAATTGCAAAAATATTTTACTATTTTTTTTTTTTCAATATTAAATAAAAATTTTTGTTTAATAACAATAATTATTAATTATTATAATAGAAATTAATATTTTCTTTTTTATTTATCGAATAAATATTTTATTATAATTAATATATTTATAATTAATTATAATTAATATAATATATAATTTGTATAATATTAATTAATATTATTAATATTATAATTAATATTAATATTAATATTTAATATTATTAATATAATAATTTAATATAATAAATATTATAATTAATTAATATTTATTTTAATAAATTCCTTTTTTTACAGCAAATTTTTTTTTTTTTGAATAAATTAAATAAATATTAATAAAAATAAATTTGAAAATTTGTTTATCAAAAGAAGGAAAAAATATTATAAAACGTTTATATTTTTCGTAAAAACGAAATTCAGAGGGAAAATTTGAATTTTTCTTTTTTGTGATTTTCTTTTCTTTTATTTTTTTTTCCTTGGGGATATATAGGAAAAGAGGCCGAATTTTCAACGAGAAAGAATTTAATTGTATTTTTGCCGGGTGCTAATAAATGTACGACATATTATATATATATATATGTTATATTTGATAATAATAATAATAATAATAATAATAATAATTGTAGATTAGCTTCGTCAGCAGTATTTCTCCGATGAGCGCAGAGAGTGTTTGTAAAATGTTTTTTCGCATTATTTTCATTTTTTTTTTTTTTGCATTAAGCATTATATATTATATATATATATAGAAAGAATTGCGTGTTGTGTAACGAGTACTTATTTCAAATATTGAAAAAAAAAAAAAAAAAAAAAAAGTATCACAGACTGCCACTGATTAATAGAAATGGAAAAAAAAAAATAAACGATGATTAGAATTAAAAAAATGAGAAAAAATTTTTTAGCGTTTTTCTTTTTTCCACATTTTTTCAACGAAAAAACATTAAAAAAAAAAAGTTAGAAAAAAAGTCGTTTTAGTCGATTTATATTCGAAAAAGTCAATTTTTTCAATATTAACAAAATTTAATTGAATAATAAATATTTTACTTATTGAATAACTAATGCTATTAGAAATAAAATTCATTTTATTAATTCTTTAATAAGAATAATTCTATAATGAATATTATCAAGAATTATTAGAAATAATTGAATTTTTAAAAAGGTTTTTGTTAATTTTCAGAAAATAATAAAATTTTACAAAAACTAAAAATAATTTATGTTTTGAAAAAAAAAAAAAAAAAAAAAAAAAATGATTTCACATAGTTGAATTTGCGAAAAATTGAAATTCAATTTTAATTAATTTTTGAATTGAAATTTTTAAAACTAATTGAATTTCTATTGATATCTGTTGTTATTGAATTGAAATTTTGGAAAATAATTGAATTTTAGTTGATTTTGAATTGAAAATTTTGAAAATAATTGAATTTCAATTGACATTTTGGAAAATAATTGAATTTTTGATAATTTTGAAATTAAATTAATTTGGAATTGAAATTTTTGAAAATAAAAAAATTACAATTAATTTTGAATAGACATATTGAAAATAATTTAATTTATTTGATTTTGAATTGAATTTTATTTTTCTTTGAATTGAAATTTTGGAAAATAATTGTTTTTCATTCAAAATTTTGCAAAATAATTGAATTTTAGTTGATTTTGGATTGAAAAATTTTAAAATAATTAAATTTTATTTAAAATTTTTGAAAATAATTGAATTTTAGTTTTTTTTTTTTTATAATTGTATTTTATTTGGTTTTGAATTGAAAACTTTGAAAATAATGAATTTTAGTTGATTTTGTAAATTGAATTGTAATTTTGGATAATAATTGAATTTCAATTGAAATTTTGCAAAATAATTCAATTTTAGTTGATTTTGAATTTAAATTAATTTGGAATTGAAAGTTTTGAAAATAAATAAATTACAATTAATTTTGAATAGACATTTTGAAAATAATTTAATTTAGTTGATTTTGAATTGAATTTTATTTTTCTTTGAATTGAAATTTTGGAAAATAATTGTTTTTCATTCAAAATTTTGCAAAATAATTGAATTTTAGTTGATTTTGGATTGAAAAATTTTAAAATAATTGAATTTTATTTAAAATTTTGAAAAATAATTGAATTTTAGTTGATTTTGAATTCAAAATTTAGAAAATAATTGAATTTTGGTTGATTTTGATTTGAAAATTTTGAAAATAATTGAATTTTAAGAAAATAATTGAATTTTTATTAAAATTTTAGATTGAAAATTTTGAAAATAATTAAAATTAGTTGATTTTAAATTGAAAATTTTTAAAATAATTGAATTTCATTAAAAATTTTGGAAAATAATTGTATTTTAGTTCAATTTCTTTGATTTTTAATTGACATTTTTTCTTGAAAAATTTGAAAATAATTGAATTCTAAAAGATTTTGTTAATTTTTAGACAATAATTTAATTTTACAAAAGTAAAAATAATATATCAAATAATTTTAGACAACATTTTTTAAAATGTAATTAAATTTCATGAGATTTATAATTGAAATTGTTAAATTTCAAAAAAATGTTAGAAAGAAAATTTTAGAAAATAATTGAATTTTATTTGATATTGAATTGAAATTTTTAAAAATAAGTGAATTTTGTTTGAGTTTGAACGGAAAATTTTTAAAATAATTGAATTTTAGTTGATTTTAAATTGAAATTTTGGAAAATAATTAAATTTTCTTTGATTTTGAATTGAAAATTTTTAAAAATAATTGAATTTTAGTTTATTTTTAATTGAAAATTTTGTAAATAATTAAATTTTAGTTGATTTTGAATTGAAAATTAAAAAAATAAATGCATTTCAATCGAAATTTGGCAAAATAATTGAATTTAAGTTGATTTTCAAAAATTGAATAGAAATTTTAGAAAATAATTGAATTTCAATTGACATTTTGGAAAATAATTGAATTTAAATTAATTTGGAATTGAAGGTTTTGAAAATAAATAAATTACAAATAATTTTGAATAGACATTTTGAAAATAATTTAATTTAGTTGATTTTGAATTGAATTTTATTTTTCTTTGAATTGAAATTTTGGAAAATAATTGTTTTTCATTCAAAATTTTGCAAAATAATTGAATTTTAGTTGATTTTGAATTGAAATTTTGAAAAATAATTTAATTTTAATCAAAATATTTGAAAATAATAAAATTTTAGTTTCTTTTGGTAATAATTGAATTTTAGTTGATTTTAAATTAAAATTTTTTTAAATCATTGAATTTTAATTGAAAAATTTCCAAAAAAATGAATTTTAATTGTAATTTTTGAATAAATTGTTTTTTAAGTTGAAATTTTGAATTGAAAATTAAAAAAATATTTAAATTGCAATTAAAAATTTTGAAAATAATTGAATTTTAGTTTACTTTGAATTGAAATTTTTTAAAATAATTGAAATTTAATTAATTCAGATAATTGAAAATTTTTAAAATAAATGAATTTCAGTGGATTTTGTATTGAAATTTATAGAAATAATTGAATTTCAATTAAAATTTTGGATAATAATTGAATTTTAGTTAATTTTAAATTCCAAAAGTTTTCAATTTGAAAATTTGCATTTATATAATTGAAATTTTCGAAGAATATTATGAAAATAATTAAAAAAATAATTTAAAATTTTGCAAATAATTAAATTTCAAGTGATTTTGAATTAAAATTTTGTGGGTAATTTTAGTTGCTAATTTTTTTTTTTTTTTTTTTTTTTTGTAATTATAAACAGTTATTAAATTTCATAAATATTTGAATTAAAAAATAATTTAAAATAATTGAATTTGTGAATTGAATTTCATTAAAATTATTAAAAATAATTAAATTTGTGAATTGAATTTTTATTAAAATTATTAAAAATATTTAATTTAGTGAAGAATTTCAGTTAAAAATTTATTAAATAATTGAAATAAAAAAGATCTGAAGAATATCTGCATTGTATACTAAAAAAAAATCGTATTTTGTTAAAAAAATTTTGTTTTCAAAAATGTTAAAAATAAATCGAAAAAAATCGCATTTTATTAAAAATAAATCGAAAAATGTATTTTTGAGAAAATGTCGGAAAAAATCGTATATATATATAATCTGAGACATGAAAAAATATTTTAAAATATTCGAAAAATTCATATAATCCAAGACCTTGGAAATTTGAAGAAAAAAAAAAAAATATATAAAACCTTCAATTAACAAATTTCGCAATTATTTTTATTATATAACTTTAAAACTACACAAGTTATCGAGAAAAAAAAACAAAATTTTTCTTCTTGCAAAAAACAAACAAGATATATACAAAGATATTATTTTCGAAAAAAAAAATTCGAATCTTTAAAAAATCGCAAAAAAAAAAAAAAAAAAAATACTAATTTTCTTCGAGGAGCATTTCTTCGTCTTGAATTTTTTGTTTTGCTTTTCCCTTTTGTTTCTTTTGCTTAATAATTGGCGATTTTGTAAATGAAATATTTTTTTGCGCTTCACTAATATCAATTTCTTCAACAAGTTGATTATTTGTCATTGATTCATCGTTAATTTCTTCTTCATTATCATTATCATTGTCCATCATTGATTCCTCTTGTTTCTTACGTTCCTTAAGACCGGCTGCTGGCGATCTTATTAATGAAATATTTCTTTGTACTTGTTTAATATTTTTCTCACGTTCAACATCACGTCCCACGCGTAATCTTTGCATAATATGTGTATTTTGTCGTCTTTGTCTTATTGTTTCAACTTTTTTCATTGCCTCTATTGTTTTTGTCCATATTTCACGATTATATTTCACTGGAATATTTCGTCTCATTTCAAATTCAAATGTTGGATCAATTGCCAATTCTTTGCCAGCTGTTTTTCGATAGGCCTTTGTCCATTTTACTTTTCTTGGATTCTTCTTTTTCTTGAATGCCGCATGACATTTGGAACGACAAAATTTGAAAATCTACAAAAAAAAAAAAACAGAAAGAAAAGAATTAGTGTCAGTTGAAGTAAATGGGGACAAAAGGTTTTTGGAGCTTAATTTACAATTTTAAAATAAAGTTCAAATATTTTAACCTCAAATCATCTGCAAGTGATTTTGAGTATTGCCAAACTTTTATCTTGACAATTGGCAGCAAGATAAAAAAAAAAAAAAAAAGTTATCGCTCAATGCATGAAAAACTTGAAAATCAAAGTCAAAACTGTTTCAGTATTTTTTCTCGCATTTCAATGAAAACAAACTTAAAAATCATAGGAAATTTTTTTCTTATTCCTTATAACTCCCATAAGAGAAATTCACTTGAATTTTTGATTTTTGTCAAATTTGTTTAATAAATGACAAGCTGTTTTCATTTACACTGAGTTTTCAAATTTTTTTTGGGTAAATGAGAACAGCTTGTCATTATTAATCAAATTTGACAAAAATCAAAAATTCAAATGAATTTCTGTTATGGGAGTCATAAGAAATGAGAAATTTGAAATTTAACAAAATCTTTTAAAAATTCAATTATTTTCAAAAAAAAATTCAATTTAAAAAGTTTTAAAAATTAATAATTTCTAAAATTTTCCATCAAAAATTTTTTGAAATTTAATTAATTTTCAAAATTTTTCTATTTAAAATTAACTAAAATTCAATTATAATCCGAAATTTTTAATTTAAAATCCACAAAAAATTCAGTTATTTTAAAAAAAATTTCAATTAAAATACAAATTATTTTTTAAAATTTAAATTCAATATCAATTGAAATTCAAATTATTTCTCAAAACTTTTCCATCTAAAATTTTTTTTAAATTCAATTATTTTCCAAAATTTTAATTGAATTTCAATTATTTTTAAAAAATTTCAATTTCAAAAAAATTAATATCAATTATTTTCCAAAATTTCAATTCAAAAACTACTAAAATTCAATTATTTTTCAAAATTTTCAATTAAAATTTAATTATTTTTCAAAATTTCAATTGACATTCAATTATTTTGAAAATTTTCAATTAAAATTCAATTATTAAAAATTTTCTATTTAAAATTAATTAAAATTCAATTATTTTCATAAATTTCATTTTAAAAACTTCTAAAATTTAATTATTTTCTAAAATTTTTCATCTAATATTTTTTGAAATTCAATTATTTCTAAAAATTTTAATTCAACATCAACCAAAAGTTTCATTATTTTTAAAAATTTCATTTCCAAATTAACTAAAATTCAATTATAATCCGAAATTTTTAATTTAAAATCCACAAAAAATTCAGTAATTTAAAAAAAAATTTCAATTAAAATACAAATTATTTTTTAAAATTTAAATTCAATATCAATTGAAATTAAAATTATTTCTCAAAATTTTCCATCTAAAAAATTTGTTTAAAATTCAATTATTTTCCAAAATTTTCTATTTAAAATTAACTAAAATTCAATTATTTTTTAAAAATTTCAATTTAAAAACATCTAAAATTTAATTATTAAAAACAAAAAAAAAAATTCTAATTTAGTACCTAATAAATATAATAAATTATATCGAATTGTTATATGAATTTTTTACAAAACAAAATTTTTAATCTATCCAATTTTTCTTTTGGCGGAATTTTTGATTTTACACTTAATTTTCTTTTTAACGACTTTTTTTTTTTTTAAGAAGAGAAAGAATTTTAAATTAATCAAAATTTAATTAAATCGAATTTTAATTTAACACAATTCACATTCAATCGAATTTTATTTTGATTCGAAATTTTTAAATTGATAGAAATTCTAATTAACCGAATTTAAAATTTTGTCCGAATTTTAAAATTTACAGAATTTTTTTTAATTCAAAAATTGAAAATTTGTCAAAAAAATGAAAAATTATTTATAATAAAAAATTTTTAAATTACAATTTAAAATAAAATAAAATTTTAAATAAATAATTTTTATACGTTCCACTAAAAACTAATTAAATTAAGAAAAAAATAAAATTCTTATTTTTTTTAATAAAACGAAAATAATAATAATAACAATAATAATAATAATAATAATAATATAATTGAATTTTAAATGAAAATTTTAGAAAATAATTAAATTTTAGTTGATTTTGAATTGAAAATTAAAAAAAAAAATTGAATTTCAATCGAAATTTTGCAAAATATTGAATTTTAGTTTAATTTGAAAATAATTTTTGAAATTTTGCAAAATAATTGAATTTTTGATTATTTTGAATAGAAAATTTTGGAAAATAATTGAATTTCAGTTGATTTCAAATTGAAATTTTTTAAAATAATTGAATTTTAATTGAAATTTTAGAAAATAATTGAATTTTAGTTGATTTTGGAAAATAATTAATTGATTTTGAATTAAAAATTTTGGAAAATAATTGAACTTCAATTAAAATTTTTCAAAATAATTGAATTTCAGTTCATTTTGAATTAAAAATTTTGGGAAATAATTGAATTTTAATTAAAATTTTGGATAATAATTTAATTTAAATTCATTTTTGATTGAAAATTTGGAAAATTAATTTTGAATAGAAATTTTAGAAAATAATTGAATTTCAATTAAAATTTTTCAAAAAAATTGAATTTTAATTGATTTTGAATTGAAGTTATGTAAAACAATTTAATTTTAGTTGATTTTGAATTGAAATTTTGCAAAATAATTGAATTTTTGTTTATTTTGAATAGAAAAATTTGAAAATAATTGAATTTTAATTAAAAATTTTAGAAAATAAATAAGTTTTAGTTGATTTTGAATTGAAAATTTTGCAAATAATTGAATTTTTGTTGATTTTGAAAATAATTGAATTTTAGTTGATTTTGAATTGAAAGTTTGGAAAAAGAATTGAATTTTAATTTATTGAGAATTGAAATTTTTGAAAATAATTGAATTTTAGTTTTTTTTTTTTAAATAATTGTATTTTATTTGGTTTTGAATTGAAAACTTTGAAAATAATGAATTTTAGTTGATTTTGGATATTAATTTTGAAAATAATTAAATTTTAGTTGATTTTAAATTGAAAATTTGGAAAATAAGTGAATTTTAGTTGATTTTGTAAATTGAATTGTAATTTTGGATAATAATTGAATTTCAATTGAAATTTTGCAAAATAATTCAATTTTAGTTGATTTTGAATTGGAAATTTTGAAAATAAATGAATTTTAATTGATTTAGAATTGAATTTTTTTTTTTTATAATAAAAAAATTGTTAATAATAACAAAATTTAATAAAATAATAATTATTATTATATAAAATAAGCAATTAAAAAAAAAATTCAATTTATAAAAATAGTAATGTAATATTTTGTAAATAAAGTAAAATACAGGTACATTAATATTATGAAATTAAGTCGAAAAAATTAAATAAAAGTTTGAAAAAAAAATTAAACATATAAAAACACGGTGAAATAATGCAAAAAGTATAATAAAAAGAAAAAAAATAAAATAGAAAAATACTAAAAAATTTTTCCAAACTAAATTGTAAAGAGAAAATTATAAATGAAACCTAATTTTCTTTCCGCATTTACAAAATAGTTAATAAATAGTTATAAATATTTATTTAAATAAATAAATTAAGTAAATACATAAATTATATAAATACTTTTATACATTAACTATAAATAATTAATAATAATTTTATTATTAAGAGAAAAAAAAAAAATTTATTGAAACGAAATTTTCGAACTATATAACCTAAAAAAACTCCCGATTATCGAAAAATTACTTTTTTTTTGACTTTTCGTTAAATTTTTTTTCATTTAAATGGAAAAATAACATAAATACTATCAAAAAAAAAGAAATAAATTCTAAATATTTAACAAAAAATAAGTTATGGATATAATTGTAAATTAGCGTATATAGAAAATTAGAAAACATAACCTAAAAATATGGAATTTTTTTACTTTACAATTTCACGATTATAAAAACAATAGAATTTACACTTACTTTGCAATCATTTCTGACAAATTGAATTCCATGTCCAGGATAGACCCGCGATGAACAAAAATAACATGTTTCAATCCTCATTTTACCTTTTTCTTTTTTTTTATTTGAGAGAAAAAAATACACACGAACACGAGGTATGTAGTATGATCAACAAAAGACAATAAAACAGTGATGCCAACCACCAAAATAGATGAGAATAAAAACAGTGATGCAAACGTGTAGAAATAAAAAATAAGAATTAATCATAAATCGCCATCTATGATGTGACAATAAAACAGTTGTTTGCCAAAATTAATTTTTTTAAAGGAATTAACCATCAGGCGCCATCTGTAGGCAAAAAGTCTTATCAACTGTTGAGAGAAAAAAAAAAAAATTCTTTCCCACATATAAACATAACCTTATGTTGTTTATGTTTTAATAAACAAGAAAATATTGTTTTCATTTTCTTTTTTTTCTTTTTTTTCAAAAAAAAAAAAAAAAAAAACAGTTTTACATGTTTTATTTAGAAACAATAAATAAATATTAAAACAATTAAAAATGTTCGCTTTATTAAGCGAATTAAAATTATGGACATTAAATGAAGATGTTTGTATTAAGGACACAGATTTTGGTGCATTTAGGTATGTAATTTTTTTTTTGTTTTGACAAAAAATATTATTAATTTTTTTATTTTCTCTAAAAACAAAACAGATTTTTTTTTTTTTTTTGTTTACTATTAAAATATATTTAAAATATTTTTCTTTTATATATTTTTATGGTTTAATTTTAAGAATTTTTGTTTGTAAATTTATATATAACCACTTGTTGAACTGTCACATTTGTTTATTTAATATTTATTATTATTATTATTATTACTAGATATTACTATTATTATTATAATTTTTAGTATTTTTATTATATTATTTATTATTTATTTTATTTATTATTCTAAATAAATAAAAAATTTAACTATTTTTCAAAATAATTTAATTATTTATTTTTACTCGTTTATTTGTTAATTACTGTATTATTTTATTTATTATTTATTTAAATTAATTTAATTACAATACACAGAATTATTTTTATTATTATTATTATTATTATTATTAAAATTATCTTGAAATTAAAAATTATTTTTAACAAATAGAATTAGTTTAAAGTTTATAAAAAATTATCTGTAATAGTTAAAATTGAAATAATTTATTGTCAAATCAGATTTTTAGTGAAAAAAAAAATATTTAAAAAATTTGCATTTATTTATTTATTTTTTTGTTTTAATGTTGATTGAAAAGTAATTTTTTGAAAAAAAAAACAAAAAAAAGAAAACAATATTTTTTTAAACATTAATTGTTTAATGGGTTTTTATTATTTTATTTTATTTTATTTTTTTTTTATTTGTAGATATTATGACAAACGAATTGAAAATGTTTATGCAGAAGGAAAACGTTCCTATTGTGAAAAACGAGGAATGATTTATACACCACAAAATAAAAAAGGAATAAAACTCAAAGATTCTCTCAAATATTTAGAGGTAAAAAAATTTATATTAGAAAAAATTTTTTTTATTAATTTTTGATTTATTAATTTTACTAAAAAAAAAAAAAAAATTATTAAATAAAAAGTAGGATATTAGTTTTTAGTTAGATTTTTTTTTTTTTTAGTTTTTTTTTTATAGTTATATTTATAGTTATATTAGTTATATTTATAGTTATAGTTATATTTTTAGTTTTATAGTTATTATTTTTATTTTATTTCGTAATTATTTTTAATATATTTTATTTTTTCCACTAATATATTACAATTTATTTATTTCATTTTTCTAAATTTAATTTTTCTTAATTTTTATTATTTATTTATTTTTCTATATTTAATTTTTTATTTATTTTATTCTATTTCATTAATTTTTCAAATTTTTTATATTTTATTATTTTAATTTTAGCTTATTATTATTTTTTTTTTTTTGTTATTATTTTATTATTTTAATTTTAATTTTATTATTTCTATTATTATTTTACAGGCCTCGGATTATACGATTTTTTCGACTTTTTCCGACTTTTACTTAACAATACGAAATTATTCGACTTATTTTTAATAAAATGCGACTTTTTTCGATTTATTTTTAACATTTTTGAAAAAAAAAAAATTTTTAACAAAATACGATTTTTTTTCAGTATACAATGCAGATATTCTTTAGATCTTCTTTAATTCAATAATTTAATAAATTTTTAACTAAAATTCTTCACTAAATTAATTATTATTAATAATTTTAATGAAATTCAATTCACAAATACAAATATTTTTAATTATTTTTTAATTCAAATATTTATGAAATTTAATAATTGTTTATAATTTCAAAAAAAAGAAATTAAACAAATTTAGTAAATAAAATTACACGAAAAATTTTAATTCAAAATCACTTGAAATTTAATTAATTGCAAAAATTTCAACTATTTTTTAATGATTTTTATAATATTCTTCGAAAATTTCAATTATCTGAATGCAAATTTTCAAAATTAAAAACTTTTGGAATTAAAAATTTTAAATTAACTAAAATTCAATTATTTTCCAAAATTTCAATTGAAATTCAATTATTTCTAAAAATTTCGATAACAAAATCCACTGAAATTCAATTATTTTTAAAATTTTCAATTCTGAATTAATTAAATTCAATTATTTTCCATTATTTCAATTCAAAATCAACTAAAATTCAATTATTTTGCAAAATTTCGATTGAAATTCAAATATTTTCCAAAATTTCAATTCAAAATCATTAAAATTTAATTATTTTTTAAAACTTTCTATTAAAATTAAATTACTTTTAAAATTTTTAATTTAAAATTAACTAAAATTCTATTATTCTCCAAAATTTCAATTAAAATTCAATTATTCAAAAAAATTTCAATTCAAAATAAACTAAAATTAAATTATTTTCAAAATTAAACTTAAAATCCAATTATTTAAAAATTTTTTAATTCAAAATAAACTAAAATTCAATTATTTTTAAAACTTCAATTCAAAATTAACTAAAATTCATTTCTTTTGAAAATTTTTAATTAAACTTCAATTATTTTCAAAATTTTTAATTGAAATTCATTTATTTGGAAAATTTTCAAAACTTTTTATTTAAAATAAACAAAAATTTAATTGTTTTAAAAAATTTCAATTGAAAATCAACTAAAATTCAATTATTTTTCAAAAATTTCAATTGAAAATCAACTAAAATTCAATTATTTTCCAAAATTTCAATTGAAAATCAACTAAAATTCAATTATTTTCAAAAAATTTCAATTTAAAATTAACTAAAATTCAATTATTTTCCAATATTTCAATTGAAAATCAACTAAAATTCAATTATTTTCCAAAACTTCAATTCAAAATCAATTAAAATTCAATTTTTTTGAAAAATATTTATTAAAATTCAATTATTTTCCAAAATTTTCTATTCAAAATTAATTTTCAAATTTTTCAATCAAAAATGATTTTAAATTAAATTATTATCGAAAATTTTAATTAAAATTCAATTATTTCTCAAAATTTTTAATTCAAAATGAACTGAAATTCAATTATTTTAAAAAATTTTAATTGATGTTTAATTATTTTCCAAAATTTTCAATTCACAATCAATTATTTTCCAAAATTAACTAAAATTCAATTATTTTCAAAAATTTCAATTAAAATTCAATTAATTTAAAAAATTTCAATTTGAAATCAACTAAAATTCAATTATTTTCCAAAATTTTCTATTCAAAATTAATTTTCCTAATTTTCAATCAAAAATGAATTTAAATTAAATTATTATCCAAAATTTTAATTAAAATTCAATTATTTCCCAAAATTTTTAATTCAAAATGAACTGAAATTCAATTATTTTGAAAAATTTTAATTGATGTTAAATTATTTTCCAAAATTTTCAATTCACAATCAATTATTTTCCAAAATTAACTAAAATTCAATTAATTTCAAAAATTTCAATTAAAATTCAATTATTTTAAAAAATTTCAATTTGAAATCAACTGAAATTCAATTATTTTCCAAAATTTTCTATTCAAAATTAATTTTCCAAATTTTCAATCAAAAATGAATTTGAATTAAATTATTATCCAAAATTTTAATTAAAATTCAATTATTTTCCAAAATTTTTAATTCAAAATGAACTAAAATTCAATTATTTTCCAAAATTTCAATTCAAAAATAACTAAAATTCAATTATTTCCCAAAATTTTCAATTCAAAATCAATTATTTTCCAAAATTTCATTTCAAAATCAACTAAAATTGAATTATTTTCCAAAACTTCAATTCAAAATCAATTAAAATTCAATTATTTTGCAAAATTTCGATTGAAATTCAAATATTTTCCAAAATTTTCTATTCAAAATTAATTTTCAAATTTTTCAATCAAAAATGAATTTAAATTAAATTATTATCCAAAATTTTAATTAAAATTCAATTATTTCCCAAAATTTTTAATTCAAAATGAACTGAAATTTAATTATTTTGAAAAATTTTAATTGAAGTTCAATTATTTTCCAAAATTTTCAATTCAAAATCAATTATTTTCCAAAATCAACTAAAATTCAATTATTTCCAAAATTTCAATTGAAATTCAATTATTTTAAAAAATTTTTAATTAAAAATAAACTAAAATTCAATTATTTCGAAAATTTTATTATTCTCTGAAAATTAACAAAACCTTTTTAAAAATTCAATTATTTCTATTAATTCTTGATAATATTCTTATAGAATTATTATCATTACTGAATTAATAAAACAAATTTTATAACTAATAACATTAGTTATTTAAAGTAAAATATTTATTAACCAATTAAATTTTGTTAAAATTGAAAAAATCGTCTTATTCGACTTTTTTTCGAATATAAATCGACTAAATCGACTTCTTTTTTTTTCTACATTAAACTCGATCTAAGGCCTGATTTTATTATTTTAATTTTATTATTTATTATTATTTTTGTTATTATTTTATTTTGTAATTTTCTAGTATGTTTTTTTTTTTACTTTCAATATTTATTTATTTACTTCTATTTATTTTATTTTATTTTTGATATTTTCTTTTTTCATTAAAAAATAATTTAATCATCTCCAATTATTCTTAGGAACAATTAAAAGATCATTCAACAATATATTGTCAATGGAACGATCATTGTACAGTAACTTTAATGCTTGGAACTGGTTTGCTCATTTATATTCAAATAAGCGTTCAATCAAATGATATTGAAAAAATAGTTTTTGATAAATATTTAGTTGGAAAACTCTCCGATCATATTTCCGATGGTACGTTAAATTTTTATTAGTTTTTTTTATTCATTTTAATTATTTATTTCTTTTCTTTTCTCTTTTTTTGTTTTGTGTCTTTCAATGTAAAAATATTTTTAATTATTTGTAAATTTTCTTTTTTTTTTATTTTGTGTCTTTCAGTGTAAAAGTATTTTTAATTATTTGTAAATTTTCTTTTTATTTTTTTTAAATTGTGTCTTTCAATGTAAAAGTATTTTTAATTATTTGTAAATTTTCTTTTTTTTTTTTTTTATTTTGTGTCTTTCAGTGTAAAAGTATTTTTAATTATTTGTAATTTTTTTTTTCCACAGTTGTAATTACAAAAAATCATTTGGTTTGCACCTATAATGATAGTCAAGTGACAATGGTGCATTTTACAAAAACAAAAAGACATTTTTTCGACAAAATTAGTCGATTGGAGCCGAAAATAAATTCTTTTGAACTTTGCGGTCCAAGTAATCGTCGATTAGACAAAAAAATTCAATCAAATCGTTCCGGCGATTTAGTGAGTATTTTTTTTTTTTTTTTTAATATTATTATTATTTTAAAGTATATTTTAATAAATTTAATTATTTTTTAACACGAATTTTCAAATTTTCGAATGAAATATTTTCAATAGATTTTATTTTTTTATATAAAATTTTTAGCTACCAAATTTTTGATTTAGCAGAATTTTTTTTATTTTCCATTCATTTTTCTTTTACTTAAATTAAAAAAAAATTCTCTTTAACTAAAAAGTCATTTAAAGAAAATGAAAATTGTAAAATATAAAAATTCTGCACAAATCAAAAATTCAGTAGCTAAAAATTTGATTATAAGTAAAAATTTTTATAGTAAGAAATTTGTTTTAAATAAAAATTCGTATTAAAAAGAAATTATTAAAAATTTGTTTCTTTTTAATAATAAATTAGAGAAAAATTAGAAATATAATAAAATAAATAATGAAATAAAAAAAATTTTTTTTTTTTTCAAAGATATTAATTTGGTGGAAATCGGCAATGAATGAAATTTATCCATGGAGTCCAACGATAAAAGAACATGATCGAGCAAATGTACAAATTCATCGATTAAATGGGTAAGAATTACAAAAAATTATTTTAATTATTTATTTATTTTTTTTAATAGCCAAAATATATTTTTTTTTTTCTTTTTATATTTTACACGTTTGGATGCAATTGAAATTTGACTTTATTTAAATTTACGCTACGCAATTTAGAATCTCTAAATGAAATGCAGCAGAATTTTTATTTTTATTTTTTTTTTTTTTTTATTCCTTTCTCCTTATTTTAAAACTGATGTCGTTTAATGTTAATTTTTCATTTGCTTTTTGGGTTTGCTTTTAACAGAGTTGAAACGATTTAGAATTTTCTTCTTCTTCTTTCTTCTGAATTTGAGGATTTTTTATTTTTATTATTATTGGTAAGATTTTTTTCTGACTTTTTTCCATTTTCGCATGTTGCACGATTAAATGCTTTATGTTCTTTCCACAATTGCATTCGATATTTTGAAGGCGTTGATAATTCTTGTGCTACAAATTTTGTTATTTTTTTTGGAAGCTCCCACGTTGTCTAAAAAAAAAGAGAGAGAGAGAGAAAAAAGGAAAAGAAATTCTAAATTTTCTATTTTTAATATTTGCATTTTCCTGACAATTTTTCAATTTTTTTTTTTTTTTATGGGAATTACGAAAAAACATTTAATTTTCGAATATTTTTTTTTTTTTTAGAAATTTATTGAAATTCAATTAATTATTATTATTTTTTTTTAAATCAAATAAAATTAAAGTAAATTGCAAATTAAATTAAATTAAATTAATTATTTTTTTTTTAATCAGCAAATAAAATGAAAGTAAATTAATTATTTTTTTTTAATCAGCAAATAAAATTAAAGTAAATTGCAAATTAAATTAAATTAATTTTTTTCTAAATCAGCAAATAAAATTAAAGTAAATTGCAAATTAAATTAAATTAAATTAAATTAATTATTTTTTTTAATCAGCAAATAAAATTAAAGTAAATTAATTATTTTTTTTTAATCAGCAAATAAAATTAAAGTAAATTGCAAATTAAATTGAATTAAATATTACTAAATTAAATGAATTATTTTCTGTTTTTTAAATCAGAAAATAAAATTAAAATAAATTGGAAATTAAATTAAATTAAATGCAACTTACTTTGAAATTCTCTCGTTCGTGATTGGTTTTTTTTAAATGAGCCAATAAATGTCCTTTATTATCACATTGAAAAGTAGTTATTCTACAGTGTCTATCGGGAAATTGTGGATACCATTTTGGAATTTGCCAATTTCCCAATCTTTTTGGTTTATAATTTTCTTCCATCCAATGAGCATGCCAATTTTGTGACATTTTTTTTTTTTTTTTTTTTTTTTTTTTTGCTCTTACTAACTAAAACACTTAGAAGTAATTTTTATTTTTATAAAATAACAATTTGAGTAGAAAAAATTTACTTTAACTTGAATTGAAACAGAAATTTGTTATACCCAGTTACCATGGCAATTATATAGATTTAATAATCCTTTTTTTTCTCTTTTTCTTTTTCTTTTTCTCTTTTCAATCATGAAAAATACGAAATTAAAATTATTTAAATTCTCTAAATTAAAAAATCAAAATAATTTTTTATTTGTCTTAAAAAGTTAATAATTTTTTTTTTTTTTTTTTTTTTTTTTTTTTTTTTTTTTTTTTTTTTTTTTTTTTTTTTTCCTATATTGATACTAAAAATTTAATAATTGTCGCAAAAATTTTTTCTTTTCTCAAAAATTGTGCATGAATTTGAAATTGAATTTTTCTTTTTTGGGAAAAATTAAAAATGAAGATAATAATTTTCAGATTAAAAATGGATTTAATTTGTTATTTGCGAACTGAATATGATCCACTTTGCATAACATTTAATACATTACATGAAAATGTAATTCACTCGATAGAACAAAAAGTTTCTCGAAAGGTACAATTAGAATATTTATTAATTAATTTTAAATTAAACGAAAATTATTTAATTATTATTAATTAAATAATTAAATAATTAACGAAATTTAAATATTGATTTAACGATCATAATAATTAAATTTTTAATCTAAATTAATTACAATAAATAATAATAATAATAAAAATAAATTAACAATAGTAATAGTAATAATAATAATTACTGTTTTATATTATTTTTATTATTAGTAATTATTATTAATTTACTAATTTTTGTTTAATGATTAAATTTATTATTATTTATTTTATTTATTTATTTTATTTCTAAATTAATTACAGTAAATAATAATAATAAATTAACAATAGTAATAGTAATAATAATAGTTACTTTTATTATTAGTAATTATTATTAATTTACTAATTTTTGTTTTTACTGATTAAATTTGTTATTATTTATTTTTTTTTTTAAATGAAAATAAAATAAAAAATAGGGCGAAATCACAATTGAATGGAGGACATATGAAGTTTCGCAGCAAGATAAATTACAAAGAATAAATGTAGTTTCGATACCAATTACAACGCATACGAGTTGTGTGAAATTTTCTCCAAATCAAGAAATGCTGTTACTTTGTTGTATCGATGGTTCGATAACATTGCATGATCAACCAAAAGGCACGAGTAATACCGTCAAAGCTGCTTTTGTATGTTATTTTTGGTTAAAAAATTAAAAAAAAAAAAAAGAATTTTGTTTTGAATATTCTAATTTTTTTTTTCTATTCTAATTATTAAGAAAAAGTATTTTTAAATATTTTAATTGTTAAACATTTTTTTTTTTTAATATTCTAATTATTAAGAAAAAGTATTTTTAAATATTTTAATTGTTAAACATTTTTTTTTTTTTATTAAGAAAAAGTATTTTCAAATATTTTAATTGTTAAACATTTTTCTTTTTTAATCTAATTATTAAAAAAAAAAAAAAATAATATCAACTTTTGATTTGCAAATTAAAGAAACATTTTACGTTAAAATTTTTTTAGATTCCGACATTTGCAAGTTGGCATGGAGATGGAATAATTTTTACACTTGGCAATGAAAGGGGACAATTTCAACATTTTGATATTGCATTTTCTTGCATTAAAAGTCAAATGTTAACTGAAGAGTCAACATCAATGAATATTTTAGATCTCTCTTTTTATTTTAGGTATTGTATTGTATTTATTTATTTATTTATTTTTTTTTTCTAATTTTCATTTTTTAATTACAAGTTTTTTTTTCGATTTATTTTTTTGAAAAAATTTTCCCTGGCAAAAAATAATTATATTAAGTTTAAAATAAAAAAAAATAAATCAAAAATTTGAAAATAAATAAATGTAAATTATTTTAAAACAGAAAAAAAAAAATTTATATATAAATAATTATTTGAAAATTAATATAGAAAATAAATTTAATTATTAGAAAATTATTACAAAAAAATAAAGGTTATTTTTAATAATTATTTTAATAATTATTTTAATAATTATTTTTTTAATTAAATTAGAAATCAACCGATACTTTTTCGCATGGAATGGAGTAAATTACCAATGGAAGAATTTAATATTCAACATTATAAACAAAGTGATGCACTTTTTTTATTATTATTTGAACGGTGAGTGAATTTATTTGTTTTAATGTAAATTAATTAATTTAATTATATTTTCACTAATTTATCAAATTTAATTAAATAAATTATTTTATTTCTATTTTTTCAATATCTAGAAAATATTTCAAAAAAAAATTAATTACTTTTCAATTAATTGTTTTAAATTATTGGAAATTTTAATAATTTTCTCAATTATATTTTTAAAAAAATTACAATTATTTTTGTAATTATTATTTTACAAATTAATTAAATTTGAATATTAATTACGGATTCTTTAAATTATTATTAATTATAATTTTGATTTTTTTTTTTTTGTTTTTAAATTGCAGAGGACCTATGGGAGTTATTAAAATAATTGAAGGATGCAATTATCCCGGCGATGCATTAATTGAAAATTATTTAAAACTCGAATTACCCGATAAAGCAACATCTCTTTTACTTTCAATGAATTGGGATTTACACACTAAAAATTGCATGCATTCACTTAATCAAATTGTCAATTATCTTTTTAAATTTCCTCTAACTCCCGAAAGAGAACGTAAGTAATTTATTTCATTTTATAAAAAGGTGAATAAAATTTTTTTGAAATAAATAATTAATATATATATATATTTAATAAATATATTAAAAATAATTAACAATTAATATTTAATCAATATACTTATATGTTTCTAATAAATAATTAATACACTGTATTTAAAAAAAAATAATAATTAACAATTAATTTTTAAATGAATAATTAACAATTAATTTTTAAATAAATAATTATAATTTTTTATTTAAAAGATTTAATACAAATTGCATTGGGAAGTTTTCACGTACCAGTGAGACCAATAAGTCAAATAGTTGAAGAAGAATATGGAGATGAAGTTCGTGATTTAACAAGACGATTTTTTCATCATCTTCTGAGGTATTAATTTTTTTTCATTTCTTTTTATTTTTGCAAATAAATTAAAAAATTTTCTTTATTTTTGTTAAATACAGATTTCGACTTTTTGAAAAAGCTTTTAGATTAGCGATAGATTTAAATGATCATGATTTGTTTATGGATATTCATTTTTATGCAATTGCAATGAAAGATACAGAATTGGCGAATGCAGCAAAAGAAAAAGCCGAACAAATTTTAAGCAGATCCAATAGTTGCGACGACAGTTCACGTAAATACTTTTTTTTTCAATTACTATTATTATTATTTTTTAGTTTCATTTTTTTTTTTTTTTTTTTTTTTTTTTTTTTTAATTTAATTATTAAATTATTCATTTAATTAGTAATGGCTTTGGATTATATAGGATTTTTTTTCGACTTTTTTTACATTTTTTTTTTTTTAATTTAAACAAAATAGGATTTTTTAATATTTGGTACAATGCAGATATTTTTTAAATCTTCTTTATTTAAATTATTTAACAAATTTTTCACTAAAATTCTTTATTAAATTAATTATTATTAATAATTTTAATGAAATTCAATTATTTTAAATTATTTTTCAATTCAAATATTTATGAAATTTAATTAATTGTTTATAATTTCAAAAACAAAAAGAAAAAAAAAATTAGCAAATAAAATTATACAAAAAATTTTAATTCATAATCACTTGAAATTTAATTATTTGCAAAAAATTTCAATTATTTTTTTAATGATTTTTATAATATTCTACGAAAATTTCAATTATTAAAATGCAAATTTTCAAATTAAAAATTTTTGGAATTTAAAATTTTAAATTAACTAGAATTCAATTATTTTCTAAAAATTTCAATTGAAATTCAATTTTTTCGAAAAATATCAATACAAAATCCAAAAAAAAAATCCAAATCCAATCCAAATCAAAATTTATAAACTTTCAAAAATTTTAATTCTGCATTAATTAAATTTCAATTATTTAAAAAAAATTTCAATTCAAAATAAACTAAAATTCAATTATTTTCCAAAATTTTAATTCAAATTCACGTATGTAAATAAATAAATAAATTTTAATTATTTTTTTAATTTTCAATTAAAAATAAACTAAAATTCAATTATTTTGAAAATTTTCAAAACTTTTTATTTAAATTAAAAAAAAAATTCAATTATTTTTAAAATTTTTCCATTCAAAATTAATTGAAATTCATTTATTTTCAAAATTTTTAATTCAAAATTAATTTAAATTCAATTAATTTCAAAATTTTCAATTCTAAATTAATTAAATTTCAATTATTTTAAGAAATCTTTAATTAAAAATAAACTGAAATTCAATTTTTTTAAAAAAATTACAATTAAAATTCATTTTTTTTTTTTTTAAATTTTCAATTATAATTCAATTATTTTCAAAATTTTATTTAAAATCCAATTATTTACAAATTTTTTAATTCAAAATAAACTAAAATTTAATTATTTTCTTAAATTTCGATTGAAATTCAATTACTTTTTTTTAAATTTCAATTGTTATCCAATTATTTACAAAATTTTCAGTTAAAAATGAACTAATATTCAATTCATTTTAAAATTTTCAATTTAAAATAAACTAAAATTCAATAATTTTCCAAAATTTCAATTCAAAATCAATTAAAATTCAATTATTTACTAAAAATTTCAAATCAAATTTCTAATAAATTCTTTAGTAATAGAAATAATTGAAAATTTCAAACAATAATCTTTTGAAGTTTAAATACTTTCAAAAATTTGAATTCTAAATCTTTTGAATATTCAATTATTTTAAATAATTTTAATTAAAATCTATCAAAAATTCAATTATTCTCACAAAAATTTCAATAGAAATCAAAAAAAAATTCAATTAATGTAAAAAAAATTTAACTATAATTGATCCAACATTTTTTTTAAAGTCTCAATAAAAATCTGTCAAAAATTCCGATTATTGTTCAAAATTTCAGTAGAAAAAAAAAAAACAAAAATTAAATTACTTTTTCAAAATTTTTGAGAATTTGAGAAAATGTTTTAAATAATTAAATTTTCAATGAATTTGATTAAAATATTATAATTGAAATAAAAATTAAAAAATCAGAAAATTTGTGAAATAATTGAATTTTAGAAGATTTTTAATAAAAATTTTATAATTTTCCATAATTTCAAATTAAATTTAACAGAAATATTCAATTATACTTTTTTTTTTAAATTTAAGTTCATTTCAACCAAAAATTGAATTCTCAAAAATTTTAATGCAAATTCGTTAAAAAAAAAAAAAAACAAAAAAACGAACAGAAATTAAATTATTTTCCAAAAAGATTTTCATTTCAAATTTGCAAATAAAATGAATTATTTTAAAAAAAAAGAATTTTTTTTTTATCAGTCAAAAATTCTATTATTTTTCAAAAAAAAAATTTAGAAAATAGAAAATAGAAATACCAAAAATTCAATTATTTTTCCATAATTTCAATTATAATTGGTCAAAAAATAAATTTAAAAAAAAAGTCTGAATAAAATTGAGGCAAAAATTTAATTACTTTTCAAAAAAACATTTCAGATAAAAATCACAAAAATTCAATTATTTTAAATAATTTTAATTTAAATCTATTAAAAATTCAATTATTTTTTTTAGAATTATAGTTTATTTCGGCCAAAAAATCAATTTTTAAAAATTTTTAATGGAAGTTAGTAACAAAAAAAAAAATTAATAAAAAAACGGACAAAAATTCAATTATTTTCTAAAATTTTAGTTCAAATCCGCTAAAAATTCAATTATTTCTAAATATTTACTTATTATCGTTCAAAAATTCCATTATTTTCATAAAAATTTCAATAGAAATCAAAAAAATTAAATTATTTTTCCATAATTTCAATTCAAAAAAATTATAATTCAAAATCACTTGAAATTTAATTATTTGCAAAAATTTCAATTATTTTTTAATGATTTTTAAAATATTCTTCGAAAATCTCAATTATCTGAATGCAAATTTTCAAATTAAAAACTTTTGAAATTAAAAATTTTAAATTAACTAAAATTCAATTATTTTCCAAAATTTTAATTAAAATTCACGAATATCAATAAATAAAGAAAAAAATTTAATTATTTTTTAATTTTCAATTAAAAATAAACTAAAATTTAATTATTTTCAAAATTTTCAATTCAAAATCAACTAAAATTCAATTATTTTCTTAAATTTCGATTAAAATTCAATTATTTTTAAAAATTTCAATTGTAATCTAATTATTTACAAATTTTTCAATTAAAAATAAACTAAAATTCAATTATTTTCAAAATTTTCAATTAAAAATAAACTAAAATTCAATTATTTTAAAAAAATTACAATTTTAAATAGGGTCAGTCGGGGTAAATCCGAACGGGGGGTAAATCCGAACGCTAATTATTTCAGCTTAATTAAAATTTTTAAAAATAAGTTCGATATGAGAATTTTTACCTCAGATCCTCTTCAAGAGATTCTAAGTATTATCCCATTTTTTGTTTGTTAATTAGCAACAGCATAAACAAAGATAACAAGTATTGCAAAAAAGATTGAAAATCAAAGATGACACTCTTTCAGTATTTTGTCTCGTATTTCAAGAAAAAGAAGCTAAAAATTCATTTTATTATTTATAATTGTTTGTTATGAATACTAGAACAGAAACTATATTTGATTTTTGCCTTCTGTAAAATTTTATTAATAATATCAGACCGTTCGTATTTACCCAAGAAAATTGGAAAACTGGGGTAAATCCGAACGGTATTTTTAATAATTTTTTTTTACATCAAAGCCACACAAAATTGTTTTTATTTGATTACACTATTATTTTAACATTATAAAAGTACATAGAAAAAAGTTTTTCTTTCTATACGTATCCTCGTTAGTAATTAATAAGCAGAAACTTAATCTCTGTTCTCTCGAAGAAGTGTGTCAAGTTTTTTGCCAAATGGTTTGTTGAAAAAAGTTTTTCAGGATCTTAATAAAATTTGGTATTCTACGGTTTTTGGGGTCGCTAATTACCAATTTGAAGTCAGTTTTTCAAAATTCAAAATGGCGGACGAGAATTAAAAAATTCATTGGATTCGCTCGAAAATTGTTACTCGGGGGGTTTCAGGATTAGCAAATTTGATCATTTTTAAAAATAAGTTTTAGGAAAGTACGACATTTTGAATTTAAAAAATTTGACTTTTATTTTTGTATTTACGTTCAATCACTCCAAAATACTTTCAGTACCAAGTTTTGCAAAAATCCATTATGATTTGATAAAGTTATTGAAAGTTTTAATTGTGTAATGCATTTTAATTTTTAACCTGTTTGATTTTTGTATTTATATATGATGCATTATTACATAATAGGTTTATTATCGTATTTTTTTTGAGTTTTTATATAAGTTTAACAATTGCAATACTTTAAATTTATTTTCCCTAAGATTTTTCTGAAATACAGTGGCGTTCGTATTTACCCCCATATTTTAGGAAAGTTGCAAAGTATCGAGGTAAATACGAACGCTAAGTTTCCTGCGATTGTAATTTATCAAAAATTTTTTCTACCCCATAAAATTGTTCTATGGAAGTAAAGTAACAACTTCATGCACCAGAATACCGGAAGTATTTTTTTTTTAAAGAAAAAACTTATGTTATTGTTGAAACTTACTAAAAGCGTTCGGATTTACCCCAGTTGACCCTAAATTAAAATTAAATTATTTTCCACAATTTCAATTTAAAATCAACTAAAATTCCATTATTTTCAAAATGTTTAATTAAAATTAATTTATTTTGAAAATTTTCAAAAATTTTTATTTAAAATAAACAAAAATTCAATTATTTTCAAAATTTTCAATTTCAAATTAATTAAAATTCATTTATTTTCAAAATTTTCAATTCCAAATTAATTTAAATTCAATAAATTTCAAAATTTTCAATTCTGAATAAATTAAATTTCAATTATTTTAAGAAATGTTCAATTAAAATAAACTGAAATTCAATTCTTTTCAAAAATTACAATTAAAATTCATTTTTTGTTTTTGAAAATTTTCAATTAAAATTCAATTATTATCAAAATTTTAATTGTAATCCAATTATTTACAAAATCTTCAATTAAAAATAAACTAAAATTCAATTATTTTCAAAATTTTCAATTAAAAATAATAATAATAATAATAATAATAATAATAAAATAAAAATCTAGCAAAAATTCCGATTTTTGTCCAAAATTTCATTAGAAAAAATACAAAAATTAAATTACTTTTTCAACATTTTAGGAATTTGAGAAAATTTTTTAAATAATTAAATTTTCAATGAATTTGATTAAAATATTATAATTGAAATAAAAATTAAAAAATCAGAAAATTTGTGAAATAATTGAATTTTAGAAGATTTTTCCCGTGTGGAAAAAGCCACGATCTTGCCCTCAAGAGTTCGGGGCCCCCGGCGGGGGCCCATGAGGGCTGATCCATATGGCGAATCCATGAGGGGCACCGTAGGGGCCCCGCATGGATCGCCCTCATGATCGATTAGCAAAATTTTCTAAGTCCAAAAATCAAATATTTTTTTATCACCAAAAAATTAATGTTTATAATGATTCACAACAATGAAAAACGCGTTTTTAATTAAAATATATTTTCACTTTTTTTGAAAATAACACTCACACTTATGGCGAATCCATGAGGGGCACCGTAGGGGCCCTCATGATCGATTAGCAAAATTTTCTAAGTCCAAAAATCAAATATTTTTTTATCACCAAAAAATTAATGTTTATAATGATTCAGAACCACGAAAAACGCGTTTTTAATAAAAATATATTTACACTTTTTTGAAAATAACACTCACACTTATGGCAAAATAGATGAGGGCCACCGTAGGGGCCCGCATGGATCGCCCTCATGATCGATTAGCAAAATTTTCTAAGTCCAAAAATCAAATATTTTTTTATCAACAAAAAATGAATGTTTCCAATGATTTAAAACAACGAAAAACGCGTTTTTAATAAAAATATATTTACACTTTTTTGAAAATTCGCCTGAGATGATTCATGATAATAATCATAAAGCATATAATTAATTATATTTTATAAATTGCATTTGATTGGAAAATATAATTTAATATCTTAACTTTAACTAAATGATGTTAAGCACTTTTCTTTGTTAGGTATTTTTCAAGTTTAAATAGCATCAAGAAGTTAGCATTCGTTTTGAAGTAGCGTGCGTAGCGTAGTTGGTAAAGCGTTAGACTCATAGTCCGTAGGTCGTAGGTTCGATTCCCCCCATGCGTTAGATTTATTTATTTCTCAGGTTTGCGTTTAATCATTAATTCTATGTATGAATTAATTGAAAAATGAAAATATCCGTTAATAGTATGCATAAATTAAATATTTTTTAATTTTTTAATTAATTAATTTATTATTACTTTTAATTATATCCGACAGTTAATTAATTAGAACGTTAATTAATAAATTGAATTTGAGTAAGAATTTAATTTAAAATTGAATAATTATTAAATAAATATGTTATTTATTCATAACTTAAGCTTATTTATTATTAATTAACTTTTATTATTAATATTATTGATTAAAAAACATTATGGCAAACTTGAGGGCAAGATGAGGGCAAACGTGAGGGCCCATAAGGGCGCCCGTAGGGGCACCCTCATGGATCGCCCATGCGGGCGCCCTCATCGATGAGCATGTCGTTTCCATGAGGGGCCCCTATGGATCATCCATATGCGGCCCTCATGGCATGAGGGCGATCCATAAGGGCCCCCGCTGGGGGCCCACATCACTTTTCCACACGGGTTAATAAAAATTTAATTATTTTCTATAATTTCAAATTAAATTTAACAGAAATATTCAATTATATTTTTTTTTTAAATTTAAGTTCATTTCAACCAAAAATTGAATTCTCAAAAATTAGTAACAAAAAAAAAAAAAAAAATTAATAAAAAAACGGTCAAAAATCAAATTATTTTCTAAAATTTTAGTTCAAATCCGCTAAAAATTCAATTATTTCTGAAAATTTACTTATTATCCATTAAAAATTCAATTATTTCTAAATATTTACTTATTATCGTTCAAAAATTCCATTATTTTCACAAAAATTTCAATAGAAATCAAAAAAATTCAATTATTTTTACATAATTTCAATTTTAATTAGTCAAAAAATATTTAAAAAAAAAAAAGAATCTGAATAAAATTGAGGCAGAAATTTAATTATTTTCAAAAAAAAAAATAATAATAATAATAATAATAAATAATTGAATTTTGATCGAGTTAAAGTTAAGATTTTTAGAAATAACTCGAGGCCTATTATTTTATTATTAATTTAACTATACTAAATTATTAATTTAATTAGTAAATTATTAATTTTATTTACTAATTATTAATTTAATTTACTAATTATTAATTTAATTAGTAAATTATTAATTTAATTAATAAATTATTAATTTAATTTACTAAATTATTAAGTTAATTAGTAAATTATTAATTTAATTACTAAATTATTAATTTTATTTACTAAATTATTAATTTAATTAACAAATTGTTAATTTAATTTACCAAATTATTAATTTATTTACTGAATTATTAGAAAAGTGAATAAATTGTTAATTTAATTTTTTATTTACCAAAAAAAAAAAAAAAAAAAAAAAAAAATTCATTTTTTCTGTCTAGATTCCACGTGTTCGCGTCCATCATGTTCACTTTGTTCCGATTCAGTGAGCGATAAAGATGACGATTCATTCACAGATGAATCAGAAAATAATGAGAAATTATTAAATTTAAATCGAAATCGTTCAAAATTAATAAATAGTCAAGCGCCACCACTTCCGGTTCTTCATTCTTCTCTCTATCCAAATACAACTAATTTTACAATTCCCTTTAATGATTCAAAATTTGAAAAAAATGATGGTAATTTAAGATCAACATTTAATTTATCCACATATTTACCTGGATCATTTAATAATTTAATTCATTTAAATTCACAATTAAATAAAAATTCCTCCCCATCATCATCGTCATTGTCATTGTCAAGGCAAATAAATTCCAATTTTTCCCAATCGCTTAGCAATATTGAAAGTTTAATTCCAAATTATTCTAATTCAAATTTAAAATCATTTAATAATTCTATTGATCATTTTGGAAAAACATCATTTAATGGTAAAATTTCCGATGAATTGACAAATTATGGAAAATCATATGGCGAAGTTAGTGAAAATTTTGAACAATTTGGCAAATTTTGTACAAAAGAAAAATCATTTATGGAGAAAAATTTTTCAAATACACAATTATTAGAAACGCCAAATGAAATGAATTTATCATTTAATGGAAAATCAAGGGGATTATTTAATCCTGTAAGTTCTCTTTTTTATAATTCAAATAATGTTCCTTTTAACGATTCCGATGATGATGATGATGATGATGATGAAGAAGAGGAAAAAGAAGAAGAAGAGAAAAAAATACCCGAAAAAGAAGAAGAAGAAGAAGAAGAACAGAAAATTAATTTAATTTCCAAAAATTCACCGGTTTTTCAAACAATTGAACAGAAAAAAAGTCAAAGACTCTCGGCATTTGATATTCCACCACCGCCATCAATGTCAACGAGTTTAGCGAAATATATAAAAAATTTGCCGAAAAAAAATATCCCCTTATCAAGAAGTACTTCCGGATTAATTGAAATGGAAGATTCTTTATTAAGATTACAAAATTCAAGATCAATTTCAAAATTAGGACAAAATTCGAGTTTAAATTTTCTATTAAATCACAATCATAATCATCATAATCATCATCATCATTATCAACATCAACAACAACAACAACAACGAAATAGTAAATTTCAATCAACGAAAAATTATAAATTAAATTATGATTTAAATCATGTGCCATGTACGGCAAGTTGTGATAATTTATCAACAACAATGAGAAATATTTATCAAGGAAGAAGTGGTAACGATTTAAAAGAATCGAAATTATTTCGTATTGGACAGGAAAAAAAGGAGGTGAAAAAATTTTCAAATATTCCACCATTGCCAGTTATTAATTCAAATTTTAAACATTATTCAATGGAAATTGCTAATACATCGTCAAATGAAAAGCCAAAAGTCAAATTTTCCGATACTGTCACACATATTCTTGTTCCTGGAAGTGTAAGTTTTTAATTATTTTTTTTTCTCTCTATATATGTATTTAGAAATAATAAATTAATATTTAAATTAAATTAAAAATTAATCCATTAAGGACCAAATATAGAAAAATTTTGCCTAAAGTTTGGCAATTTAAAACCAACTAAACGCATTAGGAAAAAAATTCACAATATACGTTTTTTATGGTCCAGGAACCGTTCTTTTAAGTGGTGCATCTAAAAAAAAAACCGTAAATTTAAAATTAAACAAATTACATATAACTAGCAAAATTAAACGCGTGCCAAATTGAGTATTTAAAATTCAATTATTATCCGAAATTTTAATTCAAAATCAATTAAAAATCCAATAATTATCCACAAAATTTTCAATTTAAAATTTAATTATTTAACAAGTTTACAATTTAAAATGAAATAAAATTCAATTATTTCCCAAAATTTTAAATTCAAAATCAATTATTTAAATTTTCAATCAAAAATGAACTTAAATTAAATTATTATCCAAAATTTCAATTAAAATTCAATTATTTCCACAAAATTTTCAATTCAAAATGAACTGAAATTCAATTATTTTGAAAAATTTTAATTGTAATTCAATTATTTTCCAAAATTTTCAATTAAAATTCAATTATTTTAAAAAATTTCAATTTGAAATCAACTAAAATTCAATTATTTTCCAAAATTTTCTATTCAAAATTAATTTTCCAATTTTTCAATCAAAAATGAATTTAAATTAAATTATTATCCAAAATTTTAATTAAAATTCAATTATTTCCCAAAATTTTTAATTCAAAATGAACTAAAATTCAATTATTTTCCAAAATTTCAATTGAAAATTAACTAAAATTCAATTATTTCCCAAAATTTTAAATTCAAAATCAATTATTTTCCAAAATTTAAATTCAAAATCAACTAAAATTCAATTATTTTCCAAAAATTTCAATTAAAAATCAACTAAAATTCAATTATTTTCCAAAATTTGTAATTTAAAATCAACTAAAATTCAATTATTTTCCAAAATTTCAATTCAAAATCAACTAAAATTCAATAATTTTCCAAAATGTTCAATTCAAAATCGATTATTTTCTAAAATCAACTAAAATTCAATTATTATCCAAAATTTCAATTAAAATTCAATTATTTCCCAAAATTTTCAATTCAAAATCAATTATTTTCCAAAATCATCTAAAATTCAATTATTTTCTAAAATTTCAATTAAAATTCAATTAAATTTGCAATTGAAAAATCAACTAAAATTCAATTATTTTCAAAATTTTCGATTTAAATTCAATTATTTTCCATTATTTCAATTCAAAATCAACTAAAATTCAATTATTTTCCAAAATTTCAATTGAAAATCAACAAAAATTTAATTATTTTCCAAAAATTTTAATTGAAATTCAATTATTTTCCAAAATTTGCAATTTAAAATCAACTAAAATTCAATTATTTTCTAAAATTGCTATTCAAAATTAATTATTTAAATTTTCAATCAAAAATGAACTTAAATTAAATTATTATCCAAAATTTCAATTAAAATTCAATTATTTCCACAAAATTTTCAATTCAAAATGAACTGAAATTCAATTATTTTGAAAAATTTTAATTGTAATTCAATTATTTTCCAAAATTTTCAATTAAAATTCAATTATTTTAAAAAATTTCAATTTGAAATCAACTAAAATTCAATTATTTTCCAAAATTTTCTATTCAAAATTAATTTTCCAATTTTTCAATCAAAAATGAATTTAAATTAAATTATTATCCAAAATTTTAATTAAAATTCAATTATTTCCCAAAATTTTTAATTCAAAATGAACTAAAATTCAATTATTTTCCAAAATTTCAATTGAAAATTAACTAAAATTCAATTATTTCCCAAAATTTTAAATTCAAAATCAATTATTTTCCAAAATTTAAATTCAAAATCAACTAAAATTCAATTATTTTCCAAAAATTTCAATTAAAAATCAACTAAAATTCAATTATTTTCCAAAATTTGTAATTTAAAATCAACTAAAATTCAATTATTTTCCAAAATTTCAATTCAAAATCAACTAAAATTCAATAATTTTCCAAAATGTTCAATTCAAAATCGATTATTTTCTAAAATCAACTAAAATTCAATTATTATCCAAAATTTCAATTAAAATTCAATTATTTCCCAAAATTTTCAATTCAAAATCAATTATTTTCCAAAATCATCTAAAATTCAATTATTTTCTAAAATTTCAATTAAAATTCAATTAAATTTGCAATTGAAAAATCAACTAAAATTCAATTATTTTCCATTATTTCAATTCAAAATCAACTAAAATTCAATTATTTTCCAAAATTTCAATTGAAAATCAACAAAAATTTAATTATTTTCCAAAAATTTTAATTGAAATTCAATTATTTTCCAAAATTTGCAATTTAAAATCAACTAAAATTCAATTATTTTCTAAAATTGCTATTCAAAATTAATTATTTAAATTTTCAATCAAAAATGAACTTAAATTAAATTATTATCCAAAATTTTAATTAAAATTCAATTATTTCCCAAATTTTTTAATTCAAAATGAACTAAAATTCAATTATTTTCCAAAATTTCAATTGAAAATTAACTAAAATTCAATTATTTCCCAAAATTTTAAATTCAAAATCAATTATTTTCCAAAATTTAAATTCAAAATCAACTAAAATTCAATTATTTTCCAAAAATTTCAATTAAAAATCAACTAAAATTCAATTATTTTCCAAAAATTTCAATTAAAAATCAACTAAAATTCAATTATTTTCCAAAATTTGTAATTTAAAATCAACTAAAATTCAATTATTTTCCAATATTTCAATTGAAAATCAACTAAAATTGAATTATACTCCAAAACTACAATTCAAAATTAATTATTTTCCAAAATTTCAATTCAAAATCAACTAAAATTCAATAATTTTCCAAAATGTTCAATTCAAAATCGATTATTTTCTAAAATCAACTAAAATTCAATTATTTTCTAAAATTTCAATTAAAATTCAATTATTTTAAAAAATTTCAATTTGAAATCAACTAAAATTTAATTATATTCTAAAATTTTCTTTTCAAAATTAATTTTTCAAATTTTCAATCAAAAATGAATTTAAATTAAATTGTTATCCAAAATTTCAATTAAAATTGAATTATTTCCCAAAATTTTCAATTCAAAATCAATTATTTTCCAAAATCATCTAAAATTCAATTATTTTCTAAAATTTCAATTAAAATTCAATTAAATTTGCAATTGAAAAATCAACTAAAATTCAATTATTTTCAAAATTTTCGATTTAAATTCAATTATTTTCCATTATTTCAATTCAAAATCAACTAAAATTCTATTATTTTCCAAAATTTCAATTGAAAATCAACAAGAATTCAATTATTTTCCAAAAATTTTAATTGAAATTCAATTATTTTCCAAAATTTGCAATTTAAAATCAACTAAAATTCAATTATTTTCAATCCAAAATCAAGTAAAATTCAATTACTTTCCAAAGTTTCAGTTTAATATTAATTGTAATTCAATTACTTTCCAAAATTTCAATTCAAAATCAATTAAAATTCAATTATTTTAAAAAATTTTAATTGAAATTCAATTATTTTCTAAAATTTCTATTCAAAATTAATTATCTAAATTTTCAATCAAAAATGAACTTCAATTAAATTATTATCTAAAATTTTAATTAAAATTCAATTATTTTCCAAATATTTTCAATTTAAAATCAAATAAAATTTAATTATTATCAAAAATTTGAATACAAAATTAATTGAATTTTCAATAATTTAATTTAAGAACATCTAAAATTCAATTATTTCCCAAAAATTTTCAATTTAAAATCAAATAAAATTTCATTATTCTCAAAAATTTGAATACAAAATTAATTGAATTTTCAATTTTTAATTTTTTAATTTCAATTATAATTCTAAAGAAATTCAATTATTTTTAACTATTTTAATAATATTGTTTGAAAATTCAACTATCTGAAACCATTTTTCAACTAAAAATGATTTTCAAATTATTGTATTTTGTATTTTATTTTTTTTTTATTTTCTAATAAATTTTTAGTGAAATCATGTAAAATTTTAATTAAAAATCACTTAAAGTTTCAATTAATTTCAAAAATCTCAATTTTAAATCTTTGAAAATTCAATTAAATTTAAAAAATGTTTTCCAAAAATTGTTTGATAAATTATTTTTAGTTCTGTAAAATTTAATAATTGTTTTTGAAAATTAACAATAGCTTTTGAAATTTAATTATTTCTAAAAATTTCAACTTTAACCCTTCGAAAAGGATTATTATTAAAAAAAAAATAATTTTTATTTAAAAATCTGTAAAATATTTTTGTTAAAATAAAAAACAAATCCACTGTTTTTTGGAATATAAATCGACTAAAACGACTTTTTGTGTCTTTAAATTGATTCGAGGCCTGTGTTTTTATAATTAATATTTAATAGATATTCGTTGGCCCCTGGTACCTTAAAAATTAATTTTGAAAAATAAATTTTTTTCAAATTACTATCTTGTACGAAATTTCCTGGCGCATCTTTTTTCTCCTCATAAATTTTTTCTATTTGTATACAATTTTTGAATGAATATACAAGTTTAAAAAAAATTTCGTTTGGTAAACGTTGTGTACTTCAGCATCGTGAATTGAATTTTCGAATTTGGAATTTTTAAGAAACTTATTCCAAAATTTGGAAATACAATTATACAACTTTGGCAAAAATGAGAAAAAGAATTGTCAAAATTTGACACGTCATAAGATTACTATTCAAAAAAAAAAAAAAAAAAACACGTGAAATCAGAAAAGGCCAACTTCAAGTTAGGACAGAAGGACAGACCAAGCATTTTATTATTATATAATTATCTGTAATTTGTTTAATTTTAAATTTACGTTTTTTTTAGATGCACCACTTGAAAGAGCGGTTCCTGGACCATAAGAAATGTATATTGCGAATTTTTTCTTAATGCGTTTAGTTGGTTTTAAAAAATTGCCAAACATTAGGCAAAATTTTTATACATTTGGTCCTTAAAGGGTTAAAATAAATTTGGTGGGGCAAAGAATAATTTTTTTTTTTTTTTACAATTTTTTTAGGGACAAATTTATAGGCCATTGCAAAAAAGATCAATAATGCAATTGCATCCAATGGATCCAAAAAGAGAATTAGCTGAAAGTTTACCACTTTGTTTAGGAAATGATGATTATCTCAAGGATTTTCAACCTCTTTCAAGTAAGATGAAATAAAATTTAACAAATATTTTTATAAAAATTTCCATCAACGTTTTCGAAATTATAAATAATTTTTAGAAGCGCAATAATTAATTAATTAAACAAAATATAATTATTATTAATTAGAAATATCAATTTTAAAAAATTTTTATTAGAAATTTTTAAATAACAAAATTTTTAGCTACCAAATTTTTATATTAACAGGCCTCGGATATTATATCTTAAATATTTATATTTTTTTTTTTGCCTTGTCTATTTCAGAAGATGGAACTTCAAAAACAAAAGATCCTCCAAAAACAGAAGAGACTGCAAAAATAAAAGTCGTACACTTTGGCCTCTTGTGAAAAATGAAAAATCGCACATAAAAAAAAAAAAAATAGATTAAGTAGAGAATCTAATTTTCATTTAAATAAAACAATAGATTATAGTGTTTTATATTTTTGTACAAACTTAGAAGGAAGATATATAGAAATAATTATAAATATATTAATAAAATAAAATAAAAACAATTTTTTTTCCATATAAATGAAATTTTTATTTATTCTTTATTTTTAATAGTTTCAGCGAGTTCATCTTTTAATTTAATTAAATCCGTATCGGGAATAAAACGAGTTAATTCTTTATTTGGATCAAAATTATCCACAACAATATTAACTCCCATTGGTAATGTTGCTTCTAAAATTCTCATTAAAATTGGTAATGTTATTGATGTTATATTTGACATTTGAATATTTCTTTCGTAAATATTAAATTTGTATTCATCATCTAAAAAAGTGCTTCTTGGTTTATATTTTTTAATATGATATTCTCTTGGCGGCAAAGCCCAACTGAAAGAATGGTATACAAAACAAAATAATTATTTATTTTAAATTATTATTATTATTATTTAAAAAATAAAATTTTATTCAAAAATCTGTAAAATTTGATAAAGTTTTGCCTGAAATTTTTTTTTTTTTTTTGACTATCACAAATTAAAAACTATGAAAAATATTTTAATTCGAATAAATTACTTAAATCAGGCAGATTTTCTTGTACATCGAATTTCAAATTAATACAAAATTAAAATTTAACGGAATTTATGTCAAGCAAAAATTGCATAAAGAACAATATTTTTTTTAACTGAATTATTATTTTAGTAAATTTCGATTTATTAAAATATTTACTTAACAAAAATTTTCATTAAATAAATTTACAATTAATAGAATTTCTATTTAAAAAAAATTCTTAATTAAACAAAATTTTTGATAAAAGAAAATTTTAATTCCAACTAATTTTTATTTAACAGAATTCTCATTTAAGAAAAATTCTACTTTGTTTCTTTTTGTCAATTTTTCCAGACATAAATTTCGTTAAATTGAAATTATATTAATTTAAAATTTTTTAAAAAAAGTATTAAAAAAATTATAAGAGTTCTGCTAAATAGAAATTAAATCGAGTTTTAGTTAAATGTAAATTGAAAATTTTGCAATAATATAAATTTCATTTTATACAATTTTCAAAAATAGAAATTCGATAATTTAATATTCGACGGCGTGTAAAATTTTTTATAAATTAAATGTGAGTTATTAGCATTAAAATAATAAATTATTCGTATTAATGGAATAATTTACTTTAATTGAAGTTGAAATCGCTAAAATAAAATTCAAATAATTTTTGATTTATATTAAAAAAAAAACCAAATATTTCACTGCAAAAAAATTAATTAATTGTTATACAAATTTAAAAAAATCATTTATTAGATTCAATAAATAGTAATAAATAATAATTAACCTTTCCTCAACTTCTATATCCAATTGATCAACAAATTTGTGAACGAATCCTTGATATTTTTCCACAACAGGAAAGTCGTATCCTCTAATTTGTAAATTTATTGTCGGATAAATTGGAATTTTAGGTTTTAAAGCCTTAAAAAGAAAAAAAGAGGAAAACATTTTTTTATACTTCTCAAAATTTATAAAAAAAAATTAATTAAATTTTTATATAATTTTCTATAAAAAATAAATTTTTATATAATTTTGCTATAAAAAATAAATTTTTATATAATTTTATATAAAAAATAAATTTATTTATATATAATTATTATTTTTTTTTTTTTTTTATATAATTCAAAAAAAATTTTTTTTACCTTTAAATAATCAGGTTCATATAAACTGTAAAACCTTGATAAAATTGGTTTTAATTGTATTTGAGACAGACGATTTAACTGTAGGAGAAAATATTTAATTTAATATAAATTTATTCATACATAAAAAAAAATAATTTAGAAACAAAAAAAGAAACGCAAAGAAAAAATTATTTATACTTTTAAATAAAATAATTTATAAAATTTATTTTATAAAGTTAAATTACTATTTAGAAAATCAAATATTTATAGGACTCTATTATTATTTTAAATTATAAATTATTACGAAAGAAAAATTATTAATCATAATTTAATAAATAAATAAATAATTAATTTTAAATTTGATATAAATTTGCTCAACGGAATAATAAAAAAAAAAAAAAAAAAAAAAAAAAAACAGAAACTAAATCCTCAATTAAATTTATAAGATAAAAATATTAAAATTTTTATTTATGCAATTTTTAAGGTTATATTGACAATAAAAGTTACAATAAAAATACTTTTTTCTTATGATTTAATAAAATACTTACGTTTTTTGATGCAGCGAATGCCATTCTTAGGTTTCTTTACACTTTATAACAATTTATTTTATAAATATATTATTTATTTAATTACAAATAATTTCTAAATATTTATTGCATATTTTTTTTTAAATTCCTCTATTGTTGTTTTTCTACAATATAATAAGTAATTGAACGTAACTTCCACGTAACTTTGATAATAATCGCAGGGTTGTGTAGTTGCGCGCATATAATTTAACGTAAATTTCTCTTTAACATTAAATAGAAAATAAATTAAATAATAATAATAACAATAATAATAATAAATGTCATAATAATAGCAATAATAATAATAATAATAATAATAATAATAAATAAGTAAATAAAAAAATAAAATAAAAAATGCATTTTTTAATTGCAAATTGCATTGTGAATTAGGCTTTAATAAAAAGAAATACCACACAAGTCAAATGAGCAGTTAAACATTATAAATATTATATTCAATTTATTGCTTTTTTTTTAATCAAGTAGGGTTTCATTTTTTTCTATATTTACAATTTGAAAACTAAATTATAATAAACTTTTTTCTTTTGTAAAAATCGTAAAAAATATTCCAAAATTTTAAATTTGTTTCGCATAATTTGAAATTCCCGCGCAAATTCAAAATAAAATAAAATCTAAATAAAATAAGAATAAACTATTTATTAAATAATTAAAAAATAATTTTTTGTCAAAAACAACGAATTTTCAAAATGATTTTCTTTTTTTTTCCATTATATTTCACCAATATTTTACTAATAAAAAAATATTATATATACATATGTTTTTTAAAATGAATATTATTAGTTTTCCGTTAATATTAATAACTCGTATCAAAATGAAATCGCCTTGAATTTTTTTTTTTTTTTTTTACTTTTTACAGAAATAACAATTAAATTAATAATTTAGCGAAAAAAAAAATTTTTTTTCCTAAATTCGAAAATGTATATATTGAAATTTCAGAATTGATTTCCGCCATATTTTATTCGCATAGAACTCGACGTCGCAGTTATATCAAACCACCGCAACTTGTTCTCCTGAAAAAGTGTTATTGTTTCGCGAATTATTTTCATTTAATTAAATTTTTCAGTGGAAAAAAGAAATATAACAATAAAAGCCATTGTTAATCGTGAAGAAATTGTAAAAAATATAGTCATGAATTGAAGTGGTAGAAAGACAAATTACATTGAAAAATAAAAGGGGCTTCGTTCATCGTTCACCTTTCTTGATTATGCGCCATCTGGATATATTCTGAAACGCCATGGGTCACCAAAAAAAAAACCAAAAAATCATGAGAAAAATGGTAAACATTAACAAATTTATCAAAAAACATTTTAAATATTAAATCACGTTTTTTTTTAGAAAGATCTATTGTTTTATTTATTTTTTTTTTTAATATTTAATATAGTTTTTTGTTAAATAAATGATTCAATTAATAATCTCTAGTGACGAGTAACATAACCTCAAAAATTGTGTTTCTCGAGCAAAAAAGAAATGAAATGAATCAATTTGAAAATGTAAATTTATTGATAAAAAAATAAAAAAAAAATTTTAAACATCTATTGGAATTTTGTTTAAAGTAGGTGAAAAAAAAATTGTGTCTTGAGAAATAAAGAAGGAAATTTTGACATAATCATCGACGAACGACAAGATTCTCATCTTCAGAAAGTGACAAATTATTTCGTATTTAAATGAGGATGCTTCTTTACTTGAACGAGAATTATCATTGCATTGTTTAAATTTTTGATTTTTATCCAGTAATACTTTTATTTGAAAAAGTCAAAAAATATTTTGAGGAAACAAAATCAACATCAATATCCGGTAAGTTTTTATTTATTTCACTTTTTTGAATATTAAATATAGTATTTTTTGTCCGAATTTCTTTTTTTTTTTTATTTCCCTTAGCGTTTTTTTTTTTTCATTCACTTTTTAAAATAATACTTTTATTTTATATTCATTTTTGTTTTTCTTTAACAAACTAGAAATTTATTTTCATTTGTTCATTTCTCGCTCTTTTTTCAACAATTAAAATACGAAAACTGACTCTTTTTTTTTACGTATTTTATATTAGAAATCTGGCGGGAATTACAAAAAAAAAAAAAAAAAAATTAAACATATTTTTACTGATTTAATATTTTATTTTATATAAATTAACAATTAAATTCAAATAAAATTAAAAATTTTTTTTTATTAACAAATTTAAAATTGTAAAATAATTAAAATCAAATTCAAAAATTATATTTATTTTCTTTAATAATGGAAAAAAGTCGATTTAAATAAAAAAAAAAAAGTAAAACAAATTTTAAATGCAGAATTACCTGAATTTTTATTAAATAAAAAATAAACAAAAAAAGAAATTTTTATTTTACTTAAATTAAATCTAAATAAATTAATTAAAATTAAATTAAATTATCTATTATAAAATTAAAAAATTTTATTTAAATTTAAATAAATAAAAAATTTATTTTGAAATAAATTATTAATAATAATAAGAAAAAAAAATTTACCTATTATCGATCATAATTCCATAATTTTCCAAAATTTCGATAGAAATAGCAAAAAAATGAATTTTCATTAAAAATTTAAAATGATAATTGGTTAAAAAATTTTTTTTTTTTTTTTATTTTTTAGAAAAAGTCTAAAAAAAATTCGGCAGAAATTCAATTATTTTCCAAATATTCAATTTAAATCTATTAAATATTGAATTTTTAAAAAATTTTAGTTCCATTTAGATAAAAATTCTATTTTTAAAAATTTTATTGTGAATTTTTTTTTTTTTTTTTTTTTAAAAAAAAGAAGGGAGAAAAATTAAATTATTTTCAATATTAGTTCAAATTTGTCATAAATTTGAAGTATTTCTTTTTTTAAAAAAAATGTCATTATCGGTTTATAAATTCCATTATTTTCAAAAAAATTGAATAAATTCAAAAAAATTTAATTATTTTTCAAAAGTTTAATTACAAAATTGGTCAAAAAACGTTTCTATTTTTTTTTTTTTTTTTTCTAACAAAATGTATCAAATGATGATAAGAAAAAAATTCAATTCTTTTACAAAATTTCAATAAAAATGCCAAAAAATTCGAATTATTTGAAAAAAATTTCAATGAAAATCCCAAAACTTCAAATATTTTTCAAAATTTCAACTCAAAATCAATTAAAATTCAATTATTTTCAAAATTTCAATGAAAATCCCAAAAATTCAAATATTTTTCAAAATTTTAACTCAAAATCAACTAAAATTCAATTATTTTCCCAAATTTGAATTTTAATTTAATTATTTTCATAAAATTCAATTCAAAATTAATTAAAATTCAATTATTTTCAAAAATTTTAATTCAAAATTAATTGAAATTCAATTATTTTTCAATTATTTTCAAAATTTTCAATTTCAGTTTAATTATTTTCATAAATTTCAATTCAAAATCAACTAAAATTCAATTATTTTCCAAAAATTTCAATTGAAAATCAACTAAAATTCAATTATTTTCCCAAATTTGAATTTGAATTTAATTTTTTTCATAAATTTCAATTCAAAATTAATTAAAATTAAATTATTTTCAAAAATTTTAATTCAAAATTAATTAAAATTCAATTATTTTTCAATTATTTTTAAAATTTTCAATTTCATTTTAATTATTTTCATAAATTTCAATTCAAAATCAATTATTTTCAAAATTTTCAATTCCAAATCAACTAAAATTCAATTATTTTCCAAAATTTCAATTCAAAATAAACTATAATTTAACTAAAATTCAATTATTCTTCAAAATCTCAATTTAAAATTTTAAAAATTCATTTATTTTCCAAAATTTCAATTCAAAATCAACTAAAATTCAATTATTTTTCAAAATTTTAATCGAAATTTAATTATTTTCATAAATTTCAATTCAAAATCAATTAAATTTCAATTATTATAAATTATTTCAATTTAAAATTAATTGAAATTCAATTATTTTCAAAAATTTCAATTTCAGTTTAATTATTTTCATAAATTTCAATTCAAAATCAACTAAAATTGAATTAAATTTCTAATATTTCAATTGAAATTTAATTATTTTTAAAATTTTCTATTCAAAATTAAACAAAATTTAATTATTGTCAAATAACTCAATTCCAAATTTTGTTAAAATTAATTTATTTTTAAAACTTTCAATTCAAAATTAACTAATGTTCAATTATTTTCCAAAAATTCAATTCAAAATTAACCAAAATTCAATTATTTTCTTTAATTTCAAAATTTAAATCCAAAATCAACTAAAATTCAATTATTTTCAAAATTTTCAATCCAAAATTCATTAAAATTCAATTATTTTTAAAAATTTTCATTCGATTTAAACAAAAATTTAATTTTCTAAAATTTTAATGCGAATTTGGAAAAAAAAACTGACAAAAATTAAATTATTTTCAATGATTTTCATTCAAATCAACCATAAATTCAATTATTTTATTAAAAAAAAAAATGTTTATTTATCAATTAAAATTTTAATTATTTTGCAAAATTTTTAATAAAAATTACAAAAATTCAATAAAAATTATAAAAATTCAAATTATTTTTAAAATATTTAAATTATAATTTGTCGAGAACAATTAAAAAAAAAAATAAATAAATAAAATCCCAACAAAAATTAAATTATTTTCCAAATTCACAATAAAAATCCCAAAAATTCAATTATTTTAAAAAAAGATTGTCTAAAATTATTTTTAAAAAAATTATTATTATTATTATTATTATTAATTATTATTATTATTATTATTAAAATTATTTCCATTTTATAAAATTGAATTCTTGTTCGAAATTTTGAAACAAAAATTTTTAATTATTTATTTATTTATTTATTTATTATATAAACATAAATTTATTAATAATTGATTTTAAAAAATCCAATTATTTTCAAATTTAAATAAGATAAAAATTAATTATTGTGCATGTTAATTATTTTTTTATAATATTTAATATTAACAAAATAAAAACTTTTTTTCAGAGCGCGCAAATTCTGCGAAATCGAAGAAAAAAAAAAGAAGCAAAAATTCAATGAAGAAACAAAAGAAAACACAAATATAACAGTAATATAATACAAAAAAAAGAAAAAAAAATGAATTACAATTTACGTACAAAAACAAAAATTGTTTCACCAAAAGTGTCTCAATTTCATAATTATGCATCTCAAAATAATTCATCACTATCATCATCATCATCATTATCGTTCCAAGCGGAAAAACCATTTACACCCGTGACAAATATAAATGATTTAAAAAAAATAACACCACGCGTTAAAGTTTTAAATCAAGAAACACCAACACTTCAAACAATTAAAAAAATTAATAATCCCTCAACATCATCATCACCAGAAAAAATAATCGATGATATTGAATTAATTATTAATGAGGAGACAAAAAATAAAATGCGTAAATATTGTCGTACTTGCGCTGAAATGAAATATCCACTTGTTGATATTTTCAGTGAAAAGGGAATACAAATGCGTTTAAATTTACAAATTAAACATTTACAACAAATTCATGAAATTGATTCATTATCAACGCAAATGTGTATGGATTGTATTTGTGATTTAAAAATGAGTTTTACATTTTTTGTTCAAATTAAAAAAGCTGAAATTAAATTACGTTCAATACGCGCAAAATTAATAAATGAAAATAATGAAAATAATAATGACAATGATGATAATGATAATAATGATTTAGATAAATTGCCATTAATACAACATGATATTGCAAATTTAAAAAATAATGGTCCACGTATTGCCGCTGTTTTTTCAACAAATCCAATTGATTGGGAAGCGGAAAAATTGAAATTAGAACAAAAAACATTGAAACAAGGTTCAATGATATCGAGTTTTGGTTCTTTAATACCAAAAGGAGAATTGAAAAAAATTTCAAAAACAAATTCAAAAAATGATGATAAAAATTTAGAAGAAAATTTAATAAATGATTTTGAAGAAAATTTCAATGATAATTTAAAACAAAATTTAACAAAAGAATTAAAAAAAAAAGATATACAAATAAAATTAGAATCAAAATTGAATTTAAATGAAAGTGAAAATGAATCAATAGAGGAATTTGATCCCGATGATCCTTTATTTAATCCCGAGAGTGAAGATGAATTCGAAGAGAAGGAGGATGAGGAGGAGGAGGGAAAAAAAGTTTTAAATCCATTTAAAAAAACACTTGAGAAATTGGATGAAAAAAAATTGTCCGAAAAGAGAAAAATCGAAGATAACGAAATAGAATCAACAAAAAGAAAAGTAGAAAAAAAAATTGAGGGAAAAATTCGTAAATTTAATGTTAACGATGCATTAAGTATAAAACAAGAGGAAAATGGTGTAATGTATGTTACGGTACGTGGTGAAAAACCAAATGAATTACTTCTTGTTAAAGTGAAAAAAATGGATAAACCACAGGAAAAAAAATTAAAAAAAGAAAATTTATTTATCGATCGTAATTTAGAGGAGAAAGGACAAATAATTGAACATCAAATTGAACAATATAAAAAGAAACGTGAAAAATTATTAGGACCAAAAGCAATTGAAATAATACCCGAGTGTCGTATTAAAAAAGAAATCGAAGAAGAAGAAAAAGAAAAAGAAGAAGAAGAAGCAGCATCGATAAAATTAAAAGAAATTACGGAAATAAAAAAGGAAAAAAGTCCCAAACCCCAAAGATGTAAGGATAAAAAAATGCCCTGCGATATTAAAATTTATAAAAATGCCGAGGATTATAATAATCGTATTGAAATTGTGAAAACAAAATTAGAAGATAAACAGAGAAAAGATTATGAGGAAATAAATAATGAATCATCATTAGAACGTTTAAAAAGAATATTAAAATTATCAAATGATGAGAATCTCAATGAATTTCATGATAATTTACAACAACGTAAAATAATAATAACAAAATTAACTGATGATGATATAATAAATTTTTATCAAGAGCGTTTAGCATTAAAATTAATTGAATCAGAAATTGATCCATTAGAATTAAATTATGTGCCTTTATTAACATATGATTGTGATTTTTGTTTTAATGAATTTCCAACAAAAGATGTATGCGATGAACATATGAAATTTCATGATACAAAAATTAAATATTTATGCGATGATTGTAATGAGGAATTTACAATATTAAGATATAAAAAAAATCACAATGTCATTTGTATAAGAAAATTAATTTGTAAATATTGTGATCTTATGTTAGATTCAAAGGGTAAAAAAAAGCAACATGAACAAAAACATTGTGATAGTTTATTTGGCCAATTATGTGAATATTGTGGTGAAAAATTTAAACATCAAGGTACATTGGATCAACATGTTAAATCAAAACATATGATATTGGAAAAAATATTTCAATGTCCAAAATGTCCGAAAAAATTTACATTTAAAACAAAATTGAGTTTTCATTTAAAAAGTGTACATACAGCAATGAGAGCATATTTATGTGAGGATTGTGGGGCGGATTTTAAAAATCCAGCAAGTTTAAGACATCATCGTATTAGAAAACATTTGCCAACTGGTAATAAACGTGAATGTCCCGTTTGTCATAAAATGATTCCATTTTATAGTTTGAGTAAACATATGCATACGCATAAGGCGTATACAATAAAATGTCCGCATTGTGATAAAATGTTTAAAAATTCATCGACATTGAAGCAACATGTGAGAATTCATGAGGATCAGAGGCAATTTAGGTGAGTTTTTTTTTTTTTTTTTTATAATTATTATTAAATAATATTCAATTATCTTAAATTATATTTGAAATTAAAATTTTTATGAAATTTGAAAATTTATAATTTAAAAAAAAAAAAAAATTTGCAAATAAAATTAACAAAAATTTTTTTAATTCAAAATCATCTTGAAATTTAATTATTTGCAAAAAAAATTTCAATTATTTTTTTTTTTTTTTTTTTCAATGATTTTTATAATATTCTTCGAAATTTCTCAATTATTTGAAAGGAAATTTTTCAATGAAAAACTTTTGGAATTCAATTTCTTTTTTTTATGTGATTTCTAAAAAAATTCTTCATCAACATAAATCAATAGAAATTTCTCACTTATTATAATATTATTGTTTGAAATTTAATAAAAAAAAAATTTTTTAAATTCGTTTACTTCTAAAAATTTTAATTCAGAATCAATAAAAAATTTAATTATTTTCCAAAATTTCAATTGCAAATTTAAAATTCAAATTCAATTACTATATTTCAAAATCAACTAAAATTAAATTAAATTTCCAATATTTCAATTGAAATAAAAATTTTTTTTTTTAAATTTTTCAATTCAAAATCAAAAAAAAATTAAATTTTTTTCAAATTTCATAAAAATAAATTTATTTTCAAAAATTTCAATTCAAAATTGATTAAAATTCAATTATTTTCCAAAAATTCAATTAAAAAAAAAAAAAAAAAAAAAAAAAAACTAAAATTCAATTATTTTTCGAAAATTTCACTTGAAATTCAATTATTTTCAAAATAAACTGTAATTCAATTATTATCAAAAATTTCAATTAATAAAACAATTAAAATTCAATTATTTTCCAAAATTTTAATTACAAATCAATTATTTTTAATTAAAAATCCAACTAAAATTCAATTATTTTCCAAAATTTACATTCAAGAATATAAATAAAATTTAAATTATTTTCAAAAATTTCAATATGAAACCTTTCTAAAATTTAATTATTTCTAAAATTTCCCATCAAAATTTTTTTTTTTGAAATTTTATAATTTCAATTGTAACTCTCCTGAAATTCAATTACATTTTAAAAGATGTTGTCTAAAATTATTTGATAAATTATTTTTAATTTTGTAAAATTAAATTATTTTCTAAAAATTAATAATAATATCTTTTGAAATTTAATTATTACTAAAAATTTCAATTTGAAAACTTTAAAAATTTCATTATTTCTTAAATGTTTCTTGAAAATTTTTGATATTTAATAATTTAAATTATATAACTCTTCTGAAAGTCAATTATATTCAAAATTTTCAATCCAAAATTTCAACTAAAATTAAATTAATTCCTAAAATTTCAATTAAAATTCAATTATTTTCAAAATTTTCAATTTAAAATCAACTAAAATTAGATTATTTTCCAAAATTTCAATTGAAATTCAGTTATTTTCAAATTTTTTAATACAAAATTAACTAAAATTCAATTATTCTTCAAAATCTCAATTCAAAATTTAAAACCATTCATTTATTTTCCAAAATTTCAATTTTAAATAAACTAAAATTGTATTAAATTTCCATTATTTAAATTGAAATTCAATTATTTTTAAAATTTTCAATTCAATTCAAACAAAATTGAATTATTTTCAAAAAAACTCAATTCCAAATTTATTAACATTTATTTATTTTCAAAAATTTCAATTCAAAATTGACAAAAATTCAATTTAAAATTAACCAAAATTCAATTATTTTCATTAATTTCAAATGGACTTCAATTATTTTCAAAATTTTAATTCAAAATTAATTTAAATTCAATTATTTTCCAAAATTTCAATTATTTTTAAAAATTTAAGTTCAATTTAGTTAAAAATTACAATTGTCAAAAAGTTTAATATGAATTTGTAAAAAAACGGACAACAATTTTAATTATTTTCAAAGTTTTTGGTTTAAATTTTTCATAAATTTTATTATTTCTAAAAAATATTTTATTTTCTTTTAAAAATACCATTATTTTCTGTAAAATTCAATAAAAGCTCAAAGATTCAATTTTTTTTGAATATTTTAATTATAATTTGTGAAAAAATTATTTTTTTTAAATAATTTCAATAAAAAAATAGGCAAAAATTGAATTATTTTCTATTTAAATATCTATTAACAATTCAATTATTTTAAATTGAAAATACCTACTTTGTAAAATTAATCCAAAAATAACAATAATAAAAATTACTGTCTTGAAACAGAAAAAAATACGTTAATTCGATATAATTAATTGAAAAAGAAATTGAAGTTAAAGTTTTTAGAAATAATTGAGTTTAGAATGAGGAATAATTAAAATTTTTTGAACTTATTGAATTTTACGAAATTTTTAATTAAAATTTTCCTAAATTTTTTTCATTGATTTTAATTTATTAAATTAATTGAACTTCAATTGATTTTTAATTTATAATTTTTGATGATTTCATTAAAAAATTTATTAGAAATTGCGGACAAAAATACAATAAATTGAAAACTTTTTAAGCGAAAAACGGTTTATGATAGTTGAATTTGCCGAAGAATTGCCGAATAAATTAAAAATAATTGAATTTCAGGAGAGTTATAATTGGAATTATTAAATTTCAAAAAATTTGAGATGGGAAATTTTAGAAATAATTAAATTTTAAAAGATTTTGAATTGAAAATTTTGAAAATAATTGAATTTTAGTTGATTTTTGATTTAAAATTTTTTTAATTATTGAATTTCAAATGACATTTTGGAAAATAATTGAATTTTTGCCTATTTTTTATCCAAATTTTTTTGAAAAATAATTTTTTCACAAATTATAATTAAAATATTGAAAAAAAATTGAATCTTTGAGCTTTTATTGAATTTTTCAGAAAATAATGGTATTTTTAAAAGAAAATAAAATATATTTTTTAGAAATAATAAAAGTTATGAAAAATTTGAACCAAAATCTTTGAAAATAATTAAAATTTTTGTCCGTTTTTTACAAATTCGTATTAAAATTATTGAAAATTATAATTTTCACTGAATTGTACTTAAATTTTTAAATATAATTGAATTTTAATTTTAATTTTGAAAAATAATTGAATTTCAAATTTAAAGTTTTGAAAATAGTTGATTTTCAGTTTATTATGAATTGAAAATTTTTAAAACAATTGAATTTTAGTTGATTTAGGATTGAAAATTAATGAAAATAATTGAATTTCAGTTGATTTTGGATTGATATTTTGGAAAATAATTGAATTTTTATTGAAATTTTGGATAATAATTTGTAGTTGATTTTGGATTGTGAATTTTGATAAATAATTTTAAAATTGAAATTTTTGAGAATAATTGAATTTTAATTAATTTTGAATTGAAATTTTGTCCATTTTTTACAAATTCGTATTAAAATTTTTTGAAAATTGTATTTTTTACTGAATTGAACTTAAATTTTGAAAAATAATTGAAATTTTTGAAAATAATTGAATTTCAATTTAAATTTTGATTAATAATTGAATTTTAATTAATATTGAATTGAAATTTTCGAAAATAATTGAATTTTAGTTGATTTTGAATTGAATGCTTGGAAAATAATTGAATTTTAAAAGATTTTGAATTGAAAATTTTGAAAATAATTGAAATTTTGGAAAATAAATGAATTTTAAATAATTGAAGAATTTATTAGAAATTGCAGACAAAAATTAAACTTAAAAATTTTTTTTAAATTGCAAAATGCTTTCAAATAATTGAATTTCCGAAAAATATTATAAAAAATAGTTAAAAATAATTGAATTTCAGAAAGAGTTATAATTAAAAATTATTAAATTTCAACAAATTTTAGATGAAAAATTTTAGAAATAATGAAATTTTAGTAGCTTTTAAATTGAAATTTTTGAGAATAATTGAATTTTAGTTGATTTTTGTTTTAAAATTTGTAATTTTCACTGACTTGTACTTAAATTTTTAAAAATAATTGAATTTTAATTTAAATTTGGAAATATAATTGAATTTCAAATTTAAAGTTTTGAAAATAGTTGATTTTCAGTTTATTTTGAATTGAAAAGTTTGTAAAAGAATTGAATTTTAGTTGATTTAGGATTGAAAATTTTGAAAATAATTGAATTTCAATTGATTTTGAATAGAAAATTTTTCTTAAATAATTGAATTTCAATTGAAATTTGTAAAATAATTGAATTGTACTTTATTGTGAATTGAAATTTTGGAAATTAATTGAATTCTAGTGATTTAGAATTGAAACTTTTGTATATAATTGAATTTCAATTGACAGTGTATTGAAATTTCAATTCAAAATCAACCAAAAATTTAAAATACAATTATTTTCTTAAATTTCAAGTGGAATTAAATAATTTTCAAAAATTTCATTTTGAAATTCAAATTATTTTTGAAAATTTTAATTAAAATTCAATTATTTTTCAAAATTTCTTTTTAAAATTTACTTAAATTCAATTATTTTTCAAATTTTCAATTTAATATCAACTAAAATTTAATTATTTTCCAAAATTTCAATTTGAAATTCAATTATTTTCGATAATTTCAATTCAATATTAATTAAAATTCAATTATTAACTAAAATTGAAATTGAAATTAAAATTATTTTACAAAATTTCATTTATTTTTAAAAAATTTAAGTTCAATTCAGTTAAAAATACAATTTTCAAAAATTTTAATACGAATTTGTAAAAAAAAAAAAAAACGGACAAAAATTTTAATTATTTTCAATGATTTTGTGTTCAAATTTTTTATAAATTCTATTATTTCTAAAAAAATTTTTTATTATCTTACAAAAATATCATTAAACAATAAATTAAATTTTGGAGAATTTTGAATTTGAAAAATATTTTAAATAATTGAATTTTCGAAAATGTTGATTAAAATTAAAATATTCAACAATTTCAATTTTAGAAAAAAAAAAAAGAAAAATTACTATTGTTTGTATTTTAGAAGAGTTTGAGTTGAAATTTTCAGAAATAATAATAATTGAATTTAATAATAATTGAAACTTTAATTTTTGAATTGGTTGAAATTTTTTGTTTAAATTTTTAAACAATTGTAGTTTAGATAAATTTTTGAATTGAAAACTCTTTTAAAATCATATAATTTTTGAAATAAATTTAGTTTCTAATTTATTTGAAAATAATTTAATTTTGCAAACAATTGTAATTAATATATATATATATATATATATATATATATATATATATATATATATATTTGTTTTTCTTTAAATATATGTAATTCAATTTTAAAAAATAAAAAAAAAAAAAATAAAAATACTCAAATTTTCACATTTTTTCACAGATGTGACACATGCGGCGTTGGTTTTAATCGAAGAGATGGCCTTCGTCTTCACATGAAGGTCCATGAGAAAGCCGATAGTCGTGGATTAAAAGAATGTTCATGTCAAGTGTGTGGTGAAAAATTTCCCAATCATTCAATGTTAGTAATTCATCGTAATCGTATACATAAAGATGGACGTAATTTTACATGTCACATTTGTAATAGATCAATGATATCAACAAGATCATTGGAATGGCATTTGGCACATATTCATAATGAGCCATTACCTGGTATTGTTAAAGCCGAAATGATAATTGGCAATGATTCAAAACGTGTTTCATGCTTTCATTGTCATAAAACATTTAAAACAGAAATGATATTACGTACACATATTAAAAATTCTCATATGGAAAAAGAACCGGTTAAATGTCTTGATTGCGATGAGACATTTGTCAGTGAAGTTAGATTGAGACATCACATGATGGTGATACATAATCGATTAGAGGGTACATTGGCATGTCCACATTGTCCAAAAAGATTTGTCAATCAATTGAGATTAAAAACACATATGATTGCACATTCAGAGGAGCGTCCATTTCGTTGTGATATTTGTGGATTTAATCTTAAGACAAAAATACAATTAATTAAACATCATCAAAATAGACATAGTGACGAGAGACCGCTTCAATGTCGATATTGTCCATGGAGATGTAAACAGGTGAAAAAAAAAAAAAAAAAGAGAAATTTTTCTCGTATTTTCAAAATTTAATAGATATTTAAATTGAAAATATAATTGAAAATAATTAAATTTTTGTGATTTTTATATGCAAAAATTTTGAAAAATAATTAAATTTTTGCCTGACTTTTATTAAGACTTTTTTTTTTTTAAATTATTCATTGATTCAAATTCAATTGAAAATTATTATTAAAAATTATTTATAATTTTTTTTGAAAATTATTATTGAAAAAATAATTTTTATTTTATTTTTTTTGTCTTCTAGGTAAGCGCTCTTGTTTGTCACGAAAGAACCCACACAAATGAACGTCCATATTCGTGTAGTGTTTGTAGACAACGTTTCAAATATCTTGGCGATAAAAATAAACATGAGAGACGACACGAGAGTCTCGGTGGTTCTGGTTTCAAGAGAATTGTCACCAATAGAGGACCAAAGAAAATTAAAATTCAAAAAAATGATGACGACACATCCAATTCGGATCAGGAACAAGAAATGTTAGAGGAACAAATGGAAGAGCAAATGGAAGAGCAAATGGAGGATGACGAAATGGAGACAATTGACATGGAGGCAAGATTGGTAGACGCCGCTTATGAGGCCGAGGAAAATGTAAAAATTGAGGGCAATGTCATTGGTAACGAAGATGATGAGTACGTTGATTATCAGCAGGTAAAAAAAACAAAATTACCAATTATTATTATTTTTTTTTTTTTTTTTAGCAAAAGAAAAAATTATTTTGAAAAATTTAACGGTTTTTTTCTTCAAAAAAATACGACATTTTTTCGATTTATTTTTAATAAAATGCGATTTTTTCCATTTTTTTTTTTTTAAATGTTTAAACAAAAAATTATTATATCATTTAATTAAAATTTTATTTGATTCAAATTTTTTTAAATGACAGAAATTCATGGATATTAATAAATAAAATAATAATAATTATATAATAATAAAATGCTTGGTGCTTTGCCAAAGTTGTATAATTGTGTTTCCAAATTTTGGAATAAGTTTCTTTAAAATTCCAAATTCGAAAATTCAATTCACGAAGTTGAAGTACACAACGTTTACCAACGAAATTTTTTTTAAACTTGTATATTCATTCAAAAATTGTATACAAATAGAAAAAATTTATGATGAGAAAAAAGATGCACCAGGAAATATCGTACAAGATAGTAATTTGAAAAAAATTTATTTTTCAAAATTAATTTTTAAGGTACCAGGGGCCAACGAATGCCTATTAAATATTAATTATAAAAACACAGGCCTCGAATCAACTTAAAGACACAAAAAAGTCGTTTTAGTCGATTTATATTCCAAAAAAAAGTGGATTTGTTTTTTATTTTAACAAAAATATTTTACAGATTTTTAAATAAAAAAATTTTTTTTTAATAATAATCCTTTTCGAAGGGTTAAAGTTGAAATTTTTAGAAATAATTAAATTTCAAAAGATATATTGTTAATTTTCAAACAATTATTAAATTTTACAGAACTAAAAATAATTTATCAAACAATTTTTGGAAAACATTTTTTAAATTTAATTGAATTTTCAAAGATTTAAAATTGAGATTTTTGAAATTAATTGAAACTTTAAGTGATTTTTAATTAAAATTTTACATGATTTTACTAAAAATTTATTAGAAAATGCGGACAAAATACAATAATTGGAAAATGATTTTTAATTGAAAAATGGTTTCAGATAGTTGAATTTTCAAAGAATATTATTAAAATAGTTAAAAATAATTCAATTTCCTTAGAGTTATTTATAATTGAAATTATTAAATTTTATAAAAAAAAATTTTCGATAAAAAATTTTAGAAATAATTAAATTTTTGATGCTTTTAAATTCAAATTATTGAATATTCAATTAATTTTGTAATCAAATTTTTGAGAATAATTAAATTTTATTTGATTTTAAATTGAAAATTTTTGGGAAATAATTGAATTTTAATTAAAATTTTCGATAATAATTTAATTGAAGTTCATTTTTGATTGAAAATTTGGATAATTAATTTTGAATAGAAATTTTAGAAAATAATTGAATTTCAATTAAAATTTTTAAAAATAATTGAATTTTTATTGATTTTGAATTGAAATTTTAGAAAATAATTGAATTTTGGTTAATTTTCAATTGAAATTTTTGGAAAATAATTGAATTTTGGTTAATTTTCAATTGAAATTTTGGAAAATAATTGAATTTTAGTTGATTTCAAATTGAAATTTTTTTAAAAAATTGAATTTTAATTGAAATTTTAGAAAATAATTGAATTTTAGTTGATTTTGGAAAATAATTGATTTTGAATTGAAAATTTTGGAAAATAATTGAATTTTAATAAAAATTTTGGATAATAATTTAATTTAAATTCATTTTTGATTGAAAATTTGGAAAATTAATTTTGAATAGAAATTTAAAAAAAAATTGAATTTCAATTAAAGTTTTTCAAAAAAATTGAATTTTAATTGATTTTGAATTGAAAATTTGAAAAAAATTGAATTTTAGTAAATTTTAAATAGAAATTTTGAAAAATAATTGAATTTTAATTAAAATTTTGAAAAATAATTGAATTTCAAATTTAAATTTTTTGAAAATTATTAAATTCCACTTGAAATTTAAGAAAATCAATGTATTTTAAATTATTTTGAATTGAATGCTTGGAAAATAATTGAATTTTTGTTGATTTTGAATTAAAATTTCAATACACTGTCAATTGAAATTCAATTATATACAAAAGTTTCACTTCTAAATTACTAGAAAGTTTCACTTCTAAATTACTAGAATTCAATTATTTTCCAAAGTTTCAATTTAATATTAATTGAAATTCAATTATTTTCCAAAATGTCAATAGAAATTCAATTATTTTCAAAATTTTCAATTCAAAATCAACTAAAATTCAATTATTTTCCAAAATTTAAATTAAAATTCAATTATATTTAAAAATTTAAGTACAATTCAGTGAAAATTATAATTTTCAAAAATTTAAATATGTATTTGTAAAAAATGGACAAAATTTTTAATTATTTTCAAAGATTTGGGTTCAAATTTTTTATAAATTTTATTATTTCTAAAAAATATTTTATTTTCTTTTAAAAATACCATTATTTTCGGAAAAATTCAATAAAAGCTCAAAGATTCAATTATTTTTCAATGTTTTAATTATAATTTGTGAAAAAATTATTTTTTAAAAAAATTTCAATAAAAAATAGGCAAAAATTCAATTATTTTCCAAAATGTGACTTGAAATTCAATAATCAAAAAAATTTTAAATCAAAAATCAACTAAAATTCAATTATTTTCAAAAATTTCAATTTAAAAGCTTTTAAAATTTAATTATTTCTAAAAATTTCCCATCTCAAATTTTTTGAAATTTAATAATTCCAATTATAACTCTCCTGAAATTCAATTATTTTTATTTTATTCTTCGGCAAATTCAACTATCATAAAACCGTTTTTCGCTTAAAAAGTTTTCAATTTATTGTATTTTTGTCCGCAATTTCTAATAAATTTTTTAATGAAATCATCAAAAATTATAAATTAAAAATCATTTGAAGTTCAATTAATTTAAAAAATCAAAATCACTGAAAAAAATGTAGGAATATTTTTAATTAAAAATTTGGTAAATAATTGAATTTTAAAAGATTTTGAATTGAAAATTTTGAAAATAATTGAATTTCAATTAAAATTTTGGAAAATAAATAAATTTTCGTTAATTTTGGATTGAAAATTTTAAAAATTATTTGAATTTCAATTTAAATTTGGAAAATAATTGAATTGTAGTTTATTGTGAATTGAAAATTTTGATAATAATTGAATTTTAATTGAAAGTTTGAAAAATAATTGAATTTTAATTGAAATTTTGGATAATAATTTAATTGAAATTCATTTTTCATTGAAAATTTAAATAATTAATTTTGAATAGAAAATTTTAGAAAATAATTGAATTTTATTTCATTTTAAATTGAAAACTTGGTAAATAATTAAATTTTAAATTTAAAAATTTTTGATAATTATTAGATTTTTAATTTGATTTTGAATTAAAATTTCGGATAATAATTGAATTTTAGTTTATTTTGAATTGAAATTTTTCAAAAAATAATTAAATTTTATTATGATATTTTTTTTGTTTTAAATTATAAACAATTGTTAAATTTTATAAAAAATTTTAATTGAAAAATAATTTTGATAGAATTTGAATTTGTGATGTATTTCATTAAAATTAATTAAAAATAATTAATTTAGTGAAGAATCATTTTAGTTGAAAATTTGTTAAATAATTGAATTGAAGAAAATCTGAAGAAGATATAAATTTTATACTTAAAAAAAGGTATTTTATTTACATTTTTTTTTTTTTCAAATGTAAAAAAAAATATTTTATTAAAATAAGTCGATAAAAGTCGTATTTTTGAAAAAAGTCGTATAATCCGAGGCCTGTAAACATATAATTTTTATTACTATGTAATAATATTCTAATAAATTAAATTATTATTGATAATATTAATTTTTTTTATAACAAACAATTAAATACTCAATTTGACGCACTTGCGCGTGTTTATTTTTGCTAGTAATTTATTTAATTAATGCAAAAAAATTAATTGATGATAAAATTCGATTTAGAATTTTGTTTCTCAGGACTATGAAGAAAGTTCAAAAGACGGGAACGAAGTGATAATGAATATGGAAGACACGGCCGTTTACACGGAGGAAGTAACGGCGGAGAATATTGAAAGCATTGAAACAACACAAATAATAGAAGACGAAATGATGGCAAATCAATTGCTTCAATCGGGAACAGTTGTTCATATTGAACAACAAGATGAGGAGGGAAAAATTCAAATGATACCCGTTGTTCTTTCACTTCCTGATTTAACGGAAGAAAATTCTGAAGTTAATCTCGCTACCACTTCAATAATGTACAATAATGAAGAAGAATAATTTTAATTGTTTGTATTTTTTTTTTCAAATTTCTAAATTTTCTTTCTATCTTTTTCTATCTCTTTTCTAAAAAAAAAAAAACGAATTAATCAATTTTACGATTAACATTCCTCATTCGTAAAAGGAAAAATTTTCTTTTTTTTTTTACAAATTAAAAATCATATTTTGTAAAAAGATTTTTTAAAATAACTAAAAAAAAAAAAAAAAAAGAAAGGATTTTGTCGAAAAAGAAAGAATTTTTTTTTTTATTTATTTGGTTTAAATATATATATATATATATAATTATGTATTAGTGTTAAATTTTATTTAAGAAAATAAAGAAGAAGAAAAAAAATTCTTTAGACTGAATATGTTGAAGTTGTATGGGATTTTGTATTATCATTTATTTGCTAATATATTATATATTTAGTATAAGAAAAATTATTCTTATTTTATAGAAATAAATAGTATTTACTTAACAAACATTTTTTTTTTTTATTACATTTTTCACACAGTTTTTTTTTTTTTTTTTTTTTTTGTTGTAAATAAATATACTTTTTTTTAATAAATTTATTTATTTTATAAATTTATTTGTAAATAAATTTATTTTATAAAATATATTTATATAATTGTGATTTACACATTTATAATGCGTTTGCAAAAAAAAAAAGAAGTAAATAATAGAAATAATAATACTTTAAAAGTTACCATTAAATTATTTAATAATTGCCCCTAAATAAAAAAAAAAAAAAATTGCCTATGTGTCCGAGAAAAAAAAATCCATTACAAAAAACGCTCTTTTATAAAAATTGTTTTTTTTTTTTTCTATAAAAATATAAGTTATTAAATTTAAAAAAAAAAAAGAAGGTATTGCAAAATTATTTTGCGTAAATTAAAATATTAGTGGAAAAAAAAAAGAAATTCTTTTTACAATTATTTTCTGAAGGTGATAAAAAAAAAAAATTATAAAAACTCTTGCTAGGAATTTAAATTTTGATAATACTCGGCAAGTATTTTCCATGCTTTTGGCGCCATAAAACCATCGGGTGGCGTTTGATTATTTCTAGCGATATCTGAAATTTAAAAATTTATTTTCTTAATCACTGGAGATTTTTTTTTTCTTTTTTTCTACTATATAGATAAAAATTTATTATATTTAGAAATAAAAACAATTATCAAGAAATAGTTAAGAATTTAGAAATAAAAATTAATTATAAAACGAATTGAAAAAAAAAGAAAATAATTTAATATTATTTACTTCTCATTCGTGTTCCCGATATAAATTGAAAATCCTGTTGTCTTTCCTTCTCGAAAAATGTCATTTTTTTATTTCTCACATCGTATGCAGCAACGCGAAATGGAATAATTTCCAATGTTCTTAAACCCCTTGCCTTTGACAATACACGAGCTCCATGTGTTGGATCATATAAATTTCCATCGGGTGTTGAATTTGTATTTGGATGAGTTATTCCCGCTGGATCTCTTCCGACAATATAAAAATTTGCCCCTGCATTCATTCGCGCTTTCGCGTGCCATTGAACCTAAATATAATAAAAAAAATGATAATTATTATTTTTTATAATAAAAAAAAAACTAATTTATCTAAAAAAAAAAAATACTTCTTTTAATAAATAATTGAATATTTTCTCTGTAAATAATTTAAATATTTTCATTTATAAATAATTATTTTCTTTTTTTTACATTTTTCTTTCAATTTCAGAAAATTAATGATTTTGTTGAAGAAAAAGAAAAAAAAAAAAATTTTGAAACTCACCTCAATTGGTCCAGCGTACATCATGGGACTTGGAAAAATTGCCAATAAAGTTGAATTCCAATCGAGAATTCCATCATCGAGAACTGCTTTGTGCTGTGCGATTCGTACTTTTAATGGAACGTCATCGTCTTTTGTCCATCCGCCCAATGGATGAAGAAGCAAAACAGGATTTTTGTATCCCTTCTCCTCTAAAAGTCTCCTTCTCGTGTCCTTTTGGAAAAATGGAAAAAAATTATTTTTTTTACAATTTTCCATTATTTCGAAACAAATTTTCTATTTAATTTCTTTCTTTTTTTTGCGTTAAATTTAAAAAAAAAAAAAAAAAAAATTGAAAATTTAAAAATAATTGAATTTTAATTAAAATTTTCAAAAATAATTGAATTTCAAATTGAAATTTTTTGAAAATTATTTAATTCCACTTGAAATTTAAGAAAATAATAGTATTTTAAATTATTTTGAATTGAATGTTTGGAAAATAATTGAATTCTAGTTGATTTTAAATTGAAATTTCAATACACTGTCAATTAAAATTCAATTATATACAAAAGTTTCAATTCTAAATCACTAGAATTCAATTATTTTTCAAAAAATTTAATTCACAATACACTACAATTCAATTATTTTACAAATTTCAATTGAAATTCAATTATTTAAAAAATTTTCTATTCAAAATCAATTGAAATTCAATTATTTTCAAAATTTTCAATCCTAAATCAACTAAAATTCAATTCTTTTAAAAATGTTCAATTCAAAATAAACTGAAAATCGACTATTTTCAAAAATTTTAATTTGAAGTTTAATTATATTTCCAAATTTTAATTAAAATTCAATTATTTTTAAAAATTTAAGTACAATTCAGTGAAAATTACAAATTTTAAAACAAAAATCAACTAAAATTCAATTATTCTCAAAAATTTCAATTCAAATGCTTCTAAAATTTAATTATTTCTAAAATTTTTCATCTAAAATTTGTTGAAATTTAATAATTTTTAATTATAACTCTTTCTGAAATTCAATTATTTTTAACTATTTTTATAATACTTTTCGGAAATTCAATTATTTGAAAGCATTTTGTAATTAAAAAAAAATTTTTAAGTTTAATTTTTGTCTGTAATTTTTAATAAATTCTTCAATTATTTAAAATTCATTTATTTTCCAAAATTTCAATTATTTTCAAAATTTTCAATTCAAAATCTTTTAAAATTCAATTATTTTCCAAGCATTAAATTCAAAATCAACTAAAATTCAATTATTTTTCAAAACTTCGATTCAATATTAATTAAAATTCAATTATTAATCAAAATTTAAATTGAAATTCAATTATTTTCCAAAATTTTAATTATTTTTAAAAATTTAGTTTTAATTCAGTGAAAAATACAATTTTCAAAAATTTTAATACGAATTTGTAAAAAATGGACAAAATTTCAATTTAAAATTAATTAAATTTCAATTATTCTCAAAAATTTCAATTTAAAATTATTTATCAAAATTCACAATCCAAAATCAACTACAAATTATTATCCAAAATTTCAATTAAAATTGAATTATATTCCAAAATATCAATATAAAATCAACTAAAATTCAATTATTTTCTAAAATTTCAAATTAGAAGTATCTAAAATTTAATTCTTTTAAAAATTTTCAATTCAAAATAAACTGAAAATATACTATTTTCAAAAATTTAAATTTGAAATTCAATTATTTTTCAAAATTTAAATAAAAATTCAATTATATTTAAAAATTTAAGTACAATTCAGTGAAAATTATAATATTCAAAAATTTTAATACGGGTTTGTAAAAAACAGACAAAAATTTTAATTATTTTCAAAGATTTTGGTTCAGATTTTTTATAAATTTTATTATTTCTAAAAAATATTTTCTTTTCTTTTAAAAATACCATTATTTTCTGAAAAATTCAATAAAAGCTCAAGGATTCAATTATTTTTCAATATTTTAATTATAATTTGTGAAAAAATTATTTTTTAAAATATTTCAATAAAAAATAGGCAAAAATTTAATTATTTTCCAAAATGTCATTTGAAATTCAATAATTAAAAAAATTTTAAATCAAAAATCAACTAAAATTCAATTATTTTCAAAAATTTCAATTTAAAAGCTTTTAAAATTTAATTATTTCTAAAATTTCCCATCTCAAATTTTTGGAATTTAATAATTCCAATTATAACTCTCCTGAAATTCAATTATTTTTATTTTATTCTTCGGCAAATTCAACTATCATAAAACCGTTTTTCACTTAAAAAGTTTTCAATTTATTGTATTTTTGTCCGCAATTTCTAATAATTTTTTTAGTGATATCATTAAAAATTATAAATTAAAAATCATTTGAAGTTCAATTAATTTAAAAAATCAAAATAACTGAAAAAAATTTAGGAATATTTTAATTAACAATTTCGTAAAATTCAATTAGTTCAAAAAATTTTTAATTATTGCACATTCAAAACTCAATTATTTCTAAAAACTTTAACTTCAATTTCTTTTTCAATTAATTATATCGAAGTAACGTATTTTTTTCTGTTTCAAGACAGTAATTTTTATTATTGTTTTTTTTGGATTAATTTTACAAATTAGATATTTTCAATTTAAAATAATTGAATTTTTCATAGATATTTAAATTGAAAATATAATTGAAAATAATTAAATTTTTGTGATTTTTGTATAAAAATTTTGGAAAATAATTGAATGGAGAATAATAAAATTTTATTTGATTTTAAATTGAAAATTTTTGGGTAATAATTGAATTTTAATTGAAATTTTGGATTGAAAATTTTTAAAGTAATTGAATTTTAATTTACATTTCGAAAATAATTGATTTTTGGTTGATTTTAGATTGAAAATTTTGAAAATAATTGAATTTTGGTTTATTTTTTAATTGAAAATTTTTATAATAATTAATTTTGAATTGAAATTTATAAGAATAATTGAATTTTAGTTGATTTTGATTTGATAATTAGAAAAAAAATTTTCTTTGATTTTAAATTGCAAAATTTGGAAAATAATTGAATTTTAAAAGATTTTCAATTGCAAAATTTGAAAATAATTGTATTTTATTTGATTTTGAATTTGAAAATTTGGTAAATAATTGAATTTTAAAAGATTTTGAATTGAAAATTTTGAAAATAATTGAATTTCAATTAAAAATTTTGGAAAATAAATAAATTTTTGTTAATTTTGGATTGAAAATTTTAAAAATAATTGAATTTCAATTTAAATTTGAAAAATAATTGAATTTTAGTTTATTGTGAATTGAAAATTTTGATAATAATTGAATTTTAATTGAAAGTTTGAAAAATAATTGAATTTTAATTGAAATTTTGGATAATAATTTAATTGAAATTCATTTTTCATTGAGAATTTAAATAATTAATTTTGAATTGAAAATTTTAGAAAATAATTGAATTTTATTTCATTTTAAATTGAAAACTTGGTAAATAATTAAATTTTAAATTTTATAATTTTTGATAATTATTGGATTTTTAATTGATTTTGAATTAAAATTTCGGATAAAAATTTGAATTTTAGTTTATTTTGAATTGAAATTTTTTAAATAATAATTTAATATTATTGTGATATTTTTTTTTCTAAATTATAAACAATTGTTAAATTTCATAAAAATTTGAATTGAAAAATAATTTTCATATAATTGAATTTGTGATGTATTTCATTAAAATTATTAAAAATAAATTAATTTAGTGAAGAATCATTTTAGTTGAAAATTTGTTAAATAATTGAATTGAAGAAAATCTGAAGAAGATATAAATTTTATACTAAAAAAAATGTATTTTATTTACATTTTCTTTTGAAATGTAAAAAAAAAAATGTCGCATTTTATTAAAATAAGTCGATAAAAATCGTAGTATTGAAAAAAGTCGGAAAAAGTCGTATAATCCGAAGCTTGTAAACATATAATTTTCATTATCATTGAATATGTAATAATATTCTAAATAATTAAATTATTATTTGATAATATTAATCTTTAATTTTCTTTATAACAAACAATTAAATACTCAATTTGGCGCACTTGCGCGCGTTTAATTTTGCTAGTTAACAAATAAAATAAATAGAATTTACCTGCATAAGAAGTGCATGTCCATTATGAATTGGATTTCTCAATTGAAATGCAAATATTGCATCGGCATTCATTTCTTTGCATTTGAGTTTTATTTCATTTGGCGTCAATCGATAATCATCTAATCCATCGTTCCAACGAATTTTTTCAAATACTTCCACTTCACCGCCCACTAGCCAATCGCCAGAATCAAGAATCATTTTCACATAAGGATGCTTTGAATTTGTTGTACCAAATTGCCATCCACATCTTTCTTCTTTACGATGAAAATAAAATTCAGGATTATCCATTATTGCCAAACATTTGCCCTTATAGCGTAAACAAATTGCCGATTGTCCCTCAAGACGATTTTTATCCTCATCACTTGCCGCAAGAACAATTGGAATCGATTGACTCACTTCCACTCCATTTTCCGTTAATGTTTTCAAATGTTGTACCTTTAAAAAAAAAAAAAAAAAATTATTCTATTTATTTTCTACTATTTTGCATTTTATTGAAAATATTTCAAAAATTTTTAATGATTCAAAATATTTAATATTTTTAATATTTTCAATTAATGTAATTACAATTTTTAATAACAATTGAAGCTTATTAGGTTTTTTTTTTATTGCCTTTTTAGAAAATAATAAAATTTTTTTTTTGGGAAATATTTGTATTTATTACAAATTTGAAGCAAAAATCTTTGAAAATAATTGAATTTTTCTTTCCGTTTTTTTTTTTTTTTTTTTTTTTTTTTTTTTTTAATTATTTTGTATTAAAATTTTTGAAAATTGAATTTTTTACCTCTAAATATTGATCCTCTCGCATAAATCCTTTTAAAGGCGCTGCCCATCCTTCAGCTAAAATTTGTAACCATTGAACGTCAATTTCTGAAATTTCAAGACTTGGAAATAATTCAGCTTCCGATTTTAATGACGATAATCTTGATTTAGAAATAAATAATTCCTCAATTGTTGTCCATGGTTTTGGAAGAACGGGAATAATTTTTTTCTCCTCCAATAAATCAATGACAATTGATGCCGATTCTTCAATTGTACAATTTTCCGTTTTAACACGTAAATCATAATTTTCCGGAATTTGATATTCCTGATCGATACCGGTGAATTTTTTTATTTGTCCTGAAAAAAAAAAAAAATTATATATATATAAATATATAGAAATAATTTTTATTTACTCCAATTTTCTATCATTTCTTTTTTATTATTATTTTTTTTTGGTATTATTAATAATTATATTGTATTTTTTTTTACTATTTTGTATTTTTTATTATTTTTTAATAATTTATTTTATTATTTTAATTTTTTACTATTTTCTATTTTTTATTAGTTTTTCCTATTTTGTATTTTTTATTATTTTCTATTTTTTATTATTTTTTTTAATATTTTCTATTTTCTTATTATTTTCTTTACTATTTTCTATTTTGTATTATTTTTTTAATATTTTCTATATTCTTATTATTTTCTTTACTATTTTCTATTTTTTTATTAGTTCTTCCTATTTTGTATTTTTTATTATTTTTTACTATTTATTATTTTTTTGATAATTTGAAAAATAATTGAACTTTATTTAATTTTAAATAGAAAATTTTGTAAATAATTCAATTTTAATTGAAAACTTTGAGAAATAATTGAATTTTAGTTGATTTTGAATTGAAAATTTAAGAAAATAATAGAATTTCAATTGACATTTTGAAAAATAATTGAAATTTAGTTGATTTTGAATTAAAAATTTGAAAAATTGATTTTTAGTTAATTTTAAATAGAAAATTTTGAAAAATAATTGAATTTTAATTGAAAATTTTAGAAAATAATTGAATTTTAGTTAATTTTAATAGAAAATTTTGAGAATAATTGAATTTTTTATTGAAAAAATTTCAAAATAAATGAATTTTAATTGTCAATTTTGAAAATAATTGAATTTAAATTAATTTAGAATTTAAATTTTCGAAAATTATGAAATTTTAGTTGATTTTGATTTGAAATTTCTTGAAATAATTAAATTTCCAAAAATTTTAGATGGAAAATTTTAGAAATAATTAAATTTTAGATGTTTTTAAATTGAAATTTTGAAAAATAATTGAAATTTAGTTGATTTTGAATTAAAAATTTGGAAAATTGATTTTTGGTTAATTTTAAATAGAAAATTTTGAAAAATAATTGAATTTTAATTGAAAATTTTAGAAAATAATTGAATTTTAGTTAATTTTAATAGAAAATTTTGAGAATAATTGAATTTTTTATTGAAAAATTTCAAAATAAATGAATTTTAATTGTCAATTTTGAAAATAATTGAATTTAAATTAATTTGGAATTTAAATTTTCGAAAATTATGAAATTTTAGTTGATTTTTATTTGAAATTTCTTGAAATAATTAAATTTCCAAAAATTTTAGATGGAAAATTTTTGGAATTAATTAAATTTTTATAAGTTTTTAAATTGAAATTTTGAAAAATAATTGAATTTCAGTGAATTTTAATTGGAAAAATTTTTAATAATTGAATTTAAATCTAAAATTTGAAAAATAATTGAATGTTAGTTAATTTTAAATAGAAAAATTTGAAAATAATTGAATTTTAATTGAAAACTTTGAAAAATAATTGAATTTTAATTGATTTTAAATTAAAAATTTTTGAAATAAGTGAATTTCAATTAAAAGTTTGGAAAATAATTGTATTTTAGTTAAATTTTAGAGTTGATTTTGAATTGAAAATTTGAAAAATAATTAAATTTTAATTGAAATTTTGGATAATAATTTTTAATTCCTCCAATTTTCTATCATTTCTTTTTTATTATTCATTATTCTTTTTTTTTGGTTTTATTATTAATTATATTGTATTCTTTTTTCCTATTTTGTATTTTTTATTAGTTTTTCCTATTTTGTATTTTTTATTATTTTAATTTTTTACTATTTTCTATTTTCTTATTATTTTCTTTACTATTTTCTATTTTGTATTGTTTTTTTAATATTTTCTATTTTCTTATTATTTTTTTTACTATTTTCTATTTTTTTATTAGTTCTTCCTATTTTGTATTTTTTATTATTTTTTACTATTTATTATTTTTTTGATAATTTGAAAAATAATTGAACTTTATTTAATTTTAAATAGAAAATTTTGTAAATAATTCAATTTTAATTGAAAACTTTGAGAAATAATTGAATTTTAGTTGATTTTGAATTAAAAATTTGGAAAATTGATTTTTAGTTAATTTTAAATAGAAAATTTTAAAAAATAATTGAATTTTAGTTAATTTTAATAGAAAATTTTGAGAATAATTGAATTTTTTATTGAAAAATTTCAAAATAAATGAATTTTAATTGTCAATTTTGAAAATAATTGAATTTAAATTAATTTGGAATTTAAATTTTCGAAAATTATGAAATTTTAGTTGATTTTTATTTGAAATTTCTTGAAATAATTAAATTTCCAAAAATTTTAGATGGAAAATTTTTGGAATTAATTAAATTTTTATAAGTTTTTAAATTGAAATTTTTGAAAATAATTGAATTTCAGTTAATTTTAATTGGAAAAATTTTTAATAATTGAATTTAAATCTAAAATTTGAAAAATAATTGAATGTTAGTTAATTTTAAATAGAAAAATTTGAAAATAATTGAATTTTAATTGAAAACTTTGGAAAATAATTGAATTTTAGTTGATTTTAAATTAAAAAATTTTTGAAATAAGTGAATTTCAATTAAAAGTTTGGAAAATAATTATATTTTAGTTAAATTTTAGTTGATTTTGAATTGAAAATTTGAAAAATAATTGAATTTTAATTGAAATTTTGGATAATAATTTTTATTTCCTCCAATTTTCTATCATTTCTTTTTTTTTATTATTTTTTTTGGTATTATTATTAATTATATTGTATTTTTTTTATTATTTTGTATTTTTTTATTATTTTTTACTATTTTCTATTTTTTGTATTATTTTTTTACTATTTTGTATTTTCTTTACTATTTTTTATTAGTTTTTCCTATTTTGTATTTTTTATTATTTTTTACTATTTTCTATTTTGTATTATTTTTTTACTATTTTCTATTTTCTTATTATTTTCTTTACTATTTTCTATTAGTTTTTCCTATTTTGTATTTTTTATTATTTTTTACTATTTTCTATTTTGTATTATTTTTTTACTATTTTCTATTTTCTTATTATTTTCTTTACTATTTTTTATTCGTTTTTCCTATTTTGTATTTTTTATTCGTTTTTCCTATTTTGTATTTTTTATTATTTTTTACTATTTTCTATTTTGTATTATTTTTTTACTATTTTCTATTTTCTTATTATTTTCTTTACTATTTTTTATTCGTTTTTCCTATTTTGTATTTTTTATTCGTTTTTCCTATTTTGTATTTTTTATTATTTTTTACTATTTTCTATTTTGTATTATTTTTTTACTATTTTCTATTAGTTTTTCCTATTTTGTATTTTTTATTATTTTTTACTATTTTTTATTAGTTTTTCCTATTTTGTATTTTTTATTATTTTTTATTATTTTTTATTATTTTTTATTATTTTTTACTATTTATTATTTTTTGATAATTTATTTTATTATTTTATTTTTTTACTATTTTCTATTTTCTTATTATTTTCTTTACTATTTTCTATTTTCTTATTAATTTTGTTATTATTTATTAATTAATTTTTTTGAAAACTCACATTTTCAAATAAAATTGTAATTTAAAAAAAAAAAAAGAAATAAAATTAATTTGAAAAAATTTACCTAATCTCGCACGTTTATAGAGTCCCTTTGTGTCGCGTGCCTCACATACATCGAGTGGCGTATCAATGAATACCTCAAAAAATGGAAGTTTCGCCGCCTCATGAATTTCCCTTGCCATTTGTCGATCATTTTCAAATGGTGATACAAAACTGCATAAACAAATTTGTCCACTATCGGCAAATAATTTTGCAACTTCGGCAACTCTTCTTATATTCTCCGTGCGATCCTCCTCGCTAAATCCTAAATTTTTATTTAATCCCGTTCTTATATTATCGCCATCTAAACCATATGAGGCAATACCACGATTTATTAAATATGCCTCAACTTGAAATGATATCGTTGTTTTTCCCGCACCCGACAATCCAGTTAACCAAACGGTACATCCACGAAATCCATTTGTAAATCCTAATGCTTCGCCTCTTTTAACACGTGAAACATTGTGATCTTGATACGAAACATTCGCACAAGTCTAGAAAAGGAGAGAAAAAAAAAAAGAAATTATTATTATTTTAAGTCATAAAAAGTATCAGTTTTTTAGCAAATAAATTTTTTTTTTTCCGCCTCAAATCGAATTTAATCCAAATTTTAGAGATTTTTAAATAAAAAATAATTTTCAAATAATAATAATAATTGAATTTTATTGATTTTCAGACTTTAGATCGACTTAAAGGCACAAAAAAAAAAATCATTTTTAGTCGATTTATATTCCAAGAAAAAAGTCGATTGTATTATTTTACTAAAAAAAAGTTTTAAAGATTTGTAACTGAATTTTTTTTTTTTTTAAATAATAATAATAATAATTTTAAAAAAGAGTAAAAATTGAAATTTTTCGAAATAATTGAATTTTCGAAAAGATTTTTGTTAACTATTAGAAAATAATTAAATTTTACAGAACTAAAAATATAATTTATCAAATAATATTTGGATAATATTTTTTTTTTTCAAAATAATTTAATTTTTAAAGATTTATAATTAAGATTTTTCGAAATTAATTGAATTTTAAGTGATTTTTAATTAAGAATTTTTTTTTTTTTTTTTTTTTTTTGATGATTTCAGTAAAAAAAAATTTTTTTTTAAAAAAAATGCGGACAAAAAATATAATTGGAAAAAAAAATTTTAATTCAAAAAAATGATTTTAAATATCTAGTTATGAATATTCGAAGAATATTATAAAAATAGTTTTAAAAAAATTGAATTTCGGAAAGACTTATAATAAAAAAAATTATTAAATTTCAACAAATTTTAGATGGAAAATTTTAAAAATAATTAAATTTTAGATACATTTAATTTGAAATTTTTGAAAATAATTGAATTTTAGTTGATTTTGTATTGAAATTTTGGAAAATAATTGAATTTTTCCTATTTTTTATTAAAAAAAATTGAATCTTTGAGCTTTTATTGAATTTTTTAGAAAATAATGGTATTTTTAAAAGAAAATAAAATATTTTTTAGAAATAATAAAAGTTATGAAAAATTTGAACCAAAATCTTTGAAAATAATTAAAATTTTTGTCCGTTTTTTACAAATTCGTATTAAAATTTTTGAAAATTGTAAATTTTCACTGATTTGTACTTAAATTTTTAAATATAATTGAATTTTAATTTTAATTTTGAAAAATAATTGAATTTCAAATTTAAAGTTTTGAAAATAGTTGATTTTCAGTTTATTATGAATTGAAAATTTTTAAAACAATTGAATTTTAGTTGATTTAGGATTGAAAATTTTGAAAATAATTGAATTTTAGTTGATTTTAGATTGATATTTTGGAAAATAATTGAATTTTAATTGAAATTTTGGATAATAATTTGTAGTTGATTTTGGATTGTAAATTTTGATAAATAATTTTAAATTGAAATTTTTGAGAATAATTGAAATTTAATTAATTTTAAATTGAAATTTTGTCCATTTTTTACAAATTCGTATTAAAATTTTTGAAAATTGTATTTTTCACTGAATTAAAACTAAATTTTTAAAAATAATTAAAATTTTGGAAAATAATTGAATTTCAATTTAAATTTTGATTAATAATTGAATTTTAATTAATATTGAATCGAAGTTTTGAAAAATAATTGAATTTTAGTTGATTTTGAATTTAATGCTTGGAAAATAATTGAATTTTAAAAGATTTTGAATTGAAAATTTTGAAAATAATTGAAATTTTGGAAAATAAATGAATTTTAAATAATTGAAAAATTTATTAAAAATTACAGACAAAAATTAAACTTAAAAATTTTTTTTTAATTACAAAATGCTTTCAAATAATTGAATTTCCGAAAAATATTATAAAAATTTTTAAAAATAATTGAATTTCAGAAAGAGTTATAATTAAAAATTATTAAATTTCAACAAATTTTAGATGAAAAATTTTAGAAATAATTAAATTTTATAAGCATTTAAATTGAAATTTTTGAGAATAATTGAATTTTAGTTGATTTTTGTTTTAAAATTTGTAATTTTCACTGAATTGTACTTAAATTTTTAAAAATAATTGAATTTTAATTAAAATTTGGAAATATAATTTAATTTCAAATTTAAATTTTTGGAAATAGTTGATTTTCAGTTTATTTTGATTTGAAAATTTTTAAAAGAATTGAATTTTAGTTGATTTAGGATTGAAAATTTTGAAAATAATTCAATTTTAATTAATTCAGTATTAAAAATTTTTAAAATAATTGAATATTATTTAATTTTAAATAGAAAATTTTGTAAATAATTCAATTTTAATTGAAAACTTTGGGAAATAATTAAATTTTAGTTGATTTTAAATTGAAATTTTGAAAAATAATTGAATTGAAATTTTCGAAAATTATTAAATTTTAATTGATTTTGAAATGAAATTTTTAGAAATAATTGAATTTCATAAAAAAAATTAGATGGAAAATTTTAGAAATAATTAAATTTTTATAAGTTTTTAAATTCAAATTTTTGAAAATAATTGAATTTTAGATAATTTTAAATAGAAAAATTTTTAATAATTGAATTATAATTAAAATTTTGAAAAATGAATTTGAATTATAGTTGTTTTTGAATATAAATTTTTTAAAATAATTGAATTTTAATTAATTCCAAATTAGAAAAATTTGAAAATAATTGAATTTTAATTGAAGACTTTGGAAAATAATTGTATTTTAGTTGATTTTAAATTAAAAATTTTTGAAATAATTGAATTTGAATTAAAAATTTGGAAAATAATTGTATTTTAGTTAAATTTTAGTTGATTTTGAATTGAAAATTTGGAAAATAATTGAATTTTAATTGAAATTTTGGATAATAATTTAATTTTATGTAGTTGATTTTGAATTGAGAATTTTGATAATTAATTTTAAATTAAAATTTTTGAGAATAATTGAATTTCAATTTCAATTTTAATTAATAATTGAATTTTAATTAATATTGAATTGAAATCTTTGAAAATAATTGAAATTCAATCGAAAATTTTGAAAAATAATTGAATTTCAGTTGATTTTGAATTGAATGCTTGGAAAATAATTGAATTTTAAAAGATTTTGAATTGAAAATTTTTTGAAAATAATTGAAATTTTTATAAAATAAGTGAATTTCAAAATTAATTGAAGAATTTTTTTTAGAAATTACGGACAAAAATTGAAATTAAAATTTGTTTTTTAATTTACAAATTGCTTTTAAATAATTGAATTTTCAATGAATATTATAAAAATCATTAAAAAAAAAAAAAAAAAAAAAAAAATAATAATTGAAAATTTTTTTGTAAATAATTAAATTTTAAGTGATTTTGATTTAAAAAATTTAGGTATTAATTTTAATTTGCTAATTTTTTTGCAAAATTATTTTTAAAAAATAGTTTAAAATAATTGAATTTCTGATGAATTTCATTAAAATTATTAAAGTAATTAATTTATAGTGAAGAATTTTAGTTCAAAAAATGTTTTTTTTCCTTAACGTATCAGTAAAAATAATATAAATAATATCAATAAATAAATAAATAATTTTTTTTTTTTATTTTTTATTGAATAAAAATAATAGAAAATAACTAATGACAATTAATTAATTGTTTATATTCGAATAAAAATTTATTACTTAATTATATTAACAATTAATTAATTTTGTTAAATTATAAATTAACAATGAATTATTTAATTCGATTAACAATTAATTATTTAATTTGATTAACAATTAAAAAAAAAAATTTAATTAAATTTAATTTTTCGGTTAAATAATTTTAATAAATAAATAAATTTAGAAGAAAAAAAAAGTAAATAAATTTTTTTTCTAAAAATCTCATATATATGGACCAGAAAAAGAGAAAAGTACTTTTAAAAAAAAAAAAAAAAATGTAGGTTAATCTACTCCGACTTTCTAATTCTTTTCGAATATAAAATTATTAGAATTTCAAAGGTAAATTATTCAGAAAAACAGGAAAAAAAAATAAATTTTATGGTTCCCATAAACATATGGAAGATAAAATATAAAAAAAAAAAAAACATACACGAAATAATAAAATAAATTAATATTTTTATTATTATTATTAAAATTTGTTTCTAACTTGTAAACAAACGATTTCCTAGATATTGATTTTCAATTATTTTTTTTCATTCTCTTTTAGAATAAAATTATTAATAAAAATACACATAATATAGTAAATATATATAAAAAAAAAAAATCAATATATAAGAAATATAATAAGAAATGCAATAAGAAAAAAGCCAACAAGAGAAAAGCAAAAACAAATTTTAGAAAATTTAAAAAATCAATATGAAAAAAAAGAACAGAAAGGAAATTAAATTCTTACCGCGATTGGTCTTTTTTTGATTATATTATTCATGTCATTTGACATGATTGTCGTATTTCCGGATGAACTGTCTCAAAACATTGAACCACCAGGGAGTAAATTAGTTTTTTTTTTTTTCTTTTTCCTTTATATCCCCACAGCGAGAAACGTCAAAAAAAAAAAAAGTGGGGAGGGATAAAAACGTTATATTCTAAAGAAGAGAGAGATGGGGAAATGGTTGACAGTATTGCCACGTGTTTCTGACAGAAGTAGAACAAAAATAAAAATTACGAGCAAGTCACACTTTTAAAAGGGTTTCACATGTGCAAAAAAACACTCAGAAATCGATTAATTGTTACTATTTTTTTTTTTTTTTTTTTTTTATTGATTATTTCTAAAAACTTTCACTTTTTTAAAATAATTGTGATTTCTTCGTCAAATTAGAGAATATTCACTTTGCGTGTTTAGAAAATAAAAACTAAATAATATGTGTCAAATATAAAATAGGAAGTAAAAATTGATTAAATTAATAGGGCCAGGGTTCTGAATCAAATTTCATCGCTCCTGATTGGTAAAATCGTGTTCTGGACTGTAAAGTTCGATAATGATAGCAGGGTTGGGTAGTTGCGCGTACCCCCATTTCCTGAACATCCGGCGTAGAAGCTTCCGTATTTTCTCCTCCAATTTTTAATGTTCTACCAAATTAACTTTCGCTCTTTTCGTCATTTGTAAATTCGCCATAATGCACTTTCGACTTTTTAAAATGTGCTCTAGTATTTTGATCAAAAGCAATCGGCTGGATTGAATTTTCACGAAAAATCATTAAATTTGATTGGCTCTAAAAAAAAAAATTCCATTTTCACGGTAAAAAATCTAATATTTGTCAGAGCCAATCAAATTCAGTGATAACAATCGTGAAAATCCAATCCAGCCGATTGCTTGACCAAAATAATGGAGGTATAAAAGCACCTTAAAGAATCCATTTTCCCACGTATTCGATCAATATTGCCAACTTTGCCTCAATATTACCATATTTTTGTAAATATTGCTGCAATATTGAAAAATATTGAGGCAAAATTGCGAATATTTTTGCAAATGTTTAGTATGGATAAAATAGAATAAGACGCGGGATATATTTCTGTCCTTTTCTCTACTATTTCGATTGGAAATTGCAACTTGTGAATTAGGCTTTAATGACAAAAAACAACAACTACTATACTCTATAGTCAAATGAGCAATTGAACGTCAAAAATGTTTACTATCATGTTTCTTTAAAAGTGTGATAATATTTTTTTTTTTTTATCATTTAATAATGACAATTTACAATCTAAAAAGGGGTGTTAAATAATTAATTTATTACAAAAAAGGCACGGGGAAAAAAATAAAGAAGAAGAATTTTTATAAACAAGTTCAATAATGTGGATGATGGGTAAGAAAAATTTAGTTTTTTGTAAAAAAAAAATTCCTATTATTTTAAAATATATTTATAAGAGGTTATTTAAGGTTACAAACGTTATATATATACTTACAAATATTTTATTTTAAGTTTAAAAATGAATTTTTTTCGTTTTATTTTGCAATTTTTAAGATTTTTAAGTAATTCTAACCTACAAAAAAATATATATATTCGAAATTAAATTATAAAAATTGTTTTTTCTAATTATTAAAAAATTATTATATAATAATTTTTATACGTTTATAATACAAATAAATATATTATTATTATTTTTATAATTATTACAATTATTATTTTTTGTTTTTCACAATTTTTATACGATTTTTAATTAATTCTAACCTAAAAAAAATTATAAATGAAATTATAGAAATTAATTTTATCGCATTATTATTATTATTATTATTATTTTTTTTTATTTATTTTTACAAATGGAATTACTAATTATAAAAAATAGCCCTTTAAAAAAAAAAAAAAAGAAATTATTTTTCGGGTTTAGTAAAAAAAAAAAAAATATTTATTTGTAGAAAACCACGTTTATCTTAATGAACCATCAATAAAAAATCGATCGAAAGTTTTCATTTTCCAAGCATCAACTTTGGAAGGTAACAATAAATTAGCTTGGTTATTGAAAGCAATAACTTTCATTGATTTAACAACATTGGGAGGTGACGATACGGCTTCAAATGTTAAAGCTCTTTGCTCTAAGGTATTTTTTTTTTTTTTTTTTAAATTTATTTTCGATTAAAAATTAATTCATTTTTTTAATTTAATAAAAATGATTTTTTAAAAATTTTTTTTTTTTTTTTTTAAAGACGGACAAAAATTAAATTATTTTCTAAAAATTCTAATTCAAAATTTGCTAATAATTGAATTATTTTTGGAAAACAAAAATTTACTTATTATCCGTTAAAAATTTAATTATTTTTAAAAATTTATTTATTATCGATCAACAAATTTGTTGAATTTTCCAAAATTTGAATAAAAATCTGAAAAATTTAATTTAAAAAAAAAAAAAAGAAAAGTCTCAATGAAAATTATGGCAAAAATTCAATTATTGTCGACAATTTTCAATATAAAAAAAAAAAACACAAAAATTTAATTATTTTTTAACATTTTAAAATTTTTGCGAAAATATTTTTAATAATTTAATTTTCAAAGAATTTGATTAAAATATTATTTGAAAAAAAAAAACTTAAACTTAAATTGAAAATTTTGTAAAATAATTGAATTTTCATTTTTTTTTTTTTTTTTTTTTATTTAAATTTGAAAAATAATTGAATTTGGAAGAGTTTTGATTTAAACATTTTAGAAATAACGGAATTTTAAGAGATTTTCAATTGAAACTTTTATAAATTTGGAATTAATGAAATTTGTTTGTTTTTTTTACAAATTGCAGACAACAATTTGAATTTTAGAGAATTTTCAATTGAAATAATATTATAATTGAATTTTGATTGAGTTACAGTAAAATTTTTTTTGGAAATAATTCAAGGCCTATTATTGTTTATTAATTTAATAAAAAAATATATATAATATATATATATTTATATATCAATTTTAATATAGTTATGAATTAAACATTTTTTAGGCAGTGAATCCTGTTTCTCTTTCATTTGAATTTATACCAATTCAAACAGCAGCCGTTTGTGTTTATCCATCGAGAATTGAAGATGCAATTTTTGCTTTAAATCAATTGAATGGACAAAATATTGCTGTTGCTAGTGGTAATAATAAATTTTTAAATATTATTTTTATTCCTATTCTTTTTCGAATTTTTCGTATTTTTAAAATTTTTATTCCTTTTTCTCTTTGTTAACTTTTTACGCATTAAAATAAAAAAAAATTAATTCTCTTTGTAACTTTTTACATTTAAAATATTTACATTTTTTTTTTTTGTAATTATTATATATATAATAATAAAATGCTTGATCTGTCCTTCTGTCCTAACTTGAAGTTGGCCTTTTCTGATTTCACGCGTTTTTTTTTTTTTTTTTTTTGAATAGTAATCTTATGCCGTGTCAAATTTGGACAATTCTTTTTCTCATTTTTGCCAAAGTTGTATAATTGTGTTTTCAAATTTCGGAATAGGTTTCTTTAAAATTCCAAATTCGAAAATTCAATTCACGAAGCAGAAGTACACAAAGTTTACCAACGAAATTTTTTTTAAACTTGTATATTCATTCAAAAATTGTATCCAAATAGAAAAAATTTATGATGAGCAAAAAAGATGCGCCAGGAAATTTCGTACAAGATAGTAATTTGAAAAAAATTTATTTTTCAAAATTAATTTTTAAGGTACCAGGGGCAAACGAATATTTATTAAATATTAATTATAAAAACACAGGCCTCGAATCAACTTAAAGACACAAAAAAAGTCATTTTAGTCGATTTATATTCCAAAAAAAAAGTGGATTTGTTTTTTATTTTAACAAAAATATTTTACAGATTTTTAAATAAAAATTTTTTTCTTAATAATAATCCTTTTCGAAGGGTTAAAGTTGAAATTTTTAGAAATAATTAAATTTCAAAAGATATTGTTAATTTTCAAAAACAATTATTAAATTTTACAGAACTGAAAATAATTTATCAAAACAATTTTTGGAAAATATTTTTTAAATTTAATTGAATTTTCAAAGATTTAAAATTGAAATTTTTGAAATTAATTGAAACTTTAAGTGATTTTTAATTAAAATTTTCGATGATTTCACTAAAAATTTATTAGAAAATGCGGACAAAATACAATAATTTAAAAATCATTATTAATTGAAAAATGGTTTCAGATAGTTGAATTTTCAAAGAATATTATTAAAATAGTTAAAAAAATAATTGAATTTCCTTAGAGTTATATAATTGATATAGTTAAATTTAAAAAAATTTTAGAAATAATTAAATTTTAGAAGCTTTTAAATTCAAATTTTTGAAAATAATTGAATTATAATTGAAATTTTTGATAATAATTAAATTTTAGTTGATTTTTGATTGAAAATTTTAATAATAAATAATTTTGAGTTGAAATTTTTTAGAATAATTGAATTTTAGTTGATTTTTAATTGAAAATTTTGAAAATAATTGAATTTTCTTTGATTTTGAATTGAAATTTTGATTGAAAATTTTAATAATAATTAATTTTGGATTGAAATTTTGGGTAATAATTGATATTAGTTTATTAGAAAATGAAAATTTTTTAATTATAATTAAAATTCAATTAAAATTTTGGAAAATAATTGAATTTATATAATTATATTTATAAAATTGTATTTTATTTAAAATTTGATGAATTATGAATTCAAATTTTTAAAAATAATAGAATTTTAGTTGATATTGAATTCAAATTTTAAAAAATAATTGTATTTGAATTAAAATTTTTTAAAATAATTGAATTTTTGTTAATTTTGAATAGAAAATTTTGGAAAATAATTGGAATTAGTTTATTTGAAATTGAAATTTTTTTTTAAATAATTGAATTTTAGTAAATTTTAAATTAAAATTTTGGAAAATAATAGAAATCAGTTTATTTAAAATTAATTTTTTTTTTAAATAATTGAAATTTAATTAAAATTCTTAAAAATAATTGAATTTACATAATTATTTTTATATAATTGTATTTTAGTTAAAATTTAGTTGATTTTGAATTGAAATTTAAAAAATAATTGAATTTTAGTAAATTTTAAATTGAAATTTTGGAAAATAATAGAAATCAGTTTATTTAAAATTAATTTTTTTTAAATATAATTGAAATTTAATTAAAATTTTTTAAAATAATTGAATTTACATAATTATTTTTATATGATTGTATTTTAGTTAAAATTTAGTTGATTTGGAATTGAAATTTAAAAAATAATTGAATTTTTTGTTAATTTTAATTGAAAATTTTGGAAAATAATTGAATTTTAGTAGATTTTAAATTGAAATTTTGAAAAATAATTGAAATTAGTTTATTTGAAATTGAAAACTTTGAAAATAATTGAATTTTCTTTGATTTTGAATTGAAATTTTGGGAAATAATTGAATTTTATTTGATTTTAAATTGAAAATTTGGAAAATAATTGAATTTTATTTGATTTTAAATTGAAAATTTGGAAAATAATTGAATTTTAAATGATTTTGAATTGAAATTTTGGGAAATAATTGAATTTTAATTGAAATTTTGATAATAATTAATTTTGAATTTAAATTTTGGGTAATAATTGAATTTTAGCTGATTTTTAATTGAAAATTTTGAAAATAATTGAATTTTATTGTGATATTTTTTTTTTTAATTATAAACAATTGTTAAATTTTATAAAAATTTTAATTGTATAATAATTTGAAATAATTGAATTTGTGATAAATTTCATTAAAATTATTAAAAATAATTAATTTAGTGAAGAATTTTAGTTAAAAATTTGTTAAATAATTGTAATGAAGAAAATCGGAGGAAGATCTGCATTTTATACTCAAAAAAAAAAAATATTTTATTCAAAAATTTTTTTTAGAAATGTCAAAAAAAAGTCGAAATAGTCGCATTTTTATTAGAATAAGTCAAAAAAAGTCGGAAATAGTCGAAAAAGTCGTATAATCCAAGGCCTGGTTTCAAATAGTTGAATTTTCAAAAAATGTTATTAAAATAGTTAAAAATAATTGAATTTCCTTAGAGTTATAATTGAAATTATTATATTTCAAAAAAAAAAATTTTCGATGGAAAATTTTAGAAATAATTAAATTTTAGATGCTTTTAAATTCAAATTATTGAAAATTCAATTAATTTTGAATTCAAAATTTTGAGAATAATGAAATTTTATTTGATTTTAAATTTGGAAAATAATTGAATTTCAGTTCATTTTGAATTGAAAATTTTTTTGGAAATAATTGAATTTTAATTGAAATTTTTGATAATAATTTAATTGAATTTCATTTTTAATTGAAAATTTGGATAATTAATTTTAAATAGAAATTTTAGAAAATAATTGAATTTTATTTCATTTTAAATTGAATACTTGATAAATAATTAAATTTTAATTTTGAAAAGTTTTGATAATTATTGGATTTTTCATTGATTTTGAATTAAAATTTCGGGTAATAATTGAATTTTAGCTGATTTTTAATTGAAAATTTTAAAAAATAATTCAATTTTATTGTGATATTTTTTTTTTGTTTTAAATTATAAACAATTGTTAAATTTTATAAAAATTTGAATTCTATTCTCTGTTAACTTTTTGCGCATTTAAAATTTCATTTTCTTTTTATAAAAAAAAATTTTTAATATTTTTTTCTTTTTTTTTTTTTTTAGTTTTAAATTATAAAATTAATTTAATTTTTTATAATTAAGTAGAAAATTAATTATTGTAATTGAATAGAAAATGAATTTAATTGAATAGAAAATTAATTAATTGTAATTGAATAGAAAATGAATTAAATTTTAATTAAATAGAAAATGAAAAATAAATAATTTTCTTCTTCTTCTTTTTTTTTTTTTTAATAGTCGCTGCAGGATTTCCATCGGGACAATATCCATTGGAATCGCGTCTTCGTGAAATTGAACTCGCAGTGAAATTAGGAGCAAATGAAATTGATATTGTAATAAATAGATCATTGGTATTGGCGCACAGATGGAATGAATTATTTAAAGAATTAAAAGCAATGAAAGAGATTTGCGGCACAGCGCATATGAAAACAATTCTTGCCGTTGGTGAATTGCCAACATTTAATGATGTTTATAAAGCATCAATGGTGGCAATGCAAGCGGGAACTGATTTTATTAAAACATCAACGGGAAAGGAAACAATTAATGCCACATTGCCAATTGGAATTGTTATGTGTCGAGCAATTCGCGATTATCACAGGGAAACTGGACGCAAGGTGAGAAAAAAAAAACTATTTCTTTCAATTTTTCAAAAAAATAGAAATATAATCTATTTATTTTTTAATTATTTATTACTTAATTTTTTTTAAGTAAAAAATAATGAAAAAAATTAATAATTAATTTAATAAATTAGTAAATATTATTTATTAATTTAATTAGTAATTAATTTCAGTAATTAATATAAATAATTTAATAATTGCAATTTTTTTTTTAATTTCTACTTTAATAAAAGGTGGGCTTTAAACCTGCCGGTGGAATAAAAACCGCATCTGAAGCACTTGAATGGATGATTTTAATAAAACAAGAATTGGGAAATGAATGGTTGGACAAATCATTATTTAGAATTGGCGCTTCAAGTTTATTGGACGATATTGTTAAAAATATTGATAAATTAATAAAATCAAATGTTTAAATGGACAAATTAATATTTTTTTTTTTTCTTTTTTTTGAAACGAAATTGTTAATTAAAAACACTATTTTTTTATTTTTAACTGTTTCTTAAATATATTAAACAAAAAAATTTTAAAATGACTGAATTTTCAATAAACGTAATTAAAAAAAAAAAAGATTGGTTTTCCCTTTTTTTAATTATTTAATTTTTTTTTTATTATACGAAGAAAAATACATTTTTTTTTAAATTTCAATTATTTTTAATTATTTTTAATGATTTTTATAATATTTTTCGAAAAATTTCAATTATCTGAAAGCAATTTTTCAAATTAAAAACTTTTTGGAATTCAATTTTTTTATGTGATTACTTCATCACTAGAAATTTCACTTATAATTATTGGCTGAAATTTAATACAATCTTTTAAAAATTATTTTCAAAAATTTCAATTTAAAAGATTCTAAAAATTAATTATTTCTAAAATTTTCCATCAAAAATTTTTTGAAATTTAATTATTTTCAAAATTTTTCTATTTAAAATTAACTAATATTCAATTATTTTCCTAATTTTTAATTCAAATCTTTTAAAATTCAATTATTTTTAAAATTTTCAATTCGAAAATTAACAAAAGTTCAATTGAAATTTAATTAAATTTCAATTAAAATTTAATTATTTCAAAAATTTTCCATTTAAAATTTTTTTAAATTCAATTATTTTCAAAAATTTCAATTACACATAAACTAATTTCAATTATTTTCCAAAATTTCAATTCAAAATCAACTAAAATTCAATTATTTTCCAAAATTTTCTATTCAAAATTAACAGAAAATTCAATTATTTTTTAAATTTCAATTCAAAATCAACTAAATTTTAACTAAAATACAATTATTTAAATATAATTATATAAATTCAATTATTTTTAAAAATTTCAATTTACATTCAATTATTTTTAAAATTTTCAATTAAAATTCAATTATTTTCAAAATTTTCTATTAATATTAACTAAAATTCAATTTTTTTTTTTTAAATTTCAATTGAAACTCAATTATTTTTTAAATTTTCGATTTAAAATCAACTAAAATTCAATTATTTAAAAAAATTTAAATTCTAAGTCAATTAAAATTCAATTATTTTCCAAAATTTCAATTCAAAATCAACTTAAATTCAATTATTTTTTAAAACTTCGATTGAAATTCAATTATTTTCCAAATTTAAATATAAAATCAATTAAAATTTAACAAAAATACAATTATTTTCCAAAATTTCAATTCAAAATCTACTAAGATTCAATTATTTTCCAAAATTTAAATTCAAAACCAACTAAAATTCAATTATTTTCAAAATTTTCTATTCAAAATTAACAAAAAAATTCAATTATTTTAAAAAATTTCAATTCAAAATCAACTAAATTCATTTTAAAATTTTTCTATTTAAAATTAACTAAAATTCAATTATTTTCAAAAATTTTAATTAATTAAAAAATTTCAATTTCAAAAAAACTAATTTCAATTATTTTCCAAAATTTCAATTCAAAATCTACTACGACTGAAATTTTCAATTAAAATTCAATTTATTTTATAAATTTTTTATTTAAAAAATTACTAAAATTCAATTATTTTCCAAAATTTTTAATTCAAAATTAACTAAAAATCAATTATTTTTCAAAATTTTCAATTCAAATTCAATTAGTTTTAAATTTTTCGATTTTAAATTAACTAAAATTCAATTATTTTCCAAAATTTCAATTCAAAATCAATTATTTTCCAAATTTTCTATTAAAATTAACTAAAATTCAATTATTTTCTATAATTTCAATTAAGATTCAATTATTTTTAAAATTTTCAATTTAAAATCAACTAATATTCAATTATTTTCAAAAGTTTTCAATTAAAATTCAATTATTTAAAAATTTTTTTATTAAAATTAACTAAAATTCAATTATTTTCTATAATTTCTATTGAAATTCAATTATTTCTAATATTATCCATCTAAAAATTTTTGAAATTCAATTATTATTCAAAATTTTTATTAAATTTCAATTATTTTTAAAAAAATTCAATTTCAAATAAACTGATTTCAATTATTTTTCAAAATTTCAATTTAAAATCTACTAAAATTCAATTATTTAAAAAAAATTTCAATTTCAAATAAACTATTTTCAATTATTTTCCAAAATTTTCTATTCAAAATGAACAAGAATTCAATTATTTAAAAAAAATTTCAATTCAAATACAATTATTTTTTAAAATTTGAATTCAATTATTTTTAAAAATTTCAATTCAAAATCATCAAATTTTAACTAAAATACAATTATATAAATATAATTATATAAATTCAATTATTTTCCAAATTTTCAATTCAAAATGTACTAAAATTTAATTATTGGACGATATTGTTAAAACTTTCTTTTTATTATTTATTTAATTTATAAATTTAATTTAAAAGAGATAAATCGTAAGTTTAAAAAAAAAAAAACCTCTCATTTGACTCAAGCAGTTAAATATTGGACTATGCGACCAAAATGGCCGACTTCGTGTTTTATTATCCATCACCCCTAACTTCATGATTGTTATTTATTGCCATTTGTTTGCGCTGAAGTTTGTCTCCTAATCATCCATGCATAGTGTGTTTTGTAAATTTTTCCGTGATAAACAAAAAGAAAAAATATTTTTTTTAAATTAATTTTTAAATCGCCCCCTCGGAAATTCGAAAAAAAAATAAAGTTCCTTTTTTTTGGGATTTTTTTTTTACAAACTTTGCATATATATATATATAGGTCAAGAAAAAAAAATATGCCACCTTTTACAGTGACACTATTTGCTAATTTTATTTATATTGTGCAATATAAAGTTTATTTGTGCGCGAAAAAAGAAGATTAATATATATTTTTCCAAATTGGCAAAATTTAAGGTTAGGTTGCGCCAAACACTTGCGCGGAGAAAAAAATAAAGAGAGGTTATTTTCCCGCAATATATATAAAAATTGCGGTCACGTTTATTTTTAAAAAAAGAAACAATTTAATTAAATTTTTTTTTATCGGAAAATATAATTTAAAAAAAATGGGGTCAATGAGTTTAGTTTGTCCAATGTGTTGCGGTGAAACATTCACTAGTTCACAATCATTGAAATATCATTTGTTGAGTATGACGGATAATTTATATTGTCCAGGATGTTCGGAAAGATCTGATTCGGTTTTGGCGTTAATTGAACATTTAGATTATTGTGGACAACCTGATGGTGAGGCGAAATTAAATTCAAAGAGAAAAACACAAAAGGATGCCAACAAATGTCAACTTTTAATGGTAAAAAAAAAAAAAGTGTTTTGATTATTTGCATATGTAAATTAATTTTTTTTAAATAAAATAATATATGGAAATTTTTTTTAATCTCTTAAGAAATTTTTAATTATATTTTTAGATTTGATAATTTAAAAATAGTAAAAAATTTTTTTTTTTAAAATTAAATCGTAATATTTTGATACAAAAATAGAGAATTTGTTTTGATTTCAGTAGTTTCTTAATTTTATTTTTTCTATACTCATTTTTTTTGGGATTTAAAAAATTTCTAATTTAAAAAAAAAAATACGAAAATACTTTGAATTTATTCGATTTTTTTTTTTTTTTTTTTAATTAAAAGAAAATGGAATTACGGAAGTTAGTAAATAACGGAAGTCAAATTTGAAATAAAAAAACAAGAGAATAAAAAAATTTTTTTTTTCTATTTTTCATTAATTATTTTTTTTAAAAAAAGGAAAATTTATACGATTAAATAATTTGTTTCTATTTAAAAAAGAAAAAAATGGTTTTTCAAAATAATGACTTCCGGTTTGCTTGACCCTCGAAATTTAAATATTTCTCTCAGCAAAAATGAGAAATTAAAAATTAAATACATGTAAATTAGTTTAATATCCATTTTTTTTAGATCGAAAAAAAAAATTAGTTAATTAATTTCTATGGTAATTAATTTTTTTTCTGAAGGTTAGAAAAATTTAAATACGAAAAAAAAATTGAAACTCGCAATTCAATTTTTTTTTGCTATTCAATTGTTTTTTTTTTTTTTTTTTTTTATTTATAACCTTTTGTTATTTTTCGTCAAATTTTGTTTTAAATAAAATTTCAGAAAGAATTACAATCTTCGGAGGAAAAAAAAGATAAAGAAGTTAAAAATGATGACAATAAATCGCAAAAGGAAGTAATATCAGCAAAAAAGGAAGAAAAAGGTAAAAAAAATCAAAATAAAATTTGTAAAATAAATTATTAGAAAAAATGTATTTTTTTTTCATTTTTTTTTTTGGTAAAATTTGGTTTTTATATTTATAAAAAAAAAGGAATTTAATCAAAATAAAAAATTAAAATAAAAAAAAAAAAAATACTATTCGAATATTGTAAGAAAGAAATTTTTTTGACAATTTTTTTTGTTTTTTTTTTTCGGCAGATAAAACAAAGAAAGTGCCAAAAATTCAATCGACATCGCAAGTGAAATTAAAAAAAATTGAAAAAGTCTTTGTAAAAATTGAAAATAAATATTTAAAAAAAAATCAAGATCAACAAGATCCACTAATGGAGCTTTCAATACCAATTGATGATGTTGATGAGAAATTAATGGAGAAACATGTTATTGCAATATTACCCGATGGTTCGGAAATTTTCAATGACGATGAAGATACAGTGATTACAATGGATAATATACAAGAAATTGACGAATCAAAACTTATGAAAGTTAAAGAAGAATTAAATGAGGTAAAACATCAAAAGGTAATAATAATGATAATAATAAAAATTTAAAAAAAAAAAAAAAATATTTTTTAGCATTCAAAAAGAAGATTTGGTACGTTATTATGTCTTTTACATATAATTTTTAATTACAAATTATTTTTTTTAACGTTTTTGTTTATTAATTTATATATATTAAAATTCAGGATTTATAATTAATAATTTATAATTTATAATTCAGGATTTATATTAAACGACTTTTTCCGACTATTTTTGAAAAAGACATTTTACAACTTATTTTAATAAAATGCGTCTTTTTCAAACTATTTTTTTTTACATTTTTTAAATAAAATTTTTAACAAAATACGTTTTTTTTTTTAAGTATATAATGCTTCTTCTGATTTTTTTTATTTCAATTATTTAACAAATTTTTAACTAAAATTCTTCACTAAATTAATTGTTTTTAATTATTTTTTTAATGAAAGTCAATTCATAAATTCAATTATATCTTAAACTATTTTTCAAATTAAAATTTTTATATGAAATTTAATTATTTATTCATAATTTAAAGAAAAATTAGCAAATAAAATTACAATTTTTAATTCAAAAACACTTGAAATTTAATTATATGCAAAAAATTTCAAAGATTTTTAATGATTTTTTTTATAATATTTTTCGAAAAATTCAATTATATGAAAGCAATTTTTCAATTAAAAATTTTTGGAATTCAATTTTTTTTTTTTTTAATGTGATTTCTAATAAATTCTTTATCACTAGAAATTTCACATATAATTATTTATAATTATAAATCTGAAATTTAACACAATCTATTGAAAATTCAATTATTTTCAAAAAATTTCAATTAGAAAGATTTTAATAATTAATTATTTCTAAAATTTTCCATCAAAAATTTTTTGAAATTAAATTATTTTCGAAATTTTTCTAATTAAAATTAACTAAAATTCAATTATTTTCGAAATTTTTAATTCAAAATCAATTATTTTAAAAAATTTCAATTCAAAATCAACTAAATTAATTTTTAAATTTTTCTATTTAAAATTAACTAAAATTCAATTATTTTCCAAAATTTAAATTTAAAAACATCTAAAATTTAATTATTTCTAAAATTTTCCATCTAATATTTTTTGAAATTCAATTATTTCTAAAAATTTCAATTCAAAATCAACTAAAATTTAATTATTTTCAAAAATTTCAGTTCCAAATCATCTACAATTAAATTATTTTCAAAATTTTTCTATTTAAAATTAACTATAAATTCAATTATTTTCCAAATTTTCAATTAAAATTCAAATAAAATTCAATTATTTTAAAAAATTTCATTTAAAATACAAATTATTTTTTAAAATTTAAATTCAATTATTTAAAATTTTTTCTATTTAAAATTAACTAAAATTTAATTATTTTTTTTTAAATTTCAATTCAAAATCAACTAAAATTCAATTATTTTCCAAAGATTTCAATTAAAATTTAATTATTTTAAAATTAAGTTAAAATTCAATTTTCCAAATTTTTAATTCAAAATCAACTGAAATTCAATTATTTTTCAAAACTTTGATTAAAATTCAATTATTTTCCAAAATTTAAATTCAATATCAATTGAAATTTAATTTTTTGAAAAAATTTCAATTTAAAATCAATTAAAATTGAAATTCAATTTTTTAAAAATTCAACTATGTAAAATCATTTTTTTTTTTCTAAAACATAAATTATTTTTAGTTCTATAAAATTTAATTATTCTCTGAAAATTAACAAAATCTTTTTTAAAATTCAATTATTTCTAATAATAATTCTTAATAATGTTCTTTAAGAATTATTCTTATTACAAAATTAATAAAATGAATTTAATATCTAATAACATTAGTTATTTAAAGTAAAATATTTATTAACCAATTAAATTTTGTTAAAAATTGAAATAATCGACTTTTTCGACATTTTTTCATTTATAAATCGACTTTATTTCTTGTGCCTTAAAGTCGTTCCGATGCCTATTATTATAAGAAATAAAAAAAATAAATAAATTTAATAATATATAATAATATATAAATATATAAATATATAATAAAAATAATAATATTAATAATAATTAAAAAAAAAAAAATAAAATAACAAATTTCTCCTTTTTTAGGAATCAGATTCACTTTACAATTGCAGTAGTTGTTCAATGAGTTTTAATTCAGTATTGGATCATATAAAAGAATTTCACGATGGACAGGAAGTGGTTTTGGAAATGGCTGATCAACAATATGAGGAATTAACAACGCCAATAATACCAATTGAAACAGAGGAGCCAATAGCAACAGCAAAAACAAGACGTTCACGTCAAACAATGAATACACTTAGAACTGAGGAATGCATTGACAGTGAGGGTAGACTTTACACACGAAAAGTTGTGCAAATTGAAAGATTTTGGGATCAATCACAACAACAGCAACAAATATTGCAACAATCACAAACAACGTCTGCGCCAAAATCATCAATGATTGAGAAATTTTTTTCTAATGCCGAAGGCGTCAAGGTAAAAACAAATAAAAAAATATATTTTTTTTTTCAAAATAAACAAAAATTTTAAAAGAAAAACAGATTTTTATTTAGGGTCAACTGGGGTAAATCCGAACGCTTTTAGTAAGTTTCAACAATAACATAAGTTTTTTCTTTAAAAAAAAAATACTTCCGGTATTCTGGTGCATGAAGTTGTTACTTTACTTCCATAGAACAATTTTATGGGGTAGAAAAAATTTTTGATAAATTACAATCGCAGGAAACTTAGCGTTCGTATTTACCTCGCGATACTTTGCAACTTTCCTAAAATATGGGGGTAAATACGAACGCCACTGTATTTCAGAAAAATCTTAGGGAAAATAAATTTAAAGTATTGCAATTGTTAAACTTATATAAAAACTCAAAAAAAATACGATAATAAACCTATTATGTAATAATGCATCATATATAAATACAAAAATCAAACAGGTTAAAAATTAAAATGCATTACACAATTAAAACCTTCAATAACTTTATCAAATCATAACGGATTTTTGCAAAACTTGGTACTGAAAGTATTTTGGAGTGATTGAACGTAAATACAAAAATAAAAGTGAAATTTTTTAAATTCAAAATGTCGTACTTTCCTAAAACTTATTTTTAAAAATGATCAAATTTGCTAATCCTGAAACCCCCCGAGTAACAATTTTCGAGCGAATCCAATGAATTTTTTAATTCTCGTCCGCCATTTTGAATTTTGAAAAACTGACTTCAAATTGGTAATTAGCGACCCCAAAAACCGTAGAATACCAAATTTTATTAAGATCCTGAAAAACTTTTTTCAACAAACCATTTGGCAAAAAACTTGACACACTTCTTCGAGAGAACAGAGATTAAGTTTCTGCTTATTAATTACTAACGAGGATACGTATAGAAAGAAAAACTTTTTTCTATGTACTTTTATAATGTTAAAATAATAGTGTAATCAAATAAAAACAATTTTGTGTGGCTTTGATGTAAAAAAAAATTATTAAAAATACCGTTCGGATTTACCCCAGTTTTCCAATTTTCTTGGGTAAATACGAACGGTCTGATATTATTAATAAAATTTTACAGAAGGCAAAAATCAAATATAGTTTCTGTTCTAGTATTCATAACAAACAATTATAAATAATAAAATGAATTTTTAGCTTCTTTTTCTTGAAATACGAGACAAAATACTGAAAGAGTGTCATCTTTGATTTTCAATCTTTTTTGCAATACTTGTTATCTTTGTTTATGCTGTTGCTAATTAACAAACAAAAAATGGGATAATACTTAGCATCTCTTCAAGAGGATCTGAGGTAAAAATTCTCATATCGAACTTATTTTTAAAAATTTTAATTAAGCTGAAATAATTAGCTTTCGGATTTACCCCTCGTTCGGATTTACCCCGACTGACCCTAGTAAATTACAAAATTGTAAATCTCTTTACGAAAGACGTAATTATTACGAAATTATTATTGAAATGAAAATTAATTATTAAAATTAAATAAAAAAGTGATTTTTGTTTCTCGAATTTTAGGTGAGAGATAAAGTGGGAACATCATCGACATCAGGAACGGCAAATCGAATTTATCGTTGTACAGAATGTTTAGAGCATTTTCCAAAATTATCAGAATTTCGCACTCACACTTGTTCGCAGGGTAATAAAAATTGTGAAATTTGTGATTTATCATTTGCCAATTTAAAAGCCCTACAATTACATATGAAAGTACATGAAATGGAAATTGATGGCAATCAATCGCGTACATTTATTTGTGGTATTTGTGGTACTGAATTTGCAACGCATAAAAGTTTACGATTACATTCGAGAATGCATGCACCGGTAAGATCGAGACACGTTGACGCTCCCGAAGGCACTAAGGATTCCACTTTCACCTGTTTTGAGTGCGGTAAGAAAATTTATTTCTTTTTTTTTTAAATTAAAATTAAAAAAAAAAAAAAACTAAAAAATTTACTATTTCAAAAGAAAAAAAATAATATAAAAAATTAAATGTAACATTTAATTTTTTATAGTATTTTTTTTTCTGGGGAAAGTCAGGGAAAATTCAGGGAAATTCTTTTAATTTTCTGGAATTTTTTTTTTAAATACAGTGGAACCTCGATTATCCGAACTAATCTAGGCAAGGCCGGGTTCGGATAATCGAAAATTCGGATAATAGAGATTTTAATTTTTTTTATAATTAAAGTAAAAAAATGTACAGTTGAACTATATATTTAACTTAATACATATGTTTTTAAATATACATAAGTATATACATATATGTAAATATATATTAATTAATAATATATTAAAAACTCAGAAAATTCGGAAATTTTTAAGATTTTTTTTGGCATAAATTTGGTTATTTTGCTTTGAATGATAAAATAAATAGAGAAAATAAAATTTAAAATTCGGGAGACCAAAAAATAGTTCGGATAATAGAAGTTCGGATAAAATGTTTTTCGATTCGGATAATAGAGGGTTCGAATAATAGAGGTTCGGATAATCGAGGTTCCACTGTAAATTAAAGTAACTATTAGTTTCAAAAAAATTTTTTTTTTACTTTTTTCCCCAAAAGCAAATAAAAAATAAAAAATTGGCCTTCAGACTCAATTATTAAGCATGTGATATATATTCATAAATAATTATTTAATTATTTAATTATTATTCGTAAATAATTATTTACTACTATTTATTGAATCGAATAAATGATTTTTTAAACTTGGATAACAATTAATTAAATTTTTTTTCAGTGAAATAATTGGTTTTTTTTAATATAAATCAAAATTATTTTGAATTTTATTTTAGCGGTTTCAACTTTAAATAAAGTAAATTATTGATTTATACGAATAATTTATTATTTAATTGCTAATACCAAAATTTAATTTATAAAAAATTTTTCACGCCGTCGAATATTAAATTATCGAATTTCTATTTTTAAAAATTGTATAAAGTGGAATTTACATTATTCAATATTATTATTCAATTAAATTAAATTTTAGCTTTTAAATTGTAATTTTTGAAAATAATTGAATTTTAGTTGATTTTGAATTAAAATTTTGGAAAATAATTGAATTTTAATTAATTCAGAATTTAAAATTTTAGAAATAATTGAATTTCAATTGTAATTTTGGATAATAATTGAATTTTAGTTGGTTTTAAATTGAAAATTTAAAAAAAAAATTGAATTTTAGTTGATTTTGAATTGAAATTTTGGAAAAAAATTGATTTTTAATTGAAAAGTTGGAAAATAATTAAATTTCAGTTTAAATTTTGAAAAAATAATTGTATTTTAGTTGAGTTTTAGTTTATTTTGAATTGAAATTTTCGAAAATAATTGTATTTTAGTTTAAATTTTGGAAAGTAATTTAATTTTTGTTAATTTTGAATTGAAATTTTTGAAAATAATTGAATTTTAGTTGATTTTAGATAAAAAATTTGAAAAATAATTGAATTTTAGTTGATTTTGAATTGAAATTTTTGACGAAAATTGAATTTTAATTAATTCGGAATTAAAAATTTTGAAAATAATTTAATTTCAATCGAAGTTTTTGAAAAATAATTCAATTTTAGTTGATTTTGAATTAAAAATTTTGAAAATTAAATTTTAATTAATTTTAGATGGAAAATTTCAGAAATAATTGAATTTCAATTAATATTTAATTGAAATTTTTGAAAATAATGAATTTTTAGTTGATTTTAAAATGAAAATTTTAAAAATAATTGAATGTCAATTGAAATGATAGAAAGTAATTGAATTTTAGTTAATTTTAATTGAAAATTTTTAAAATAATTGAATGTTAATTAAAATTTTTTAAAATAATTGAATTTATATAATTATTTTTATATAATTGTATTTTAGTTAAAATTTAGTTGTTTTGAATTGAAATTTTCGAAAATAATTGAAATTAGTTTATTTGAAATTGAAAATTTTTGGAAAATAATTGAATTTCAAAAAATTTTAGAAATAATTAAATTTTAATTGACTTATTATTAAAGTTTTTGAAAATGATTGAATTTCAGTTGATTCGGAATAGAAAATCTTGAAAATAATTGAATTTTAAGTAATATTATTGAATTTTAGAAAAATAATGAAATTTTTAAAAAATAATAGACAATTTTTTTTAAATAATTGAATTTACGTCAGATTTGAACTTCAATTTTTCAAAATAATTAAATTATTGGCTTAATGTAAATAAAATTTATGAAATAATTATTAAATTTTTGATAAATTTAAATTGTAATTTTGAAAAAATAATTGAATTTTAGTTAATTCTAATAGAAAATTTGGAAAATAATTGATTTTGAATTGAAATTTTGGAAAATAATTAATTTTGAATTAAAATTTTAGAAAATAATTTAATTTTAGTTGATTTGGAATTGAAATATTTGAAAATAATTGAATTTCAATTAAAATTTTGGAAAATAATTGAATTTTAGTTGGTTTTGAATTGAAATTTTGAAAATAATTGAATTTTAATTGAAAATTTTCAAAATAATTGAATGTCAATTGAAATTTTTAAAATTAATGAATTTATATAATTATTTTTATATAATTGTATTTTAGTTAAAATTTAGTTGATTTTGAATTGAAATTTAAAAAATAATTGAATATTTTGTTAATTTTGAATAAAAAATTTTGAAACTAATTGAATTATAATTGAAAATTTTGGAAAATAATTGAATTTTAGTAGATTTAGAATTTAAATTTTGGAAAATAATTGAATTTCAAAAAATTTAAGATGGAAAATTTTTTAAAAATAATTGAATTTCAATTGATATTGAATTCAAATTTAAAAAAATAATTCTATTTCTATTGAAATTTTTTATAATAATTGAATTTACGTCAGATTTCAACTTCAATTTTTCCAAATAATTAAATTTTTGGCTAAATGTAACTAAAATTTTTGAAATAATTATTAAATTTTTGATAAATTTAAATTGTAATTTTAAAAAAATAATTGAATTTTCGTTGATTTTGAATTCACGATTTTTGGAAATAATAGAATTTTAATTTATTTTGAATTGAAAATTTTGAAAATATCTGATTTTTAGTTGATTTTGAATTGATTTATTTGTAAATAATAAAATATTTATTAATTTTGAATTGAAAATGAAAAAAAAATTTGAATTTCATTCTATTTTGAATAGAAAATAATTAAATATCAATTAAAATTTTGTAATTAATTGAATTTTAATTGATTTGGAATTGAAATTTTTGAAAATGTTTGAATTTTAATTGATTTTGAAATGAAATTTTGGAAAATAATTGAATTTTAGTTGATTTGAAATTGAAATATTTGAAAATAATTGAATTTTAGTTGATTTGAAATTGAAATATTTGAAAATAATTGAATTTCAATTATAATTTTGGAAAATAATTGAATTTTTGTTAATTCTAATAGAAAATTTGGAAAATAATTGATTTTGAATTGAAATATTGGAAAATAATTAATTTTGAATTAAAATTTTAGAAAATAATTGAATTTTAGTTGATTTGGAATTGAAATATTTGAAAATAATTGAATTTCAATTGAAATTTGGAAAATAATTGAATTTTAGTTGATTTAGAATTAAAAATTTGGAAAATAATTGAATATTAGTTAATTTTAAATAGAAAAATTTTGAAAATAATTAAATTTCAAAACATTTTTGATGGAAAATTTTAGAAATAATTATTTTTTAGAACCTTTTTAAATTTAAATTTTTGACAAATAAATGAATTTTAGTTTATTTTGAAAATAATTGAATTTTAGTTGATTTGAAATTAAATTTTTCGAAAATAATTGAATTTTAGTTGATTTGGAATTGAAATATTTGAAAATAATTGAATTTCAATTGTAATTTTGTAAAATAATTGAATAATCGAATTTTTTTTCAGTGAAATATTTTATTTTTTAATATAAATCAAAAATTATTTATGATTTGACGTCGTAAAAATTTTTTTAAATTAAATATTGAGAATATTTATAAGTCCCCAAATAATTTTTTTTATTTCACTGAAATATTTTATTTTTTTTGCGAAACATTATTTATTTGGTTTAAATAAATATGAAATTAGTAGATAATAGACTGGTAAATGATTTAATTGTATCAAAATAAATTTTATTTGATGAAAATAAAATTTTTTTTTTTAGTGTAATTTAAGTCAGGGGAAAGTCAGGTATTTTTTTTACCGTTAGCAGTTGTTAGTTACCCCGAATTGTTTTGAATTATTATAAGTTAATTGATTTTTTAAATATAAATATTTTTTCACCGCTATTTTTTTATTTCTTTTTTTTTTTACCTGGAAAATTACTTTTTGCTACTTTACGTTACTTTTTTTTTTTTATTTACTAAGAAGAGCGAAGTTTGTAATTTAAAAAAAAAAATAAAATAAAATAAAATAAAATAAAACGTAAATTTTTACAGGAAAAACATTTTCTGAATCGTATAGAGCAGTTCATATGGCATTACACAGTGGCGATTCAGCGACATGTCCAATTTGTAATCGTAAATTTGATTCAATGGATAGTTTAACAATGCACGCGGCAGTTCATCTTGACACGAATAATTCACAATCACCGCCACCAATTGAATCGACAGCAACAACATCGTCGGCAACTGAATCGAATGCTAATAAAAATTCTACGTCAATTGCCGAAAGTGAAACTATACAAATTCAAAAACCCTATCAGTGTCAACATTGCGGTAGAAGATTCACGCGTCCTCATGAAAAAGTCAAACACGAACGTATTCACACTGGAGAAAAGCCACACGCATGCGAGGTTCGTAAAAAAAAAAAAAAAAAAAAAAAAAAAAAAATTTTTATATATTCACTTAATTTAATTTATATAATTTTTTTTTTGAACTGAGGAAAAAAAAATTAACAAACTTAAAATTTTGATAATAAAATATAATTTTTAAGTTTTTTTTTTTTTTTTTTTTTTTACTAAATATAATAGAAAATTTGATAATTAAATATAATTTTACAGTTGTTTACTAAAGGCCTCGGATTCTATGAATTTTTCCGATTTTTTTGATTTTCAAAAATACAACTTTTTTCGACTTTTTTTTTCTACAACATTTTTAAACAAAATACTTTGTTTTAAGTATACAATGCAGATCATCAGATCTTCTTTATTTCAATTATTTAACAAATTTTTAACTAAAATTCTTCACTAAATTAATTATTTTTTAATAATTTTTATTGAAATTCAATTCACAAATTCAATTAACTTAAAATATTTTTCAATTCAAATTTTTATGTAATTTAAAAAATTGTTTATAATTTGAAAAAAAAAAAAATTAACAAATAAAATTATCAAAAATATTTAATTCTAAATCACTTGAAATTTAACTATTTGCAAAAAAAATTTCAATTATTTTTAATGATTTTTATAATATTTTTCGAAAATTCAATCATCTGAAAGGAATTTTTCTATTAAAAACTTTTGAATTCAATTTTTTTTTTTTAATGTGAATTCTAATAAATTCTTCATCAACAGAAATCACGAGAAATTTCAAATTAATTCTAATTATTGTCTGAAATTTAACAAAATCTTTTGAAATTAAATAATTTTTAAATTTTTCTTTTAAAATTAACTAAAATTCAATTATTTTCTAAAATTTCAATTTAAAATCAACTAAATTAATTTATAAATTTTCTATTTAAAATTAACTAAAAATCAATTATTTTCCAAAATTTTAATTGAATTACAATTATTTTTAAAAATTTTCAATTTCAAATAAACTAATTTCAATTATTTTCCAAAATTACAATTCAAAATTTACTAAAATTCAATTGTTTTCGAAATTTTTAATTCAAAATCATTTAAAATTCAATTATTTTAAAACTTTTTAATTAAAATTCAAATATTTTCAAAATTTTTCTATTTAAAATTAACTAAAATTCAATTATTTCCAAAAATTTCAATTCCAAATCAACTAAAATTCAATTATTTTCCAAAATTTCAATTCAAAATCGATTAAAATTCAATTATTTTCCAAATTTTCTATTAAAATTAACCAAAATTTAATTATTTTTTATAATTCGAATTGACATTCAATTATTTTAAAAATTATCAATTTAAAATCAACTGTAATTCAATTATATTCAAAAGTTTTCAATAAAAATTCAATTATTTAAAAAAATTTCTACATAAAATTAACTAAAATACAATTTTCCAAATTTTTAATTCAAAATCAAGTAAAATTCAATTATTTTCTAAAATTACAATTCAAAATCTACTAAAATTCAATTATTTTCGAAATTTTTAATTCAAAATTAATTAAAATTCAATTATTTTCCAAGTTTTCTATTTAAAAATAACAAAAAATTCAATTATTTTTTAAATTTCATTACAAAATCAACTAAATTTTAACTAAAATACAATTATATAAAAATAATTATATAAATTTAATTATTTTTAAAAATTTCAATTGAGATTCAATTATTTTTAAAATTTTCAATTTAAAATCAACTAAAATTCAACTGTATTTACAAATTTCAATTCAAAATTAACTAAAATTTAATTATTTTCAAAAATTTTAATTGATACCTATTTAATTATTTTGAAAATTTAAATTCAAAATCAATTAAAATTCATTTATTTTCAAAAGTTTCAATTCCAAATTAACAAAATGTTCAAATATTTTTTAAATTTCAATTCAAAATAAACTAAATTTTAACTAAAATACAATTATATAAATTCAATTATGTTAAAAAATTTCAATTATTTTAATAAATTTCAATTCAAAACAAACTAAAATTCAATTATTTTCAAAATATTCTATTCAAAATTAACAAAAATTTAATTATTTTCAAAAATTAAAATTCAAAATCAATTAAAATTCTTTTATTTTTAAAAGTTTCAATTCCAAATTAATTTAAATTAAATTATTTTTAAAATTTTAAATTCTGAATTAATTAAATTTCAATTATTTTAAAAAATTTTTATTCAAAACAAACTAAATTTTAATTATTTTCAAAATTAATATCCAAAATCAAATAAAATTCAATTATTATCAATTTTTTTTTTTAAATTAACTAAAATTCAATTATTTTCTAAAATTTCAATTCAAAATCAACTAAAATTCAATTACTTTCAAAATAAACTAAAATTCAATTATTTTTCAATAATTTAAATTCTAAGTCAATTAAAATTCAATTATTTTTCAAATTTAAATGCAAAATCAACTAAAATTTAACTAAAATACAAATTATTTTCGAAAATTTTAATTGGAATTCAATTATTTTAAAATATTTTAATTTAAAATCAACTAATTTCAATTATTTTCCAAAATTTTAATTCAAAACCACCTAAAATTTAATTATTTTCTAAAATTTTCAATTAAAATTCAATTATTTTCAATTATTTTCAATCTCAAATCACGCAAAATTAAATTATTTTCTAAAATTTGAATTTAATATCAATTGAAATTTAATTATTTTAAAAAATTTGAATTTAATATCAATTGAAATTTAATTATTTTAAAAAATTTGAATTTAAAATCAATTATAATTGAAAAATTAAATTTTTCAAAAATTCAACTATTTGAAATAATTTTTTTTTGTTCTGAAAAATAAATGTTTTTTTTCATTTCTGGTAACATTTTAATATTATTCTCTGAAAAAATTAACAAAAATTTTTTTTTGAAATTTAATTATTTCTAATAATTCTGAATAATATTCTTATAGAATTATTCTTATTACAGAATTAATAAAATGAATTTAATATCTAATAACATTAGTTATTTAAAAATATTTAAATATTTATTAAGCAATTAAATTTTTGTTAAAATTGAAAAAATCGACTTTTTTTTCGTATATAAATCCAAACTAAAACAACTTTTCTTATGCCTTAATGTCGATCCGAGGCATGTTATAATAAATATATTTATTATAATATATTATAATAAATAAAATATATAATATTATTATTATTAATATTTATTATTTTAAATAAAATATTATAATAAATAATTATTTTTATAATAAAATATTATAAATAAATAAAAAAAAATATATAATTTTAAAATTTGTTTTTTTTCACTAAATTATAATCGAAAATTTGAATAATAAAATATAATAATTTAAAAAAATTTTTTTTCAGGTCTGTGGAAAAACGTTTCGCGTCTCTTATTGTTTGACATTGCATATGAGAACACACACTGGCGTTCGTCCCTATGCATGTCAACATTGTGGCAAAAGATTTAAAGCATCATCAGTTTATAATCATCATTTATTAACTCACGGCGATGTACGCGCTTATAATTGTCCATTTTGTCCAAAAACATTTAAAACACGCGTACAATTGGCTGGTCATAAAAATAGTCATACAAAACCATTTCATTGTACTGAATGTTCACGGCCATTTGCATCGCTTTATGCCGTTAGAGCACATATTGAAACTCATAAAAAGGATAATAATTTGAAATTTAGTTGTTATATTTGTGGCGCATCTTATGGACGTGCATTTGCATTAAAAGATCATTTAAAACAACATGGCGGAAGTGAAATACAACAAACACCGGAACCAGCGCGCGAAGAAGAAGTACAAGAGGTGGAGGAATTTATATTGGCCGATGAGGATGATGAAGAAGAGGAAACGGAAATTGATAATGAAGAACTTGTTGTACCAAGTCCATTGCCAATAAGACAAAATTCCGCCGAGTCTGATTAAAAATTTTAAAAAATAGATTAAATACTAGTCGATAATTGAAAATTTATGTTTTTTTTTTCTCAATTTTCAAAAAATGGTTCGATTCTCGTCTAGTTGAAAAAAAAAAGTTTCTGTTTTGTTAATTTAATTTTTTTTCAAGTTTCGTTTCTTATCTTAATTTAGTTACTAAAAAAAAAAAATATATGTTTGTATATCTTTGTATATACGAGTTTCCTTTTTTCTTCGTTAAGTGAAAAAAAAAAAAAATTGATGTAATATTCTATTTAAGTAAATAAAATATATTACAAAAAAAAATAAATAAATATATTTTTAGTAATTGGAAATTAAACAATGATTTTATTTTTTTTTTTTCCTAGTAAAAAGGGAGTTTATTTTTTTAAATCAGATTAAAAAAAAAAAAAAATATGTTACTAACATTTAAAAAAAAATTAAATGCTGGAAGTTTAAAAATGTGAAAAAAGTAATTTTTTTTTTTACTTGATTGGAACATTTTTTAAACTATCGGCTGTGATTTTTCCCGATGTTGATAGAAGGGGATTTCCACTCCAATTTGCCTCGCCATTACCATTAACAATTAAATCGGCTTGTAATTTTTCCCATACTTTTTTCTTTGGATTTAAAACATCGTCGGGATTTCCATTTTCGTAGCCTTCGATTATTATTTTTTCGCCTGCAACACTTCCCACTGCGGGTCTTAATGGTTCAACTGCTCGTATTGGTTCATCACTGAAAAAAGAAACAAAAGCGAAATAACAAAAAAATAAATAAATAAATAAACGAACAAAAAAATAGAAAAAAGTTCTAAAATTATTAAAAAAAAAAAAGCAAATAGGGTCATCAGTTGGGGTAAATGGGGACAAAATCGCTATTTTTCACAAATTACCTAAGTTTCTTCCTTTAAAAGGAAATATTTGCGGGTTTATTATTTTTTTTAACTTGTTATTTACATTCTCAGGATTAAATTAAAAACAAAAAAATTTAAATAACAGCATAAAACTGACTGTTCCCATTTACTTCAAAAATTTAGAAAATTTCATAAAATTTGGAGTAAATGGAGACAGAATAGTTTCTAAGAAAGTTTTCAAAAAAAAAAAATTTCCTTAAGTATATTTCTATATTAAGGGATGCAAAAAACTTCGAAAAACCAAATTTGTAGTAAATATATAATATAGTTGAATCAATTGAAATTTTTTTATTTTTTTTTTTATTTCCGTATTTTGTCTCGCATTTGAAAAAAAAAACACAACTTAAAAATCATAACAAATTTTTTTTCTCATTCCTTATGACTCCCATAATAGAATTTAATTGATTAATAAATATTTTACTTTAAATAACTAATGTTATTAGATATTAAATTCATTTTTAATTAATTTTGTAATAAGAATAATTCTTTAAGAACATTATTAAGAATTATTAGAAATAATTGAATTTTAAAAATGATTTTGTTAATATTCAGAGAATAATATTAAAATGTTACCAGAAATAAAAATAATTTATTTTTTAGAAAAAAAAAAAAAAAATTATTTCACATAGTTGAATTTTTGAAAAATTGAATTTTTCAATTATAATTGATTTTCAATTGAAATTTTTTAAAATAATTAAATTTCAATTGATATTAAATTTAAATTTTAGAAAATAATTTAATTTTGGTTGATTTGGGATTGAAAATAATTGAATTTTAATTAAAAATTTTAGAAAATTATTAAATTTTAGGTGGTTTTGAATTGAAATTTTGGAAAATAATTGAAATTAGTTGATTTTAAATTAAAATGTTTTAAAATAATTGAATTCCAATTAAAATTTTGGAAAATAATTGTATTTTAGTTAAATTTTAGTTGATTTTGAATTTAAATTTGGAAAATAATTAAATTTTAATTGACTTAGAATTTAAATTATTGACAAATAATTGAATTTTAGTTTATTTTGAAAATAATTGAATTTTAGTTGATTTTGAATTGAAATTTTAGAAAATAATTGAGTTTTAATTGAAATTTTAGAAAATAATTGAATTTTAGTTAATTTAAAAAAAAAAATTGAAAATAATTCAATTTTATTTGATTTTGGATATTAATTTTGAAAATAATTAAAATTTAGTTTGTTTTGAATTGAAATTTCTTAAAATAATTGAAATTTAATTAATTCAGAATTTAAAATTTTTAAAATAATTGAATTTAAATTAATTTGGAATTGAAATTTGGAAAATAATTGAATTTTAATTGACTTAGAATTTAAATTATTGACAAATAATTGAATTTTAGTTTATTTTGAAAATAATTGAATTTTAGTTTGTTTTCAATTGAAATTTATTAAAATAATTGAAATTTTTAAACATAATTGAATTTATATAATTGTATTTTAGTTAAAATTTAGTTGATTTTGAATTGAAATTTAAAAAATATTTGAACATTTTGTTAATTTGGAATTGAAACTTTTGAAAATAAATGAATTTTAATTGATTTTGAATTTAAATTTTCAAAAATAATTGAATTTTTGTAAATTTTGAATATAATATTTTGAAAATAATTGAATTTTAATCGAAAATTTTCAAAATAATTGAATGTCAATTGAAATTTTTGAAAATAATTAAATTTTAGTTTATTTTGAATTTGAAAATTTGGAAAATTGAATTTTAGTTAATTTTAAAATAATTGAATTTTAATTGATATCTTTGGAAAATAATTGAATTTTAGTTGATTTTGAATTGAAATTTTTAAAAAATAATTTAATTTCAGTTAATTTTAAATAGAAAAATTTTTAAATAATTGAATTTTAATTGAAAATTTTCAAAATAATTGAATGTCAATTGAAATTTTGAAAAATAATTAAATTTTAATTGAAAATTTTGGAAAATAATTGAATTTTAGTAGTTTTTGAATTGAAATTAATTTATTTGAAATTGAAATTTTTTAAAAATAATTGAAATTCAATTGAAATTTCGGAAAATAATTGAATTTTAAAAAAATTTTAGATGGAAATTTTGAGAAATAATTTGAATTTCAATTGATATTGAATTTAAATTTTAAAAAATAATTTGTATTTTAATTGAAATTTTTTTTAAAATAACTGAATTTTTTGTGGATTTTAAATTAAAAATTTCGGATTATAATTGAATTTTAGTTAATTTTAAATAGAAAAATTTTGAAAATTAATTAAATTTCAAAAAATTTTTTATGGAAAATTTTAGAAATTATTAATTTTTAGAATTTTTTAAATTGAAATTTTTTGAAAATAATTGAATTTTTAAAAGATTGTGTTAAATTTCAAATTTCACATTCCTTATGACTCCCATAAGAGAAATTCACTTGAATTTTTGATTTTTGTCAAATTTGGTTAATAATGACAAGCTGTTCCCATTTACCTCAAAAAAATTTGAAAACTCAGTGTAAATGAAAACAGCTTGTCATTATTAAACAAATTTGACAAAAATCAAAAATTCAAGTGAATTTCTGCAATGGGAGTTATAAGGAATAAGAAAAAAATTTCCTATGATTTTTAAGTTTGTTTTCTTTGAAATGCGAGAAAAAATACTGAAACAGTTTTGACTTTGATTTTCAAGTTTTTATGCATTGAGCGATAACTTTTTTTTTATCTTGCTGCCAATTGTCAAGATAAAAGCTTGGCATCACTCAAAATCTCTTGCAGGTGATCTGAGGTTAAAATATTGACGTTGACCTGAATTTTAAAACTGTAAATTAAGCTCCAAAACCTCTTTGACCCTATTTTTAATTTTTCTGAAAATTCCATTTGAATTTAATTGAATTTTTCGTTTTTATTGAATTTAATTTCGTTTTAGTTGAAAAAAAAATACTTTTTGTAAAAAAATAAAACTTACACAGAAGCGCAGAGAACCATTCCGTGTGATGAGATACCGCGTAAATTTGCGGGTTTTAAATTGGCGAGAACAACAACCATTCGATCTTTCATTTCTTCAATTGGCACAAAATTAACGAGACCACTGACTATTGTTCTTGGACCAGTTGCATCGCCAACATCAATTTTTTCCACATATAAAGAATCTGCGTCTGGATGTCTTGTGATTTCGACTATTTTTCCCACTCTTATGTCCAATCTTGAGGGAACAATTTCGTCAATTTGTTCTTTAAAGGAAAAAAAAAAAAAAAAGAGGCAGAAAAAAGAGGAAAATATTTTTAATTTCGTTTTTTTTTTTTTTTTTTTTTTGATAAAATATCTACATAGATACAATAAAATTTTCAAATTTAGTTTCTAAATAAAATTCAAATTAAGGTTTACACGACGAAATCTAAATAACAATAATTAAAAAAAATAATTGAATTTCAATCGAAGTTTTAAAAAATAATTGAATTTTAGTTCATTTTAAATAGAAATAATATGAAAATAGTTGAATTTTAATTGAAAATTTTGGAAAATAATTCAATTTTAGTTAATTTTGAATTGAAATTTTTGGAAAATAATTGAATTTCAATTGACTTAGAATAATGTAGTTTCAATTGAAATTTTAAAAATAATTGAATTTTAGTTGATTTTAATAGAAAATTTGAAAAAATAATTGAATCTTAATTGAAATTAAAAAAAATAATTCACATTTAGTTGAGTTTGAATTAAAAAATTTGTAAATAATTGGATTTTAACTGAAATTTTGGAAATAATTGAATTTTAAATTCATTTTAAATTGAAAATTTTGAAAATAAATAAATTTTAGTTAATTTTAAATAGAAATTTTTTTAAATAATTTAATTTTAATAGAAAATTATGAAAAAAAATTACATTTTATTTGATTTTGAATTGAAACATTAGAAAATAATTTAATTTTAGTTGATTTTGAATTTCAAAATTTGAAAAATAATTCATTTTTAGTTAATTTTAAATAGAAAAATTTTGAAAATAATTGAATTTTAATTGAAAATTTTAGAAAATAATTGAATTTTAGTTGATTTTGAATTGAAATTTTGGAAAATAATTGAAATTAGTTTATTTGAAATTGAAAATTTTGGAAAATAATTGAATTTCAAAAAATTTTAGATGGAAAATTTTAGAAATAATTGAATTTTAATTGACTTAGAATTTAAATTTTTGAAAATAATTGAATTTCAGTTCATTTTGAATTAAAAATTTTGGGAAATAATTGAATTTTAATTAAAATATTGGATAATAATTTAATTTAAATTCATTTTTGATTGAAAATTTGGAAAACTAATTTTGAATAGAAAATTTTGGAAAATAATTGAATTTTAGTTGATTTCAAATTGAAATTTTTTAAAATAATTGAATTTCAATTGAAATTTTAGAAAATAATTGAATTTCAGTTCATTTTGAATTAAAAATTTTGGGAAATAATTGAATTTTAATTAAAATTTTGGATAATAATTTAATTTAAATTCATTTTTGATTGATTTGATTTTAAATTGCAAATTTTGGAAAATAATTGAATTTCAAATGAACTTTTTGGAAAATAATTGAATTTTAGTTGATTTTGAATTGAAATTTTTGAAAATAATTGAATTTTATTTTTTTTAAATAATTGAATTTTTGTTGATTTTGAATTGAAATTTTGGAAAATAATTGATTTTGAATTGAAAATTTTGGGAAATAATTGAATTTTAATTGAAATTTTGGAAAATAATTGATTTTAAATTGAAAATTTTGGAAAATAATTGAATTTCAATTAAAATTTTTCAAAATAATTGAATTTTAATTGTATTTGAAATGAAATTTTGGAAAAGAATTGAATTTTAATTGAAATTTTGGATAATAATTTAATTTAAGTTCATTTTTCATTGAAAATTTGGATAATAAAATTTTTAAATTGAAATTTTAGAAAAAAATTAAATTTTAATTGACTTAGAAGTAAAATTTTTGAAAATAATTGAATTTTAATTGAAAATTTTCAAAATAACTTAATTTTAATTGAAAATTTTGAAAAATAATTGAATTTTAGTAGATTTTGAATTGAAATTTTGGAAAATAATTGAATTTTAGTTGATTTTGAATTAAAAATTTTTAAAATAATTGAAATTAGTTTATTTGAAATTGAAAATTTTGGAAAAGAATTGAATTTCAAAAAATTTTAGATGGAAAATTTTAGAAATAATTGAATTTTAATTGACTTAGAATTTAAAATTTTGAAAATAATTGAATTTCAGTCGATTTTGAATTGAAATTTTGAATAATAATAGAATTTCATTTAATTTTGGATATTAATTTTGAAAATAATTGAATTTTAGTTTATTTTTAATTGAAATTTTTTAAAATAATTGAAATTTATTTAATTCACATTTGAAAATTTTGAAAGTAATTGAATTTTAATTGAAAATTTTGAAATATTATTGAATTTTAGTTGATTTTGAATTGAAATGTTGGAAAATAATTAAAATTATTGAAATAATTGAATTTTAGTTTTTTTTTTTTTTTTTAATTCAAAATTTGAAAAAATAATTGAATTTCAATCAAAGTTTTGCATAATAATTTAATTTTAGTTGATTTTGAATTTCAAAATTTGAAAAATAATTCATTTTTAGTTAATTTTAAATAGAAAATTTTTGAAAATAATTGAATTTCAAAAAATTTTTTATGAAAATTTTTGAAAATAATTAATTTTTAGAATCTTTTAAATTGAAATTTTTTTGACAATAATTAAATTTCAAGTTATTTTGAATTAAAATTTTTTTTTGTTAAAATTTTTAATTAAATTATAAACAATTATTTAATTTTTCTATGAATTTGAATTGAAAAATATTTCATGATAATTGAATCTAAAAATACACCAATTTTCATATTTAATTTCCAAATAAAGTAAAAAAAATTCCAAATTTAATTTCTAATTAAGTACAAAAAACAAAATTTTCTATTTAATTTCTAATAAAATTGAAAATTTTCTTTATTTTAGTTATTTTTTTTTTTTTAATTTTTCTTCTTTCTATTAAAAATAAATAAAATTTCAAATTTTAATTTCTAAAAACATACAAAATAAAATTCAAATTTAATTTTCAATAAATAAAATTGAAAATTTGAAATTATTTTAGTTACTTTTTTTTTAATTTTTCTTCTTTCTATTAAAAATAAATAAAATTTCAAATTTTAATTTCTAAAAACATACAAAATAAAATTCAAATTTAATTTTCAATAAATAAAATTGAAAATTTGAAATTATTTTTGTTTTTCTTTTTTTTTTTTTAAAAAAAAAAAAAAGATACATACTTGGTTTTTGAGGAGCGGCATAGGCTTTATTACTCAATGCCTTAAGTTTTGGATCGTCGGCAAATTCTTTTCTAATTGGATCCAAAAGTTTATTTATGTAAATTTCCACCGCACCTTTCAAATCACCAGGATGTATTGCCTCTTTTTTAAATGCTGCCTCAAGTTCTTCGTATGTTGAAAAATTCACATCACCGCCTAGTAAATAAAAAAAAAAAGAAAAAAAAAATTAAATAAAAACGGACAAAAAATTAAATTATTCTCAAAAGAAATTCAATCATTCTGCTAATTCAAAAATAAAAAAAAAATTCGTCTAAAAAAAAAAAAAAATGATTTCTAATTAAACACTTTAATAATAAAAAATCTAATTAATGATTTTTTTTTTATTAATTAATAATTATTATTATTTAGTAAGTATTAATTATTATTAATATTAATTAATATTAATTTTGTTATTAACAAGTAATATTAATTAATATTAATTTTGCTATTAACAATTAAGTAACATTAATTTATTTATTAATAATAAACGGAATAATTGAAAAATGAAATAAATACCAAATTCCTCGGTTCTTGAAATTTGAAAAGATTCTCCATTTTTAAATAAAGGAAACAAAACGTGTTTCGAAAAAGACAAAAGTCCATTGTCGGTTATATTTCCTGGTTCACAAAATGCTTTTTTCAACTTCTTTTTCACCGATGCCGCATTATCAAGAAGATCAATTTTCGAATCATTCTCAGATGATGACATTTTTGCACCAGCTAATCCAGGAACTAGAAAAGAATTTTTTTTTTACAGAACAATTTTTTTTTTTTTCTATTTCTAAAAATACAAATTTAGGCCTCGGATCAACTTTAAGAGGACAAGAAAAAAAAATTTAATAATTATTTTATTTCTATAATTTTAATTTGTGAAAATAATTATTATTATGTTATTTTTTTGTTTTTTTTTTTTTTTTTGCAAACCAATTATTATTTTGTAATTTTATTTTATAAAATAATTATTTTATTTTTTAAATATTTTGTGAAAAGTCAAAAAATCATCTAATTATTTAAAAATAAATAAAAAAAAATTTGCCCAAAAAAAGAAAATATAATCCGAAGCCTGAAGTTTTTTTTTTTTTTTTTTTTCTTTTTCCCCAACTTACTCATTGGATTCATTAAATGAATTCTCTTTTCATAGCCCAATGATGGTAAATATTTTTCAGAAAATGTAAAAATTTTCCTCTGATCAACACCGCCAAATTGTGCATCAACTTTTAAATATTCCTCATCCAATGCTTGAAGTCCTGGATACAATAAACCCGATAAAAGTGGATTTGCAATTTGTTTAACAACTTCGGCGCCTGCTTTTTTTGCATCATGTTCAGTTACAATTGAACTTAATCGATAAACGTCCAATGAATATTCTCTGGAAAAAAAAAAAAGAAAGAAAGAAAAAAATTTAGCAAAATTTTCCTTTTTATTATTATAAATTATTCATTTATATTATTAAATACAGAAAAGAAAATTTTCTTTACAATTAGTAGAGAAATGAAAAATAGAAAAAATCAAATTTTTCTTTTTTTGAAAAAAAAAAAAAAAAAAAGGAGAAAAAAGAGTAAATTTGAGAAAAAAATTAAAATTTTCAATAATTCTCACTTTGTTAATTGATATTCGGTGCCCTTAATGAATTTCAATTTATCCAAAGGAACATCAATTGATTTCAACATTGATTTAATAACAGCCTCATAATATTGCGTACGAAGTTCCAATAATTCCCAAGGCGCTTTCATATTATCAAGATATGCATGAAGATCGGCAAATAAAATTGTCACTTCAACTCCAGCACGCAAAAAATCGGCAATTTTTGACATTGGCGTAAAATAGCCAATATGTGGTTTTCCCGTTGTTGCTGTACCCCAATAAATTTTCATATCACGTTGTTTTAATATTGTTTTCAATTTTTCATCGCCCAACCATTCGGCTAAATTTCGTGTTATTAGCTTATATTTTTCCTCCCACGTTAATTGTGTCATGATTGCCTTTTTTTTGAGGAATTCGAAAAAAAAAAGAAAAGAAAAAGTAAAGAAATTCTGGAGAAAGAAATTTTCTATTTAAATTTTCCCCCTAATTGCCACACAAGTTAGGGAAAAATTTTTTTTCTTCTTTCTATTTAAATTTTAATTTATTCAATTTTATTTAAATTTCAAACATTTTTTTTTTGAATTTTATTTTATTTATTACTTTTTAATTTTTTTTTTTTTTTTTTATTGTATTTTAACGAAGAAAAAAAAAATTTGTTTTTATTAATTATAATAATTTATTTATTTTAATTAATTTTATATTTACAAAATCATTTTCCAAAAATTTTCTATTCAAAATTAACAAAAATTAAAATTATTTTAAAAAATTTCAATTCAAAATCTACTTAGATTCAATTAGTTTCAAAAGTTTTCAATTAAAATTCAATTGTTTTAAAATTAACTAAAAATTCAATTTTTCAAATTTTTAATTCAAAATCAACTAAAATTCAATTATTTTTCAAAACATCGATTCAAATTTAATTATTTTCCAAATTTATATTCAAAATCAAACAAAAATTTAAATAAAATACAATTATTTTCCAAAATTTTAATTGAAATTCAATTATTTAAAAAAAAAAAAAAAAATTCATTTCAAAGTCAAATAATTTTAATTATTTTCCAAAAACTTCAATTCAAAATCTACTTAGATTCAATTATTTTCCAAATTTTCAATTCAAAATCAATTAAAATTCAATTATTTTTTAAAGCATTGATTGAAATTCAATTATTTTCCGAAATTTCAATTCAATATCAATTGAAATTTAATTATTTTAAAAAATTTCAAATTAAAAATCAATTGAAATTGAAATTTAATTTTTCAAAAATTCAACTATGTAAATTCATTTTTTTTTTTCAAAACATAAATTATTTTTAGTTCTGAAAAATTTAATTATTCATTGAAAATTAACAAAATCAATTTTAAAATTTTCTATTCAAAATTAACAAAAATTCAATTATTTTAAAAAATTTCAATTCAAAATCAACTAAATTAATTTTTAAATTTTTCTATTCAAAATTAACTAAAATTCAATTATTTTCAAAATTTTCAATTCCAAATTAATTAAAAGTAAATTATATTCTAAAAATTTCAATTCAAAATCAACTAAATTAATTTTAAAATTTTTCTATTTAAAATTAACTAAAATTCAATTATTTTCCAAATTTTTAATTCAAAATCCACTAAAATTCAGTTATTTTAAAAAATTTCAATTAAAATACAAATTATTTTAAAAAATTTTAATTCAATATCAATTGAAATTTAATTATTATTAAAATTTTTCATCTAAGATTTTTTGAAATTCAATTATTTAAAAAATTTTTCTATTTAAAATTAACTAAAATTCAATTATTTTCCAAAATTTTAATTGAATTTCAATTATTTTAAAAAAAATTTCAATTTCAAATAAACGAATTTCAATTATTCTCCAAAAAATTTCAATTCAAAATCTTTAAAAATTCAGTTATTTTCCAAAATTTTTCTATTCAAAATTAAAAAAAAATTCAATTATTTTTTAAATTTCAATTCAAAATCAACTAAATTAATTTATAATTTTTCTATTTAAAATTAACTAAAAATTAATTATTTTCCAAAATTTTAATTGAATTACAATTATTTTTAAAAATTTTCAATTTCAAATAAACTAATTTCAATTATTTTCCAAAATTTCAATTCAAAATCTACTAAAATTCAATTATTTTAAAAAAATTTTAATTTCAAATAAACGAATTTTAATTATTTTCCAAAATTTTCTATTCGAAATTAACAAAAATTCAATTATTTAAAAAAATTTCAATTCAAAACAAACTAAAATTTAACTATTTTCAAAATTAATATTCAAAATCAAATAAAATTCAATTTTTTTTTCAAAATAACATAAAATTCAATTATTTTTTAAAAAATTGAAATTCAAAATCAATGAAAATTCAAATATTTTCAACAATTTCAATTTGAAAATCAACTAAAAATCATTTATTTTCCAAATGTGAATTGAAATTCAGTTATTTTCAAAATTTTATATTTTTATATATTTATATTTTTTCTAAATAAATAAAATAAATAAAATAAATAAATAAGTAATTTAAAAATTTACCTTCGTACAAAGTTTTTTATTTTCCGTTAAAAATTGACGAAAAATATTTTTTCTCACAATTCGTAAAAATAACATATTCTCAAAAAATTTAATATTAAATTTAATACAAATTAGAAATTACAAATTTTTAGTAATATATTTTTTAATTAATTTAATTTAATTAGTTAATTATATTTATTTTGACTAGAAAATATCCTTCCTCCAAAATTAATTATAAAAATTTGATACAATAATAAAAAGTAATAATAATAACAGTAATTATAATTAATAATAATAATAATAGTAATAATAATTAATAATAATAATAGTAATAATAATTAATATTAATAATAATAATAATAAAAATTATTATTTTATCATTAAGATAATTATCTATTAAAAGTAAATTCAAATTTAAATTGTCTTTAACGGAGATTTTTCTAGGAAAAAAAAGCGAAAAATACAAAAAAATAAAATAATTAAAAGTACATAAAGTTTAATTGTAAAAAATAAATTTGAACCTGCGGTGTTATTAAAAAAAAAAACAAAAAAAACTTTTCTAATTATTTCTATTTATCTTTCTATTAAAAACGCATTATTACTATTTCATAACAACAATTAGATATTTTAGACAAGTTTTAATATATATAAATATTTCTTTAAAACAATATATATTTATATATAATTAAAATCTGTCAGAAACATGTGTTACAATTTTAAAAAATGTCATCATCAATTTCTGTATAAAATTTAAAGAAAATATAGAATGAAAATTATATTTATATAATTATTTGTTTTTTTCGAAATTTTTAATAAAATTCACCAATATTCCATTAAAGACAATTTTCTTTTAGTATTTTTTTTTTTTTTTCATTAAAAAATATATATAAATAAAAACTAACCTCTTTATAACCTCTTGCTAGCTAGCTGATCGGAAGTTTGAGAAAACCGGAAACAAACCCTCGTGCCCTCTGGTTGAAATAATTTTTATTAACATCTGTCAAAAAAAAAAATAAACGTCAGAAAAAAAACAAGTATTTATTTTTTTTATTTTTACTTATACATTATATGAAAGTTAATTAAAATTGTTAAAAGTTTATTTATTTTTTGTTCTAGAATTTTGTCAATTTATCAAAAACGCAAAAAAAAGTGTTAATAGTATTTTTGTTGTTAAAATTTTTATAAATAATTGTATATCGTAATTTTGTATATAAATAATCGCTATGGCGGTAAATAAATATTTCGTATAAATAATAATAGAATTTAGTGTAAATAATAGTATTTTTCATTATATTTTAAACCAATTGTTATCAATTTACAAAAAAAATTTATTTAAACACTACGTGGATATTAAAAACAAAAAAAAAAAATTATATAATTTATTAGAAAAAAGTGAGGTTAGAATTTTAGTTTCACGATGACATGGTAAGTAAATTTTATTAATTTTTAAAAAAATAGAATCCGCCTTTCAAAATATTCGCCTTAGGTATATAAAAAAAATAATTACTGCTTTTTTTTAATTTTGGAAAATTAATTTAAAGGCGTCAAAAGAGAAATTATCTTTTATCCACTCAAAGACCGAGCAGTGCTTCTCCTCTTATTTCTGCGACAGATGACGCAGATTTGGATTTTTCAGTTCAAAAATTAATCTAGTAAGTTAACTATTTTAATTTTCATTAATTCGAAACAAAATTTCCTTTTTTTTTTTTTGACTATTTACGATAAGTAATATAATTTTTTTCCAGTGAAATATTTGTTTGTTTTTTTTTAATATAAATCAAAAATTATTTTGATACTCTTATAAAGTACTTTTTAAATTAAAAATAATTGAATTTCAGGAGAGTTATAATTGGAATTATTAAATTTCAAAAAATTTTGAAATAGGAAATTTTAGAAGTTTTTAAATTGAAATTTTGAAAAATAATTGAATTTTAATTGATTTTTAATTGAAATTTTGAAAAATAATTGAATTTTAGTTGATTTTGAATTGAAAATTTGAAAAATAATTGAATTTCAGTTTATTTTGAATTTAAATTTTTGAAAAAAATTGAACTTTAATTAATTCAGAATTTAAAAACTTTGAAAATAATTGAATTTCAATTAATTTGGAATTGAAAATTTTGGAAAATAATTGAATTTTAGGTAATTGTGAATTGAAATTTTGAAAAATAATTGCATTTTAGTTGATTTTGAATAGAAAATTTTTTAAATAATTGAATTTCAATTGTAACTTCGAAAATAATTGAATTCTAGTTTATTGTAAATTGAAATTTTTGCAAATAATAGAATTTTGGTTGAGTTTAAATTGAAAATTTTTAAAATAATTGAATTTTAGTTAAAATTTTAGAAAATAATTGAATTTCAATTAAAATTTTGGAAAATAATTAAATTTTAGATGATTTTGAATTGAAAATTTTGGAAAATAATTGAATTTTAGTTGTTTTTCAATTTGAATTTTGGAAAATAATTTAATTTTAATTGATTTTTAATTGAAATTTTGGAAAATAATTGAATTTTAGTTGAATTTAAATTGAAAATTTTAGTTTTTTTCAATTTTAAATTTTTGAAAATAATTGAATTTTTTCAATTGAAATTTTGAAAAATAATTGTATTTTAATTGATTTTTAATTGAAATTTTTGAAAATAATTGAATTTTAGTTAATTTTGAATTAAAATTTTGAATAATAATAGAATTTCATTTAACCCCTTCGTGCCCAGGCAAAACTGAGCATATAAAAAAACGAAACTAAAGTGGTTCCTATAGTTTTTGGGGTCGCTGATTACGAATCTGGTGTTAGTTTTTGAAAATTCAAAATGGCGGATCCAATATGGCGGACGAAAAATCAAAATTGTTCGGATTCGCTTAAAAATGGTCACTCGGGGATTTTCGTGGTCGCTGATTACGAATCCGATATTAGTTTCTCAAAATTCAAAATGGCGGATCCAATATGGCGGACGAAAAAATTAAAATTGTTCGGATTTGCTTGAAAATTGTCACTCGATTTTCGGGGTCGCTGATTACGAATCCGATACTAGTTTTTCAAAATTCAAAATGGCGGATCCAATATGGCGGACGAAAAATCAAAATTGTTCGGATTCGCTTGAAAATGGTCACTGGGGGGTTTTCGGGGTCGCTGATTACGAATTTGGTATTAGTTTCTCAAAATTCAAAATGGCGGATCCAATATGGCGGATGAAAAATCAAAATTGTTTGGATTCGCATGAAAATGGTTACTCGGGGGTTTTCGGGGTCGCTGATTACGAAGCCGATATTAGTTTTTCAAAATGACGGATGCAATGTGATTGACGTATTTTTAAAAGTTATTAACAAAAAAAATCCAACGCACTTCTTGCGGAACCTCAAGGGTGGTGTGGAAGGCCGTTACAGACATAAAAAAATAAACTTCTATTGCTGTTATACTTTTAACTTATTTTAATTTGTTTAATTTAAATTAGTTTCAATCGATTGTTAACGATTATTAAAAATTGATCTGCAACATTGGAATTAAGACTCAATTTTTGAAAACTAATACCAAATTCGTAATCAGCGACCCCGAAAACCCCCCAGTGACCATTTTCAAACGAATCCGAACAATTTTGATTTTTCGTCCGCCATATTGGATCCGCCATTTTGAATTTTGAGAAACTAATACCAAATTCGTAATCAGCGACCCCGAAAACCCCCCAGTGACCATTTTCAAGCGAATCCGAACAATTTTGATTTTTCGTCCGCCATATTGGATCCGCCATTTTGAATTTTGAAAAACTAGTATCGGATTCGTAATCAGCGACCCCGAAAACCCCCGAGTGACAATTTTCAAGCAAATCCGAACAATTTTAATTTTTTCGTCCGCCATATTGGATCCGCCATTTTGAATTTTCAAAAACTAACACCGGATTCGTATTCAGCGACCCCAAAAACCCCCGAGTGACCATTTTCAAGCGAATCCGAACAATTTTAATTTTTTCGTCCGCCATATTGGATCCGCCATTTTGAATTTTCAAAAACTAACACCGGATTCGTATTCAGCGACCCCAAAAACCCCCGAGTGACCATTTTCAAGCGAATCCGAACAATTTTGATTTTTCGTCCGCCATATTGGATCCGCCATTTTGAATTTTGAAAAACTAGTATCGGATTCGTAATCAGCGACCCCGAAAACCCCCGAGTGACAATTTTCAAGCAAATCCGAACAATTTTAATTTTTTCGTCCGCCATATTGGATCCGCCATTTTGAATTTTCAAAAACTAACACCGGATTCGTATTCAGCGACCCCAAAAACCCCCGAGTAACCAGTTTCAAGCGAATCTAAAATGTTTTAAAAATTCGTCATTTTTCATAATTATTTATATTTTTTTCTGAACAATATAAATTTTTAAACAAAATGTGAGTTCCATTTTTTGAAAGCTCTATCCTTCCTGAAAAAAATGCACCAAGTTTGAATAAAAAATATTTAATCTGTTTAGAGTTCTGGAGGTTTTTGTAGGTGGGACATATATGTCCCATGGGCACGAAAGGGTTAATTTTGGATATTAATTTTGGAAAATAATTGAATTTTATTTGATTTTGAATTGAAATTTAGGAAAATAATTGAATTTTAGTTGATTTTGAATTAAAAATTTTGTAAATAATTGAATTTTAATTGAAATATTGGATAATAATTTAATTTAAATTCATTTTTGATTGAAAATTTGGAAAATTAATTTTGAATAGAAAATTTTGGAAAATAATTGAATTTAAGTTGATTTCAAATTGAAATTTTTTAAAATAATTGAATTTCAATTGAAATTTTAGAAAATAATTGAATTTCAGTTCATTTTGAATTAAAAATTTTGGGAAATAATTGAATTTTAATTAAAATTTTGGATAATAATTTAATTTAAATTCATTTTTGATTGATTTGATTTCAAATTGCAAATTTTTGGAAAATAATTGAATTTCAATTGAACTTTTTGGAAAATAATTGAATTTTAGTTGATTTTGAATTGAAATTTTTGAAAATAATTGAATTTTATTTTTTTTAAATAATTGAATTTTTGTTGATTTTGAATTGAAATTTTGGAAAATAATTGATTTTGAATTGAAAATTTTGGGAAATAATTGAATTTTAATTGAAATTTTGGAAAATAATTGATTTTAAATTGAAAATTTTGGAAAATAATTGAATTTCAATTAAAATTTTTCAAAATAATTGAATTTTAATTGTATTTGAAATGAAATTTTGGAAAAGAATTGAATTTTAATTAAAATTTTGGAAAATAATTAAATTTTAGATGATTTTGAATTGAAAATTTTGGAAAATAATTGAATTTTAGTTGTTTTTCAATTTGAATTTTGGAAAATAATTTAATTTTAATTGATTTTTAATTGAAATTTTGGAAAATAATTGAATTTTAGTTGAATTTAAATTGAAAATTTTAGTTTTTTTCAATTTTAAATTTTGGAAAATAATTGAATTTTTTCAATTGAAATTTTGAAAAATAATTGTATTTTAATTGATTTTTAATTGAAATTTTTGAAAATAATTGAATTTTAGTTAATTTTGAATTAAAATTTTGAATAATAATAGAATTTCATTTAATTTTGGATATTAATTTTGGAAAATAATTGAATTTTATTTGATTTTGAATTGAAATTTAGGAAAATAATTGAATTTTAGTTGATTTTGAATTAAAAATTTTGTAAATAATTGAATTTTAATTGAAATATTGGATAATAATTTAATTTAAATTCATTTTTGATTGAAAATTTGGAAAATTAATTTTGAATAGAAAATTTTGGAAAATAATTGAATTTAAGTTGATTTCAAATTGAAATTTTTTAAAATAATTGAATTTCAATTGAAATTTTAGAAAATAATTGAATTTCAGTTCATTTTGAATTAAAAATTTTGGGAAATAATTGAATTTTAATTAAAATTTTGGATAATAATTTAATTTAAATTCATTTTTGATTGATTTGATTTCAAATTGCAAATTTTTGGAAAATAATTGAATTTCAATTGAACTTTTTGGAAAATAATTGAATTTTAGTTGATTTTGAATTGAAATTTTTGAAAATAATTGAATTTTATTTTTTTTAAATAATTGAATTTTTGTTGATTTTGAATTGAAATTTTGGAAAATAATTGATTTTGAATTGAAAATTTTGGGAAATAATTGAATTTTAATTGAAATTTTGGAAAATAATTGATTTTAAATTGAAAATTTTGGAAAATAATTGAATTTCAATTAAAATTTTTCAAAATAATTGAATTTTAATTGTATTTGAAATGAAATTTTGGAAAAGAATTGAATTTTAATTAAAATTTTGGAAAATAATTAAATTTTAGATGATTTTGAATTGAAAATTTTGGAAAATAATTGAATTTTAGTTGTTTTTCAATTTGAATTTTGGAAAATAATTTAATTTTAATTGATTTTTAATTGAAATTTTGGAAAATAATTGAATTTTAGTTGAATTTAAATTGAAAATTTTAGTTTTTTTCAATTTTAAATTTTGGAAAATAATTGAATTTTTTCAATTGAAATTTTGAAAAATAATTGTATTTTAATTGATTTTTAATTGAAATTTTTGAAAATAATTGAATTTTAGTTAATTTTGAATTAAAATTTTGAATAATAATAGAATTTCATTTAATTTTGGATATT